TGTACGCGAAGCTGCAGAAGCCCTATATACAGAAGAGAAAAAAGAGATAGAAATTGATAAAAGATTTTTACTCAAACATATTGGTGATGACTGCAATGCGGTAAAATTGCTACTCCTTGGAATCCCTGTTTTTCATTGTATTTTCCTGCTGGTATACACAGAAGTGGTTGTATGGTATTACACGTTCGACTCCTTAGAGTGGTTCTATTATAAAGTTTGTGTTTTTATATGGTACCTACCATGCACAACTTGGCTTTGTTATAAATGGGCAAACAGTATTAGCCGAGATTCGAGCCTGGCTCTGTGCCAAAAAATGTGGAAATGGATTGATGAAAAAGCACTTGCGTTCGGAACTAGTGAAGGTGCTGTTGTAAATGGACTTGCGGACGCTACGAAGCTAATACTTTGCTGCTGCGGCTATGATTGCGCTCAGCAATATTCCTCAGATTCATATATAGGCGCACTACCTCATAGTACACAGTACACGGTATAAAGTTACTGAACCTCTGACAGGTCTACCTGAGTACGACAAATGGTAATACTATCTGTTAAATGAGCACATTATCGTAAACCGTCAGCAAAGCGACGGGAGTTTGTACTAGTATCCTATAATTTAAAGAGATGTTAAATAAAATTAAAGTCAATATCTGTAAGGAGGTTCGTATTAGTATACTTGGTTGGAGAATTTGAACAAGCTTGGAAGCGATAGCACTGTTTACTGAAATAATAGTACCGTAGAAATTTTCGCTGCAGTTGTATCACATGCAGGCCAAGAGCAACTGAATGATTTCTCATAGAAAGCAAAAATCAGCTATAACTGGCTAAATTTGAATTAGGTTCAGTTTCGGCGATTCCATCCTCATTTGAGGTGAAACCTTTGACAATTAAAATTATAATATGATTAGAAATGATAGGAAATTTAATAGTATCAGTAAGAAATGGAGAATCAAAACTTGCAGATGTATCATGCATGATATAAACTAATGCAGGTATATTTTGAAGTCAATAACCAATTTTGTTGTGGTATAGAGCTTCACTCGAACACTCTGATGGGTAAAGTGTAGTAAAAGTGATAAACATAGGTAAATACTGAATTTGTTCTTGGTAAAGTAGGCTAAGCAATTGCAATTATAATTTTTAATTCTAAGAAAAGTCAATATATTCAGGTAAACTTATATACTGAACAAAAAGCTTTCTTTATTGAGACCTTAAGCTCCATAAGCAAAACACTGTGAAATTGCAGTATTGATTAGTTGGTGGTGTATGAAGATTATATTGAGTCTGTAATTTGTATTCTATTATATAGGTTGCGGCCAAAACCCATAATCGGCCATTATGCATTATATCCGGCTAAAGCCCAAAAATTTAAGTGAAATTACTGTATTTCGGACTTTAACATATACATATGTGCACCTGTATCGCTGGAAGTTGATCCAAATTTCTATTAGAGTATATAGTACAGTGTAATAGCGTATGTACATGCGTGTTCATGACTTGCACAACGAGTCTTCCTTACTTTTCTTCTTCGGCATCTTACTTTACAGTACACCTGATTTACGATGAAGCCTTACTATCGTACGCTTTTCGTTAAATATTCCGCTGATAAAATTGTCTAATAAAAGCAATACCTCTATGCTTTCTGTACGATGGAGCCTTATTATTGTACATTTTTTGTGGCATCATGGTAAATTCAAAGCCTCAGATAAACGAACATCTATATTATTGCATTTCAAATGTTAAATACGTTTGGTTTGAAATTTTAACTAGAACGGGCAGTCTCATAGTTTACTGTAAACCAAGGATCGTCGATTAAGTACCAAGAGTCCAAAACAGAATACGAGTGCAAGACCCATCGACGAACATTGCTATGGATATTAGTGTAGAGCACTTAACAAATATAGATTTTATGTTTTATGCGAGTTATTTCAAAGAAATAGAGTAATCAACAAATTACAATTGAAACAAACAGAATCAAACATGCCAAGCACCGTCACCCACTGTAAGGTATGACTGTATTGCATAAATCCATTTGCGAACGTATTCACACCATTTAAGGATCGTTAACAAGAGGCTATGTTTTGTAGAAAGAATACATTTACTCAATGACAGGATCTATCTCAGCACCTCATCGGTTTAAGTTACTAATAGATAAAGTAGTAGATATTAGAGTCAGTATTCCAAATATGTATGAGAATATATCACCCATTACATTACTTTCTTCGTTTACAGTTATTTTTACAAGAAATTTTCAGGATAAATTATCCAATTAATCTTGTGAGTTTCAACTATGAAGGGTTTTACGCTAAATGGTTCCATAGCAGCAAGTTTACAAATTTATTTAAAAATGGTAGAATTACAGTTAACTTTAATATACCACAAACGGTCGTGAGGCATAAAAGATATTTTCGTCCATATAAATACAAGGTAACGTTCAAATACACATTGAAACATTCAGTTGCATTGCCAAGGCTAAAGTCCTACTCTATTTACATCAACAGTCCTATGCTGTGGTTTATGTTGACATAAGTGCATAAACAAGGCCATAGTTACTTGTCAGCGAAGTAATCTAGGGAAAGATGACTTAACTTAAATCGGACAACTTTAGGTGATATAAAGGGAATAGTAACAGACAACTCTTTTTAGTCGCTTTCCTTCAATTTCTTAGCACTTCCACTAAATAAACAGAGAATAGAATATTGCATTCATTACCAGGAATATTGTTACCCTAATCTAAATATCCGAGTATCGAACCCCACATTACTGCAAATCAATATTACGAGCCATTATTACCTTACGGGACCTCCGGTACCCATTTCCTTGCGCTTTTTAATGATCTGTTATCCAAATAAAATAAAACACCATCAATTTTCTGATTTGTGCGTTTCATAGTACGTTTACAGCAAATGTTACATAATTCAAACTAAGAAAATTAAACAATGATTACGTTAGAGATTTGCTGCCATTCACGATCTAACTTTGATTTATCATCTTTTACACCTTGACGCCTAGTTTTTCTTCCGTCAGCCATCTTGACTCCGAACTGGAAAGCAGCTCTACAAATATGATTCAAAGGTTAAATAAAGCTACGCTGGAATGACAAGCAATGATCAGCATATCATAGATATGGTGATAAGTAGAGCTAGTACTGCAATATAAAGTACTACAAAAGCTGTAGCATACTTTGGTAGAGCTTCACGCTTTTCCATGTACTTGTTGTAATCTTCCTCATTTTCAAAATCCCATCGGCCAACAGGACCTTTTTTATTACCCTATGTTACAATTTTAATTGACAATTTTTAATAACTGAAATAAAAATGATGTATATTTATTGATTTCAACTCGGTTATTGACATATCACAAGCTGTGGTAGCTTCTGATATTAACACAGAGTAACATAATTTAGACACATTTAATATTACCATGTCCATTTTCGAATAGTCAGCTTCTTCATCGCTATCAGCCATGGCATCATCTACTTCCATAGCACTGCAATATGTAATCCAATATAAAACAATATCGTAATTTAGTCATTCTGTGCAACACGCATTATTTCATGATGAGTTAATTCCGATGTAACTACATACCCAGGATAGCATTCGGCGTAATAGTCTAAGCTACTACCAACACCTTGATTTTTCTTCGCTGGAACCGTCTTAGCTTTCGCTCTAGGTATTGTAAATGTAAATTGAGAACGATATTATATAAATTTTTGTGAAGTGTAATAATATTTAGAGAGTGTACAGCAAAATAATTTTGTATGATTTTAATACAGAACATCCACTCACTTTATGTTTTGCTGTTGTCGGTTCTTAGCGTCGGCAATAATAGTTGACCACAATTCAAAGGTACGAATAACTTATATGAGTTATCATATTACGATATCACAAAATTTTCAATCCTCAAAATTGATATTAACCTCCTTTTTGGAAAATTTTTCTGTTATTTTTTTTACATAATCTTTGGATGATATCGTCATAAATTCGTCGTCTTTGTCATTGTTATCGTCGACGGGCTTTTTAAAATATGTACCGGGTTGCATTTGATGACTTTTCTTGTCTTTCTTTGACTTTAAGTCAAGTAAATAATCCGATCCAACGTCATCGAAAATGCTGCGCAATTCCAAAGAGTAGAAATGAAAATTGACAATTACATTATAAGTTGCTCATACTTTAGTTAACAAAAAAAGAAATTACAAGCACACATTGATACCTCATGTTCCCTTCCGGTGCTATCACTTTAGGTCTTTCCTGAGAATGTGCTGTAACATGTTCTTTACCAGCTCTTTCCTTCTTCTTCAGTTTTTTGCTTCGTAAACCTTGCCTTAGGTGAGCCAATATCTGCGTTAACTTATTTATTACAATGTCATTGGTTGAAATATCACTTTGTGTCTGCAATCAAAATAAGGGAAAAAGTTATTATGGCATACTGGAGAGACTTGCAACGGTTTCCAAATACATGATAAGCAAAGGTAAAACAATAACCTCAGCATTTTGGAAATCAGCTTTACTTCGAATAATTGTAGTCGGAATATCACTCTCGCCTTCATCATCATTCAAATCAACTGCGTAAGCCTACAAAAATAGTTAGCATATAATTATGAGTGGAGTACGTTGATGCCCAAATGATTTAATCTATTTACATAAGAAGAAGGCTTACCATTCTTCCAGAAGCAAAGAACTCGTTTCGTAGCGGTAGCGAAGATTTAAAAACAATATTATGAATATTTTTGGCTAAAGTTGATGAAAAGATTTATAATACATTAATCCTAGATCCTATGACAGTCAAGTTGAGATTGCCAAGATAGCTAACGGGTGCGGTATTGCTAAGACATAATAGTAAACTAAAATGCACATTTCTTACCTAATCTTGTTCGAAATGAAATCTCTTCAGTTTCAACTTGCTTAACTCTGACAATTTATTGGTTGTAGGTAATTACATTGTAAGAATTAAATGAACAAAGTCCTTTGTGAATAATTTCATAGTAGGGAGATGAACATACTTATTTTGGGTTGACAAGTCCTCTTCTTCTATAATTTCATCTCGCTCGTCAGTAGTCATTTGCTCTCGTACCTTTAAATTATCACATGATAATCAGATTATTTAGAGTGGCTGTAAACATTTGAATATGTATCACCAAGTAGCAATTTAGCTGTACATTATTTGATATCAGAGATATCAGTATATGAACTCTAGACGAAGTATTCTGTACTATCCGTTATGATATGTTATGATATGTTTGCAAACCTTTTGCAGTAATGCAAAATCGAGACCTTTCACCAAGTGAGTATGTTCCATATCACCACCAAGATATTTACTTTCCTGAATTTCCTTTATACGTCTCTCAGCAGCGCTATCTCTGAAATATGTTATAGTAACATTTTGTAATAATGACTGCATTGATATATCGCTTTTGGAGTGCTATTTGAGGAAATGACATATAACAGCTATTGGACGTAACTGCAAAAGTAAAACTACTCACCCTGATTCGCCTAATGGCCCAATCGTTCTGTATCTCGTATCAGTATGAGATGCTGCATTCTGATAATCTGTATCTACCCCATCGCGTCTCTCTTTAGCCTGCGTGCGTTGATTGGATAGTATCGTGTACAATAAAAATATGATTCTTAGGTAAAATCGTCGCTTACAATCCAGTTGATAAAGAAATGACGGTGTTTGCTTTGCTGTACGCTAGTTCACAAATCATGAATCGTATGCATCGCTAAAAGGAGTATACTTTGTATGTTTCTATGACTTATTATTACAGTATTATAAGAACGATCCAAGGGAGACCCTCTCTAATTGTTGCCTACTGCTGTTCTACAGTAGAATAAGACTATTTCTACTTTACGGATGAGAATATCGGCATGGCTGTGTCTTTACTACATTTATATTTATGAATACATACTCTATCGCGATATTTATTGGCAATTTCCTTTTTCCATTGATCTTCTTCACTTTTTTCTTTGGCAAATTGAGTCGTGCTGAATAAAGTAAGAAACAATAATTTAAAGTTATAACACATTGATTTGCTAGTCTGGTTGTCCTGTTTACTGCAATATCACAACTGGTAAACATCATAAAAAGTGTCATGACGCAAAGTTCAAAGCAACTGCTCTACTTCTACTGCATAGTACTGTATAGAACATGAATTTAAAATAAAGTTAATCGGTATTGAAAGTTTATACGGTACCAAGTTAACCCAGGCAAGTTATCAAGGAAAGAACATGCAGTTTAAAATAATTGTTACCATCACGATTGCATTACCTCTTTTTTTTATGACGTTTAATTTGAGCAGTATCTTTCTCATCTTTCTTACTTATGCTAAATTGATGAATCATACGGTTTACAAGCAAATTGACACTTTATATAAGATGGATAGCAAGACACATTTATGGCTTACGTGGAGAATTCGGAGGATTTTGGACGTGGTGTCATCAACATACGACGAAAGTCGTCATTCGTCAGCCTTTAAAACAACGAAAGTAAAATGAATCAGTCACTATAACCGTTATCCTTTCTACCGTTTTAATTAGGTTACGACATGCTCTGCATGATTCTACTATCAATGTCATCGCTATCTCAATCGTCCTGTTGATATCGAGCAATGGATGTTGCATCGACTAAGCGAATCGCCGACTACGAAACGCACTATGGCAATTATGGTAGCACCTACTTTTCCTCCTTCGATTCACCCCTATGAAAGGTTGGAGGAGCAATGGGGTTGGAAAACGGTTCATTTTGAACTATGGATATAAAAGAAAATGCATCAAATGGCATCTTAAACGATTCATGTTATCCATTTGATGCAATCCAGTAAAATCAAGACGATCAACATTAGCCTTCTTCAGGCAGCCATCAAACTTACCTTCCGGCATGGCTGTAACTAGGATATCCAGCTGGAAACAATCGTCCGCTCGATCTGGCGGCTACAGTACTTACAGTAGAGAGCTTGTAACTTGACATAGTAGTGTATCCCATTCAGGTGTGCATTTAACCTATTTTACACTGCGTGACTTTTTGTCGCTTTTGCTCATGGTGTTATTGGACTGCTGTCCAAATGTACTGTACTGGACTGTGTGTACTGTCCTTTGACGGATGGTCAGAAAGACGGATACCTATTTGATATCTGTCCAAATGTGCTGTACTCGACTCTGTGTAGAGTCTCTGTGTACTGTCCTGTGACGGATGGCTAGAAAGACGGATGCCTCTTCGAAGATAATGTTCAATACTCTACTCAGTGTACGGTCCTTTGACGGATGGCCAGAAAGATGGATACCTCTGTGTATCTGTCCAAATGTACTACACTGGGACTCTGTGTCGTGTACTGTCCTGTGACGGATGGCCAGAAAGACGGATGCCTATTCGAAGATCATGTTCAATACTCTACTCAGCGTACGGTCCTTTGACGGATGGCCAGAAAGACGGACACCTGTTTGAAACCAATGTTCGACGGATAGACGGAAAGGCGGATACCTATTTAATAAAAACAATGTTCAATACTCTACTCAGACACTCAGTGTACGGTCCTTTGACAGATGGCCGGAAAGACGGATACCTATTTGAAAACAATGTTCAATACTCTACTGTACTGCATACAGTAGTCCTAGTGTACCCTTTCAACTGGCAAAATGGAACTAAAACCATCGTGCAAATACACTAGTTTATACCGACATGAACACATTTCCTAATCTTTGACTTGACTAGAGGGATAAAAATGGTGGCATCGAGAGCAATAAATTGCAATTTATACTTTTCTTGAACTTGATGAAAATACCATCGGATAGGAAACATTGCTGTACGCTAGCCGTAGCCATTTTGCATAAGTTACTTTGGATACTGAGTTTCTAGCTGTCCTACTGATACATCAAATAGAATGATATTCTTCATTTGGGCATGGTTTCTAGTAGATTTGAATACAGTAGAGTAACTCAATGAATGCACGACGTCGTATACAGTTTCCTATCGATTTTTATATTCAGCATTCCCGGTATGGGTGATACGCAACTGTTGAACTCATAAAGAGAATGAAGAAGACTTTTAAAGCATCTTTTAAGCGACTGCATTTGCTCTGTTCTTCGCTGATCGAAAATTAAAGAAATTCCATGCAATTATTGCATCGTTATTCATGAATTGTGATTAATATACTGTACAGTACAGTAAAATCCTTGACGGTAGAAAAGTAAAACTACCGTATTTCCAATTGGTTGCAATACAGTACTTTAGTGTGACTCTGTCATTGCTGGTAGAAGATGCAAGTTAATTAATGAAGGTTGAACATGAGATTGAATGGACGATACTGAAGAAGGCTACTAGTGACTGATCTAGTCGTATGCTAATAATCCAGCGCTTATCATGATAGAAGAGCAAATGACTAAGCAATGGTATATCCGCAGTTGTCTTGAGTCGACTGTTCTTGAGTAAGTTACAGTACAGTACAGTAACGCGCCAATAGGAATATTTTATGGCAACGTGCGCAACAATTTTTCTTACGAAAAGTGGTGTAGTCAACCATGCATGGCAACAGTCAATTTGCTCTGATGAACAACTGTGTATGACTTATCTGAAAACCAGACTGATTATGTGCATTCTAAATTGAGAAACTGGCAAAAGCTGAGTACATCATTTCCTCTCATGCCCGTACATTACAAGGTAAACGCTCACGTAAACGTATATTAATCGAACGCTAGTCTCAATCGAGCGCCATTTCCAGTAGGTGCAACCACTCTCACTCATTTCACCAGACTAATATTAAATTAAAATGTCTAATGAAAGCCTATTCAAAATCCCTTCCACAGGGTACATCTCAATTTCTTGATCATCACTATTTCAATTGGTTGGCGAGTCACTTTGATCAATTTTACCGCTGAAAAGTTGAGATGATCAAGAAAAAATGGTCGTATGGTACACTTAAAAAACGATTTAAAGTCCATCTTGTAATGAACTCAAATGCTGCTCACTACTACGCCTCCGTCCGCTTACAGTGGGAGAAATTGACCAGCATATCTGAAAAGTATCACACTGACAATCATTATCATTTTATTATTATAATGGACGTGTTTACGTATCATGGATAGAAGGAATACCACCAAGTTTCTGCATCAAATGACATTACAAAGGGCCATCAATAATAATTTTTTTTGTCCTTTCCGCTATAACCCAATAGACTATACGAGCAAATTGGTAGGATAGTTTGTGCTAGGGACCTCGTGCTCACGATCTGCAGCGTGCAACAGCGCTGGTCCATAGGGGACAAGGAAGGCCAAGCCTACCCCGGCGATCCTGCGGTGTGCAACTTAGCTAAACATTCTTCGGCTTAGCGGGCTTAGTTTACAAGTAAAATCATATCTTTCACATGTTCATACGCAGCTAGTAATTACCAGAAATGCTCAAATTCTCATTTTATAACACACTTAATACATTTAATATTAAGAGAGAATTTTAAGTTATGCCATTAGAGTAATTGACAAGTCTATCGTCGAGTAGGCGCCTTTCGAGTCTGCTGATTAGGATCGACAACCCACATTAAGAGTATGATATGCAGTGAGTCTGGACAGCGTAGTTGATTCCTGCTATGCCATATCCATCCTACAACCATACGAAGGCATCTATAATTTGCTTAATGGATACGCTTACCTATGAAGAATAGTATCGACTAAAATATCCATCTACCATACTAGTTGTTGTCCAGCGATACTTCGCTAGTACGAGTATAATACTCAATTTCAGATGGAGCAAGTTGTAGGATGCATTTAAAAGAAGGAAGGTATCCGTTCATAAAATTAGCCTCCGCTGAATAAGGCAAAATTCATTCCATTATCCATAGTAATTCAAATAATAAATTGCTATTAGAATCAGTAGTCAATGCCAAATGCAATATCTTGAGCATTAAATTTTCCTCCTTAGATTATCAAGTTACAGTAGACACAAACTTAAATAAATTGTAAAGTATTTATACGCGTGTACTATACTAAGTTGCTAACCCAATGGCGTTGTTTGATAAGCTAACAAGGTGAAGGACACGCTAGTGTAGTGCTTTAAACCCTGGACTAAAATATAGGTCGAAACATTGATATTTGGGGACCAGTGTTGAACTGCTAATTCCAGTTGCCTTTTAATAACATTTAAATTCTCATAATAGTCATCTTAATGTTGACATTTCCTTCAACCACAACGTGTGCCATAACAATCGTATTACCAGCAAATATCAAAGTATAAAATTTTAAATTGACATTGAATATCATCAGTCTAAAGCCCATGTGTAGTGCTGTATATTGTTAATTATAATAATGAGGCGGTGCCGCAAACTGATACTCTTATCCTCCAATACTCATTTAAATACTTTCTACTTCAACTAGTTTTGATCTAATTTAGCCAACTTAATGAGATTCAAAATAAAAGTAGTAGCTGTCGCAGATACGAATTACAACAAGGCATGATAAAATAAGGCAGCATCTGCTCGGCAGAATGAAACTCAATTTTGTTATACGGCTTTCACTTAGATAGGAAGCAATCCTATTTCAAATATAGTATATTATAATCGTATCATTTATTGATGAAATAGCAACGTCCGATTGTAGAAGCCAATTAGTAGGCTGCTTCGTACCAAGCTAATAAAGTACTTTGGAACAGATAAATAACGGCTACCATTCTCGAGTTGCTAATAGCTACAATATTTAGTAGATTATAGATTTCTACCAAAGTTAGATGGTACACCAATACAAATTTCTCGATTAACTTCTAGCTAGTGAATACTGTGCTAGCACAAACTCGTATTTATTTTTAGTCGTTTTTACAACTTCATAACTCAAGAATGTAAGGCCCTATAAAACTACCGACCTGTTTTCAGTTCTAGATAAAACGAACGCTTCAAGGCAGACAATTAGTATTGATTCCATATCACAACTTGTGCGGTCCAAATTTTGTTTCGTTAACCCACTGCGGTGAGCAATTTATATCGCATAAGATACTCCAACTCATTTTTTTTTGTTGATTACAAAGACTATAATACAGTAACTACGTGATATATATATGTATATCAGATATTACTAAATATAACGATTTACTTAAACTTGCATATAACGTCTTATCCATAATCTTGATAGCACTAGTTGTGGTGGATAAATATTATAATCGTATTCTGTCAATACAGTATCTAGTAATCTACATTCCATCTGACCTTCTTTTCACCTACAGGATTAACGCATATGATTGTAGTATTCTATCAATTCCCAGACATCTACAGTAATACTGATATGTATATATATACGTATAGTTCTTAATGATGAGATTGAAATAGAGCCAAAATATTATTTCATGAAAATATCTCCTATTTCATAAAATCGAATCGGAATATACATCATTAAATTAGTAGGATTTAAAAAGTAATACCAGCAATATCTTACAGTATAAGAACCATTCTGATGAACTCACATATATAATTATATTTTCGAAGTAAACGCGATACGTTCAGTGCGATGTACTAGCAACATGCCAGTATATATTTATGCAGATATTTTAGCTAGCTTAATCGTAGTTTTAAGAATCTGATCAAGCTATACGATAGTAAATTTTTTAGATTATAGGTCTCCACCACGTGATAATGGTAATTAATGTTCCTTAACTAGCTAAGTAGAGTACAACTGATTCGCTAAAATATATAAGTTAACATGACGGTAATGAAGCAATTTTAATAACAAATTTGTAAGCTCAAGTTCCTATGATAGTTTTTAACCGAATTTAAGACCTCAATGGTAACCCGATTGGCTACTGAGATGTAAATAATTTGATACTGCTATATTCGAGTAAAATATCGTAACTTTTATGAAAGAATTTAGATTTATTGACCCTGGTAATAAGCTATCATATACTTATAAAACAAATAAACTAATCGAAAATACTAGCATGTTAGTATCATTTTAAGTTAATATAAATGCTGTAATATAACCGCAGATAATGAAATTACAAAAACATAATTGCCGTTTTGAGCCTAACAGTAAGTAATTACTACTCTATATAATACTGTATTTCAGTCAACATTAGGTATCATATCCGCATTATGCTCATACTTTAAGGGTGTATGCTGTATGCATATAAATATATATATCGCACATAGATAAATTTGTTGGGTGGGGCTAAGCTAACCGGCATGACTAATCCTTAAAAATTGTAGCTAGATGTTAGACAGTGCGATTACTGGATAGCTATTATATTACCTACGTGTAAGAGATAGACAGTATTATAAATGGCATATGGTAATCTGAAATTTTAAAAATAGGACCCTTAAGCCACGTGGAAGTGCTGAGTGATACCGTATATACTGTACCAATTGAAATTACTAAAGAATAACAAATTTATTATTCAGAAATTATACAAGCAAATAAGCAGATGATACAGCACGTTGACGACAATATTTACTGTAGTGTAAACATTTCTCATCTGTTTACTTTATTTAAATACCTCAAGTAACGATGGGTAACCTTCTCGGTTATTGCATCAGTCATCAATCAATCAATCATTAATCTGAACTATTTCGAATTATGCATAGATGAGAGACGTGATCGCCTTGATAGCGTAGGATTATAGCGGTGTTGATATACTGTCTACAATCTTATTTGTAGCATGCATAATAGGTAATAACATTAAGTCTATAGTTAATACGTAACATGCTTGTAAAACAGTACGTCGATCGTAGAGGGATGTACGGTAATCAATTTTTATGTTTTGAAAAAGGACGGAAGTAATATTGTGAAAGATTAAATCAAATAAACAAGTATAGTTCCCGTCAGTTTAACATCAAAAAATTTTATTCTCCAGTATTTGTTACTCTAAATCTTAGCTGAACAGATAGAAAAACAATTTTGTTGTAGGTGGATCGTGCCTTAGCCTATCATAGCATTTCATTACGAAACTTAGTCCTATATTATAGTAATAAACGAAGACAGTTTTATCTATCAATTAATAAAACCATTATATCCTATGCTATATAACTTATATATTTAATAACTATTAATTCTTTTACTTGCTACTCTTACAATACTGGATGTATGTTGTATCGCTAACTCAATTTGAAATTTCTATTAACAACTAGTATATGAACCTGCAAAATATAATTTTTATCGATACTTACGTAGTAGCAAATCTGTCTTTTATTAAATTCTGCATTATTGGCTACAGCTAATATTAGCATCTAGTCATATAGCGTAAGCATTATTCAATAGCGGTTCACATGTTAAATGTGATCTTGTAAAAATTTCTTTGAGTTTAAGATAAATATTAGCATATTCAAGTCTGCATGCTTGACAGCAAGGTGAAACATCAGGCAAATACTTAAATAATGCAACATATGACCATTTAATAATTATAATTGTTATAATCCTTTACAATCGCATATCTTCGATTAGTATTAGTTCATATTACTGAATTTTGAATGCTAGTTCACATTTTCGTATTAACTGTGTTACTACCAAAGTATCTAGCTGTAAGCCTGTGATACCCTACTTGTACCTAGCCGTAATAGTAGGATAAGGTATGGCATATCATATAATTTCGCGTATCATTAATTCAATTTTAATACCGGCATATGCTGATCATTTCGATTATCATGTAAATTACTTAATATTTATTTATACCGAGATATCTGGCTATAAAGTGAGATTTCATAGTGGCCGATATCTGATAACTGTATCATCAGCTACGATTATATACTATGGTACTATACGTTTCACTTAATATCGATGGGACCCTTTTTTATTATTTTAAGTGCATATTGAAGAATGTAAATAATCACAATTCATTACAATTCATCAGTACTTTATAGACTATGAATCAAAGCATAACTATTATTTATTATCATTTCAAAAATAATCGCCCTGCATAAATTAGCCATTGACAAAAGAGGAAGTAGTAAAGGAATTCAGTTATCATTTACTACTAGTAGCAGATATATTGTTTAAAGTTGCTTTTCGATACTGAAGTTGATCTATGCTGCATACCATTGAGTGTTCCTTATACTGTAGAGGAGATTATTTTAATTTAAGCAGTATTGAAATTTCTATACCCTGGTGTAGCTATAAGCTCTATCGCACATTGGAATAGATAGTAGACGTAATTTTAGTCGTATCCAATTCAGAAATCAGCGTGTTATCATCTATTCTTGGACATGACATGTTACTCGTAATATATCGTCATATATTTAAGAAAGAAACCGCAAATCAATAACAAACGTTGCGGTCTAGGTGTAATTGATAAAAAGCCTAATGAGAGAGATGCGAGTTTTAAATTCCATTCAAATTCGTAAAATTCCCTCCCTCCGTCCCCCCAAAAATCACGATTTTACACTGTATAAGGTGTGTTGAAGTTATACTTGTAATTAACGTTGAATGCGTTATTGCAATAAATTAAATGATTAGACTATCATCAAAGCTAATTAAAAAGAATTGAAAGTATTCTTTCGAAAATTAGTGATTAATACGCAGTAGATAATATCAAAATTAAATTTAGTTGTATGACAATTGCACCCAATAGCTTAGTATTAATACTATATAACCTTCAGCCAACCTAATCGACGTGGAAAGCACCATTCGTTGATCTAATGATGTTAAGATAGGTAATAACTAGGTGTGGCATTAAGATACCGGCAGCATGGATTCATCATTTACGGGTTATTACCTGCTATCTTGTAAGCTAATACAGTAGAAACTATAGTACTAACGAATCAATTAACTTACTCATCATCACCCGTAGTCTATCTAGACTGATTGGGGCCGAACAGTATACGAAGATATTATGTTTTTGTCATGTAACAGATGGCAATTTCATATAGACTGGGAATAAATAGAACGAATCCATTGTTTATCACTGTTGTAGTCGCTATGCCAAATGACAGATCTTACCGATAGAGTAAGAGGATCACTGTTTACCTATATCATGTGAATAAATGGCAAAAATACAAACAAAATAGCTATGGAATGCATGGTACGTTGAAAAACTTGTTTTTAGATCCTTCTTCTCAATAGGTAGCGCCTAACAATTATCAATAATGGCAATACACGTGAAGACATTACACACTGCATGGTGAATATCATTGGTAGAAGAACTAATTAATTAATTGTTATATTCAAATTCATTTGTATTGCTTATTCTAAACACTTAACTTAGCGCTAATGACGTTTATTGATCATATTGTTATTAATTATGACATCCACATTCCTTCGCTTGCAATGTTGAAATAATAACAATCATACTTTTATATGTATATTGTATTCTAATTGTTGTCATTTCCCTCGATTGCTTTTTCATATAATTTAGACTCTACTAACTTGAATCACGCCGATCGTCGATGGAATAGAGCTCAACGTGATACTCATATGGCACGAGAGATTTACTACTACAATTTAATAGCTATTTCTCGATTGTATAAATTCATATTTCAGCTGTCAGTCATTTATCAACTTGTTGGCTTCTTTCCATAATTGTGCTGATACATTCTAGTAAACAATGAACCAAATGTATTGATTTGATCATACGATTTTGTGCATGTTTGATATTCCATAGCAGTTTAAAGAATAGCTCTATCTTCAAAGCTTGGAATGTGATTGCTACTTCTATCATTAATTTTAATTTTGTGCAATGATCAGTTTCTAGGCTGGCAATATTAATTACTATTATTAGTCCGGTTACTCCTTCATTCCGTTATATTTCCATTTAGACTTGGATTACACGATTAATGGATTGCAATGGCACACATTGAAACGTTTTAAATATTCAATTCGATTGGAAAATCTTTTTTATGTCACTATCAATTCAAGATTAGATCGAATTTTCACAAGTGATCATTTATCATCATCGATTGACTATCATAGTAAAGACTTACAAGCATTTTTAAGCGTATCAGATCAAGCATTTGGCATCGACAAAATTATTGGATAGTATAGCCAGGTGGAAAACTGCGGTTCTATCAAAGTTCCGCCATGGCTTCAAATAGTTTTAGTAGCACAGAAAGGACAAATGGCGATAATATGCCCATGTAAGTCATTTCTTGGATATTACTATCGAGATGTATCATTTATTTTTGTTTTAACGGCTCTCTTATTTCTTTTCGAGTTTTTTTTGAGGGGGGGGGGGGGAGGATTTTGAAGATTAATTTTTTTCATTTGCCATGGATGAGTTTTCTTCTGTTACCATCATGACACTTTTTAATCTATAGTGTGAGGAATAGTAAGTTATTCTATCCATCCTTACTAACTAATACAAAAAATTGTAAGTTACATCGGAAAGTATTTATCAGTTATTGTCCAATTCGAAAAATAATAACCTTTCAGTCTTTTAAGTATTAAATAACGTTTTAAAATAGAATAGAATTTCTGTTTAATGCAAGAAAAAGTAATTCATCTTGCTATTGTAGCCATCATTAATAGAAATGTGGCTATGAACACATCTCAAGAAATCTTGATAGCTCAAGCTATCGTAGTCGACTATAGCTTAAAGTATTTCCCTATCTATTCATCGGCAAATTGCAAGATAATTCAAATTTATTACCTTATTTCTTAAGCTGAAAATATGATTTGCTAAGTACAAGTAAAAAGAACAGCACTATTAGATTTTGACCTCTTGAGCAACGGTTTAAGCTTACTTGACACATTTTTTCGCACTCTGTTTAACAATAATAATTATAATTGCTGCGCTTTGTTATAAATATCAAAAAGATACTAGACCGAAATAATAGTCGACTCCTTGTCTCCTTCTATAATGAAGCTAATAAAGCCATTTCATTCTCTTACCTTTCTCTTTTTGCTATAGTAATTAGTAGAACAAATTATTCATTGGTTTTTCTAATTCAAATAGTGTCATTATTCTAAATATTAATGCTGCAGCAAAATAAGTTACAGCTATCTTTAATTAAAATGGCGTAATGATAAACTATTTTTGTTAATTAAAATAAAGTAGAGCATCTTTGCCCGTGCCATTCAACTTTAAAAGAATAAAATGTCATGTATTTAGATCATAAATAAGATCTAATACGATAGAATATTGCAATGAGATTTCAGTCCACACCTAATCGCAAAGAGCTAGCTTGTATACAACTAGATATTTATAATCTACCACATTTTTACTGCGGTTAAAATTCCAATTTGGGTTACTAGTATTTAGTAAAAATTCATTTACACTTATTACATCGTCTAAATAGAATAATAATTACAATGATCGAAATTGAATCGTTTTTGGCTTCGAGAGGAGCATAAAATCAAAACATTAGCCAAAGAAAGGAATGCCGCCTTTAGATCTTTGTTAAAAATTGTCATCTACCCCGTAGTCTATTAAAACACGCTATGAGATGGCTAACAGGATCAAACATAGCCACCGAACTTTATTCCTTAAAGACTATCGTTGCTAGCTAGCAAAGTCACGAACACCTAGTTACTTTAGTTCAGAATCAGCGTGTGAGAACATCAATCTAACAATATCTGACCTATATATAGATTTTAAATTCCGTAATCATGCCGGACTATTCTTCTACTATTCGTACTTGCATATTTTTGGTCTTTCATGAACAAGTGTATCGGAAGTGAGAGAATTCTATAAATTCCAAGTTAATGTCATTCAAATCGAAGACTATCTCCTCAATAGTCAAAAAGACGACCGCAGTACAAATTACGGCGCGATCAAATTGATATCATTGCGTATCAGTTTGAAGCAAAATTGAATCTAATTTTCGATGGGCCTATTTTAATTTTGTAATTTGCTCGTTTTTTAGTATAGATGATTCGTATCGGTTTAAATTCACAAGATGAAATGAATAATTTCTAGTAGACCTTCATAGTAGATTAAGTGATTAGTTTATACAGTGGTAGAGTGGTCGAATTCTTATATCATTTCAGTAGTAGTAAAATCAAACGGTCAATTCGCCGGGGATTCCATTGGCTAGTCATTAACTATAATAGCGCATTATCCCTTATGTAGTAAACTGTTGCTACTAGTTTTTGCTATTGATATCACTTAGAAAGAATTTCATTTTACTTTTTTGGCATTCAATTTTCATTGGACGTATTTTTAACTTCTCAAAATCGCTATTTGCACAATTTAACTTGTTGTCACTTACAAGGTGGGAAAGGGGAAATAGAGAGTGTCATAATCACAATATAATGTATAGCTAATACTTTATACCAGCAGAGTATTCTCTTTCCTAGAACATTAGTAACCTTGAAGATTATATATATTTTGAATACAGTAACTTATTATCCTCCATGAATGATATCACGGTGTGTAGTTAAGCGCAAGATGGCCTAGCAGCTAACATTTCCCTTATATAAACGCTTGTGAACCCTATAAGGATGCGCTAAAATTATAGAAAAGGGGAAAAGTATGAACTAACGTTAAAAATGACCGTAATCGATCTATTTTTATACTATTACTTTATAAAGTTGATAACCTCTATCCATGAAAACGAAACATCGATTGGTTGGGTATCCAAAAAAATTGATTCATCAAATGCTCTGATTGTATTGAATCATCTAGCAAGACCTATTTAACTTGTAGATTAGGAAAGAAATAATTTAATTCCGCAGCAAACAATAGCTGCAGTTATCAGTAATCAAACTCTTCATTCGTTAACGCAAACACTTTTAAATCTTGTGCGTTTTATACGGAAAAAAATCCTTATGATGCAATCATAAGGCCCGGTTATTTATAGTCAAATCGTTTTTCATGCATAATAATATACGAAAATATAAATAAATTAAACTAATAAATTATGTATATATATATCTTTGCAATCTTAGGCCAACAACATTCGATACTTGCTTAAGCGGATTTTCTGATGAAGCAAATCGCATGCCGAATAGAAACGACAGCTTTAATTCAATTTCCTCACCACGCCAATTCGATTATAGAAACAGAAATGTGATGTATCCTCTCCAACATCGTGGTAGTTCCGAGTCTAGTCTGGCATCAGTACCAGTGAGTCGAATAATTATGGCTAAGATGTTGATATTCAATAAGATTAGCGTTATGAATTACAATGTTGAATATCTGCTAAAAATTTCCACTCAAACTATAATTTTCTTTTCATGTTCATTAATTAGAATAATTGATAGTGAATAGAACGATCAACGATGACTAGACGTATTGAGCCCTAATTCTTATTTTCAATTTTATTTAATCCGTCACAGTCTTCTTATTCCCATGCTTCTACTAATGATCCTGGTCTGATCTTTGAACGAATGCCAGATAATTTTTATGAGTAAGTAAAAAATTCAATCAACTTAATTGAATTGGAAAGTTTGATTATTGTAATCCAACTTTTTATTTGCAATTGAATTTATGTCAAAAGCGTGCTAACTATTCTAACTTTTGCTAGACCTACTAATCGGCCTCCTAATTTCAATTCGTATCCTTACGGAGAGCGTGATGGTATCTACGGTAGCGGCCTTCTTGATAGGTAAGTTAGCGAATTTTGTATAAGCATTTGATAATTCTCGATTTACTGTAAATTGGAAAGTAGATCTTTTAAAAACCTTTATACTAAATTTATGTCATAAACGATTTTTTATATAGCGGTTTAAGTCAAACAAGAAGTGAACACTCGATGCCGGAATCGGTAAATAAATCATGTGTTGTGAATTGTAATATATAACGTGACTGTTGTAGTTGAATAGATGATATATATATACAGTATAATCATAAGTTTCATTGATTAATAATAGGAACGACTTCAACGCCATATTGACTATTTAACATCTAAAGTTAAACAGTATCAAATAGAGAACAAGCATTATCAAGAAGAAAAGTAAGAAATCTACATCCGTTTATGCTCGCTTTCTAAATATTAGACAATCATACGATAGTCTGAAATTTAATCCATTCTCTTTACATTTTAGTGTCTTGTTAGCTGCACGATTAAAGGCAACATTAGATATGAATGCTGTTTTACAACGTAAGCTAAAAGAATATGCGGCCAGTAGATGGGCCGCACCACGACAACAATGGTAAGTTGGAAAAGGATAGATTTACAATAATGATTTATTTAAATAATTTATGAGAATAGTTATCGTTTTAGGCAATAGAGTAAGTAGGAATAGGACTGCATCTTCTCTAAACTTGATTTAAATCGCAACCACTCCTCTTTTTTTAGGTCATCGGATAATACTATTCCAACTGCCTCAGCATACCCAGTTCAGGGAATGGCCCATACCACAAGATCAGCATTCTCACCGACATTACCTAGTGTTAATGTAGTTACACAGAAGACAAAAACAACTTCTCCTCACCCAAGATATATGCCGCCATCATCGTATTCACCAAATCAAGAAACATCTACAGAATACAATAATAACAACAATACTAACAAAATAACTAGTAATAATAGCCATCAGACAGCGTCGCCAGGATTAATTGAACGTAAAGAATTTCGCAATATCAATTCAAGCCAATTGGAATTTTTAAAAGATGAACATTTATCGACATTAGATAGTAAAATAAGCATAGCTTCGGAAAGATCGAAATCAATAACCGAAAGAGATTGGTCCGGCTTCAGTTTTAAAGGAGGAGCAGTATCCTTGATTTCCCTTTTAAGCGAAGGTACCGGAGTTCACTGCCCCAGTCTTGGCCACAGCGAACATAATAGTGATTTATCGGATAGTGATTCTGATGAAAGCTGCAACGAAGAAAACGATGAGCAATCTATCCTTAGTCGTTATAACTCAATCAATCTAAAGAAAAGTAAGTTTAGTTCGTCTCTACTGGATTCGATGATCCATTCCCATTGCTATGCTATCATCTTGTCATTAGACAAACTTTTCTAGTCACTACGTCACAAATCATCACTATCACATAGAGTTGTTTATTTACATTCTTGTCAAAATTAATGTTGGCATTGTACCAGGCAAAAAATTTAATTCGATTATCACCATATGATCGTCTATAATAAGTTACGAAATTCATAGCAAAGTTTACAATAATACGCCTTCCCCTACTCCATTTTACTTAAAGTAAAATTGCAATTTATATTACTTTCAAATGATTAGAATAGATATTGAAAAGTTAAAAATAAAATTTATTTCCTTTATCATTGATTCAATCTAGAATTACCTTGGAAGTTTGTTGTTCGAAGTGAGATATGGTAAGTTAAATTTATATTTAAGACATGTATACGTGTATGTATTTTATTGGCTGTTTATGTTGATTTAGAATTGAACCTTTACTCTTACATCTCATGAATAATATTATCTAATCGTCTAATTTATAATTTTTCTCTATAGTTATCAGAAAAAAGGACAATTATGTATTACTTTAATGGATGCTGAATGTAATCTTCCCAAACTACCACGATTAAAAGTGTAAGCTTGATCTTTTTATAATATTTATATCGGTTGATACTTCCGATAGGTATATAGTACAAGAAAATAGTTGTGGGTAAAATGATTGTTCAGTTATCCTATCACAGATTTATGAATATTGTTTATTCTATTGATATATTTCATTTTATTACCGCAAATTAATCTTGATTTCATATGTGGTATTAATATAAATGTTACTTTCTTTCAATAGACAATAGAATTAAAAACTTAATTATATTTTTTATTGATAATTTTAGATACTTCTTCGTCAATTTAACTTCCAACAATGGTGACTGGTCAGAAGGCCGAAAAACAGAACTATTTCATGTTACTAAAAAATTTCCTATTAATCAAGTTTATAACTTCTCCTTAATCAATGTAAGTCTTTCAGTCCAAAGTAAATTATACGTATCAATGAGCTATTGATGGCTTAATATTTTTATCTAACGAATTACTTGACAATATGCTGCCTACATAACATCATGAGTCTAGTTACTAATTGACAAATTTGATGTTTTTTACAGGACAGTCTAGACGATTTTGTTATTAACCTTAGTGTTTGCACAAGAATTGAACCTAGTGATGTAGAAGTCTCACTAGTATGTATATTAAATCGCTATTTATGGATTTAATTATAGAAAATTAATAAAATTCTTGATCATTTATTAGGGTATACAATCCATTATACCTCCTAATTGTTTGAATGGAGTCCGATCTTATGAAATTACTAGCAGCAATGTATGTGACAAAACGTCTATATAAATACAACAATGTTGATCAATGTATTGAGTTCCTTTCCGTCTGGATCCTGTTAATCCTATTTTAATTTATTGGACTGTTATAGGCTAAAACGTGGAAACAAGTTATTTCTAGCCTTAAAAACTGCAGTAAAAAATCAAGCGATATTACTCCATCAATTAAGCAAAATAATGACAATGAGGTAACAACTAGAGTAGTTTAGAGCTTATGCTTAAGAGAGCCTTCAAAAGCAAACTTGCGTTTTCTTCTTATTTATAAAATGTATCGATGCTTAGTCATATTCAAGATAGAGGATTTTAAATAAGGATAACCATGAATATATATCTGTTACCGTATTTGAGTTTTGAAATATCCTGTTATTAATGAGTAAAGTAGTTGTGTATGCCTTTATGGCCAATTTTTTTGTTTTTATATTAATCATTTTATCATTTCCACCAAGGAGGGAGCAAATTCGTTCCGGCACTCAATACCTATCAAAACTAAAGATCTAGATAAGGATGCATCTAATCCATCCAGTTATATTTCTTGTAATGACGAGGTAATGAATTATTACGCGAAACTGCATTATTCACCACTAGTCGTGTGCAGAAATGTATCAGTTTACAAGATATATCTTTCAATCTACCTCACAGGAAATTATACTACAAAATCGAACTCACTCTTACAGTAACTTAAGACATGTCGGTGTGGAAGAATCAGACCATAATGACAGCGATGACGAATGTAATGAAATAACTCCAAAATTAGAATCTAAGGTAAACATTATATTGATGACGTCAGATTATCTATGCCTACACCGAAATACTGAATTAGTTACTCCAGAAATTCCTTAGTTGGAGTAGCCATTACTTTATCATTAGTCACAAATGGCATGATGAGTATTATCTATAGAATACTGTACCGTAAATTCAAAAGAGTTTTGGCTGATTGAAAAATCAAGGCAATCTATATCTTAAAATGATGGATTTCTATCTATAGGCTCCAAGTCGTACAAGTATAAATGGTAGTCAAAATATAAAAGAAGTTGTAGAGACAGGTATTGTGCAGCATATACATGCATAACATGAGCAACAGCGATTCTGTACTATTAGCCTAAATTCGTATATCTGAATATCTATTGTCATTTAATATTATAGAATCGAAGGATGCGGCATCTTCCCACGTATCCAAGAGTAAAGATACAACTACCACGGTAAGAATAGAAGGAACGCTAGTTTGTGCAACGTAGAATAATTCATTATTATATAAGGATTAAGCAAAGATACCCTGTTAAATTATTCATCTTTAATTCCTACTATTAATATAACAGGCTGAAAATCATCGTGGCTCAAGGAGATCACTCAAATCATTATTAAGAAGAAATCATAAAAGGAAAAATGTAGATACAATGGTGTAAACTGCATCTTTAAAAAATATTTCCTAAATCTCAAAGTGGCCGTTCTATTCTCATTGCATGTAACCATTTATCCAACGCTCTGTGATATTGATAACTTTTATGGCCATAAATGCATAATGTAAAAGAAACCGTAATATAATTCAATATTGTATAGTATGTAAATGAAATATTAAATTTTACTTCTAATAATATGTGAAATATATCGTAATTACTGTCTAAACTTTGACCCTGTGAAAGGGCTAATAAATGCATATTAATTAAGTGTTAAGATGATAGGCATTATTAAATGGCCTTATAATTTCGTTAAAGAAACTGTCCACAAATTGTATTGCTAAAATTTATGTCATCTATACTCATGGCGGAATAACTTCAATTTGCAATAAATAGAGTTCAGATATGCAGTTATATTTGCATACTATGCTCGCTTTATTAAGCTTTAGTGTTGCGAAAAAACTATAGAAAACTAGCTATCAAGTATGGAAGGCATAATGTCTGGATTTATTCAAATGCTAAATAACATATTAGAGTAAATTGCGGTCTGGTACAGACGAAGCGAGCGGGCTCGCAACAATATTATAACTTATAAGCAAGTATAAATAATATTATTGATCCCTATTTTATAACTGATTTATTACATAATATTGTATGCAAAACAAATAATAGATAAATGGTTAAACTAAATCTTTTCTACTGCGAATATTAGATTGTAAATGATTATTGTTTACTACCATGTTTGGTAATAAAATTTTGCCAATTATATTATTTATCGACTAGCTGAACCACGTATGCCTAGCTGTGCGTTAAATTATACGTCTACAATATTAAGCAATCATCAAATAAGCTTAGTTGGAAATATTTGTTCTATCTACCCTTTAGACTATGTTCAAGAGTACCGTATGCCACCGCATGTGAATTACTTGTACTTCAAGATTCTTAAATTTAACAAACCAAATTTTAAAAGATTTTTGAACGATGTAAAGCTTTATTTATCAAAGTTCACAATTTCTACTGCTTGCCATTTGTAAGACAGTGTAATAATGTATTCTAAGTTGATGATATGTTTAGTAATGTCTACTATAGTTATTGTATTCAACGTGTGATACATATTCCGTTAGAAGCTTAAGTATTAAATATAGCTAGCTTAGTAACTGTATCCTCTTGAAGAGGAGTGCTACAGTGTTCACACTAGAGCTTCACGTGAAAGGTGTAAACTATCCTGTATTTGAGACGGTAATACTGAAGTGTATAGTAAATAAGGTACTAAGGTTTTTAACGCAGAAATGTATATAAGCGAGTAGTTTAGTTCAGTAAAATAGTTCTTTCTCGTTAGAGAGGTCCTCAGCTGATCGATCTTTGTAAACGAGGTTTTGTTCAATAAATCTTAATTTTCTAAAGTCTAGGAGATTCTTGGTCTATCAACCTCACACTATTATAAATGTGTATATCATTCCTAACAAGATTATGCTATCGAATATTGTTCACCTCTAACCCGAATAAAGTAATCGAGTTCACAATATACTAAGATACTAAGTAAAATCCACATTAATCAAACCAAATTAGCTTTATTTTAAAGCCATAATACTTATTACGATTCAAAAACTTGGAAGGCAAATTCTAAAAATTAATCTTTATATTATTTCTTAGCATTCATGATACCATGTGTATAACAGAATGGTCTGAGCAAAAACACTTAAGACCATACATATTAGTTATCAAGTTCTGATTTTAATAAAGTGCAAATAATAGTTCATTGTAACAGTATGGGGTATTTATAACTTTAAATGGAAAGGAATAATGTAATCATACAAAACAGTACTGTTATGGCCGACTTTATATCAGTACATATGGCATAATAATGTAGACATTATCATATTGGATTTTACTATCAATAAACTTAATGCACCTAGCTGATTACTCGATTGAAATAACTTGAATATATGAGTACATGTTTCTTTCTATAAGTTTTTATTTAATCAGATTTATTGGTTGTATTTCTTTTATGAACCAAGTATTTCAGATAGAGTTCACCTAAAGTAGCGATATAAAATAGATAAAAGGGCGTCAGTTATTAGCTTTTGCGGCAGCAATCATATATAATTCATTCATTGCAGAGACCTGCATTCAACAATCTACAATTTATTTTATCGTGATCATACCGTTGAAGATTCTTTACGGTTACAACATTATGTGAATAAACATCTACCCTTCCATTGACCACCGCAGCAATGGCATCTTTATTTTCTTGGAAATCAGGTGTTAATGTTTCAACCAACATTAATAACTTACTGAATTAATGGGCAATAATTTAAATTGCTTGTGTTTAATGATATCAGATAGTTGTGTATTGTCAATAAATCATCGATATATGATCAACTGTGTTTCTTTCTATAGCCATGAATACCGTTTCTTAATTTCTCGAACAATTTTGGCGAAATGGCTGGATCCACCATCAAGAAGATCTGTCAGTATTTAGAATAAATATCATTTAAAATGTTAGCCATCCTATTCTACTAGATCGTTTCTATCCAGTTTAAAGGTAGTATGCATACCATCTCTATTCACAGAAGTTAAGACGACACAGTCAAGGCCCCATTTTGCAAGCGCTATCGCCGTATTGATAGGTTCATCAGGGTCAGGCATCGGACATGAAAGTACTGTTTTAACGGAGCAATATCGACAACAATATCGACAACACGAGTACAAGTATCACCTAGAATCTATGGATTGATTTAAAAAACTAATTTGAAATGTCGATTTTAAATTCAGTCGAATTTGGCCAAGCCTTACCAAGATTGATGCGGTAGCAGACCCAGATTCACCTCCCCAACATTCACTGATGTTTGGGCATTATGCTGCTTCACAAACCTATCCATTCAAGAACCATCATTACTAATGTTAGCTTCGATAGTATTGAAAATGCAGGTTCAAACGACTAACATAGATACGTTCTATACCAGGAATAAATTGACGTGGATGACTTAATAGAATTGGCCATCAAAAGGAGTAGAAGAGTCATTAATGGGAAGATGACTATAGATGTACCGTGTTTAAATTTAAACTTCTTAAATCATTCTTTAACTTGTTATAACTTTGGGGCGTAGGTATCGTCGGCTTTCTAATCCACGGTGGTAAAGGAAGGCTATGATTAGAATAGTTGGCGAAGTAAAGGTTAAGTGTAGTTATAAAATCAGTCGTATTTTGCAAGATTGAATCCATTGCAGGTGATAGAATACGCCTTCATTGCGGACAAATGTGGCAAGAATCATTGGATTTCTCCTTGGTAGAATATAAGTAGCAAAAGATGGCTTACTATCTACGTTTAGCAAAAAAATCAACTTTCTTGATTTGATTGGGAGATTTGACGATAAAATCTTGTAAAGCAGGCCCATTGGCAATCTCTTGTATCTTCTTCTTTGGTAGATTACCGTAATAACGATGGAGAACGCCAGCGGATGGCATCCATTTCAAAGCCTTGGGTGTCAAAAAGAACAATTAGTCTGTTGATATTGGGTGATATCTACCGGCGAGCAAGTATTGATGGCCACATTCAATCTGTCTCTGGATTACCTGTGGAAACGGTCAGTAAGTCCATGGTGAAATGATCTGTAGGTCGGCCATAGCAAGAATCGAGGCAGTAACCGTCTTTGGATAACAACCAACGAATTGCCTTTGCTTTGCGAGGAAATAATTTTCCAAAATCAACGCCGCCCAAAAGAATAGGATAGCACAGTATCACATACACAAGGTGATGGATTACTCGTTACGCCTAGCAACTCACCGCCTTCTTGCTTAGTCTTGCTCGGCTGCTCGTTCCAAGGTGATCGCCATTCATTGCAGGTATTTCCACCTGCTAGTGATTGACCGCTGCGTTAGAATAGGGCGGGCAATGCGTTCGTTTCGTTGAACGTTAGTTACACTCTCCATTTATTTGGTTGACAATTTAGAGACAGACAACGCCATTTTGAACTGGAGATGACGAAACGAGAGTACTAATATTTAGATGAAGAATTGGGGGAAAATTCTTCATCGTCTCCATGACAATCGGCCATTTTTTCCAACTTTCATTCTCTCCTTATCGCAAGTTGGACGTCCAACGCCATTGCAAACGATGACGTATGCACTTGCCCAACCAATCAAAATCTCTCTCTATTGTGGACAATGACAAAGACAAGGAGTAGTGCATACTTTTACTGTATATAATATGAATATGGGTTAACTTATATAAACTATGGATTACGCCAAGAAGACTAAAAGAAGGTCTTCCAAAAAAGGGACAAAATTATGGGTTAGCATACTGTATATAAAGCATGGACTACGCCAAGAAAACTAAAAGAACGTCTTCTTGACGTAGTCCATAATATACCTAAATACAAAAAGTGACAAAATTATGGGTGAAGATTTATAAACCATTGACTACGCCAAAGAGGCTTTAAAAAGGTCTTCTTGACGTAGTCCATGATATACCTAGATACAAAAAAGGGACAAAATTATGGGTTAACTAATGTAAGCCATGGACTACTAGTATATCAAGAAGACTAAAGGAACGTCTTCTTGACATAGTCCATGATATACCTAGATACAAAAAAGGGACAGAATTATGGGTTAACATACAGTATATAAACCATGGACTACTCGCGTATAAAGAAGACTAAAAGAACGTCTTCTTGACGTAGTTCATGATATACCTAGATACAAAAAAGGGACAGAATTATGGGTTAACATACTGTAAATAAACCATGGACTACTCGTGTATCAAGAAGACTAAAAGGTCTTCTTGACGTAGTCTATGATATACCCAAATACAATAAAGAGACAGAATTATGGGTTAACATACAGTATATAAACCACGGACTACTCGTACATCAAGAAGACTAAAAGAATGCCCTCTTAATGTAGTTCATGATATACCTAGATACAAAAAATGGAAAAAAATTATGGGTTAACATACTGTATATAAACCATGGGCTACGTCGAGAAGACTAAAAAAAGGTCTTCTTAACGTAGTCTATGATATACCTAAATACAAAAAAGGGATAAAATTATTTTTACTCGACGTTATTCGAGTTGGCCTATTGGTCACATCGTCGATCCAGGTATATTGCTTCTGTAGTATCGCAGAAGTAGTTTCATCAACGTACGGGGAACGAGAAGGACCTACTGTACAGTGCGACGTATTGCTCCTTGCAAATCTCTCTAGCTACAACGTGTATCTTCGATTATGAGAAGAAAACTAGCACAGTTACAGTAGTCCATGCCTATACAGTAAATACCTACTGTAAATGTTAATATACAGTATAATCCATAGACTACAGAAAAAAAACTAAAAGAATAAACGTGGAGTAAAAATTATTTTGTCCTTTTTTTGTATGAAAAAGCTTGAGCTAACTAGCTATCTAAAATACATAGAATGCTTTATGTCTCAATGGATACAAATGCTAATTACATAATAGAGTTAATTGTAATCTGTTACAGACGAAGCAAGGAGGTTTATAACAGTATTATGAGCAAACACAAATAACATGATTGATCAATGACATGAGCATTGCATAAATGATCTATACGTATTACCTAATACTCAATGAAAAAGAGATAATTGATACTAATTGTAAATTAATTTCTACTGACAATTTTAAATTGGTTATGTTTATAACTAAGTGTAAGATCTCTTTTACTTCACTTCACTTATATTTGATCAATTTGCTAAGATTGCCCTTGCTTTCTATAGTACTTAGGACTTATAACTAGAGTATGACTTAGCTAGTTAATACTGGAGGAATCTTAAAATTTACGCGGCACTACACCAAGTTTGATCATAATTTATCTTTACCTTTTATTTATAAATTATGATATATTTCTTAGCATTCAAAATAATAGTATATGTACGCGTATAGCAGAATCACCTAGGCAATACTTGATAGAGCTTATAAATTATCAAATTGTGATTTTAGTAAAATAATAATAATTAATAATTCAGTGTAATAGTATGGCATGCATATTTATATCACCATACGGAAGGAAATGATGCAAAGTTTTACAAAGCAACTCTCTTATAGCTCCACTTTATATCAGTATCTATTGCACAATAACCAGTCTATAGATAGCATTATAGCGGATTTTATACTATTAATAAACTAAACTTCATGCGCTTAGCTGATTACGTCATTGAACATCATAAGATGTTCATTTTTCTTTCTACAAGTGGTTAATTAGTCAGATCCATTGGTCTTATTTCTTTTATGAACAAGGTTTTTCAGATAGAATTCACCTACAGTAGCGATGTAAAATAGATGAAAGGGTATCAGTGAACAGTATTTGCTATTCAGCGCAGGCTATGCGTTGCATTTCGGCAGGAAATTATGTAGACAAATAGAGTATAGTAAGGATATAGGAAGGAGCAAACGTAGCAATGAACTGGCTATTATATGCTACCATGTTGTCATTTTAAACTGCTATAGAACCATTATTGTTACCTGCTTTGTAAGATGACCGTACTAAAGGGCCGCTAGCAGTATAGGCAAAACCTAGTTCGTTACCAACTTTTTCCCAATGCTGAAATTTGGCAGGTGTAACGTATTCCTTAACCTACGATCCATGACATGATAATAATGTTTAATAGAGATGTTGCATTTTGTTAAAAGATCACATTTTCAAAATGAATTCAAGTCTTTATCGAGACTATTCAATACTTTAATATGATATCTTGTAGGCTGCATATACTGGCCAAGGGTGATACAATCGACATCGATACTTCTTAAATCTATCGATAAGATAAATGATTTAATTTCTCTATACTAAGACAAGGACAAATTTCTCTTCTATAGGGTAACCTTTCATGGTTTGGAGTATTGATTCATCAGTCTCTCCCAAACCCAACATTATGGACGTTTTAGTAACAAGATTGGGATTAACGATTTTTGCGTAACTCAAAACTTCAAGAGATTGTTCATAATTTGCGCGTGGATCACGTACTAGCCTATCAATTGGAGATATAATTGCAGATGTATCATCAACAATCAACAATCTATTTCCAAGTCATGAAAGCTTAGGAGTGAAAGCATAGGAGTGACATACCATTGAAGATTCTTTACAGTTTCAACATTATGTGCATAAACATCTACTCCCGCATTGACAACTGTAGCAATAGCTGCTTTATCCCCTCGGAAATCAGGTGTTAAAGTTTCAACCAGCATCGATAAATTGCTAGATCAAGGGAAAATAATATTAAAATTGTTGGGGATGAAAGAAATCACGTCGTTCTATATTATAAATGAATTCTATATAATCTACTGTGTCCATCGATAGCAATGAATACCGTTTCTTAATTTCTTTCACAGTTTCAGCGAAATGGTTGGATCCACCATCAGAAAGATCTGCCACCATATAGAAAAATAAATTTATAAATTTCATTTCTAGGCTACCAATCCTATGCTATAGCAGTGGTAGCATCATGCTATAAGATCGTAAGCATACCATCTCTATCTACAGAAGTTAAGACTACATAATCAAGACCCCATTGTGCTAGAGCTATAGCCGTGTTAACAGGCTCATCAGGATCAGGTGGAGGAGGTTTACGTGCTGTTTTAACGGAACAAAATCGACAACCACGTGTACATGTATCGCCTAGAACCTATTCATACACAGGGTATACAAAAAAACAATATCAAGAACCGATTTCAAGGGTAATCCTATTTAGTCGTGACTTACCATGATTGTTGCAGTAGCAGTTCCAGATTCACCACCCCAGCATTCACCTATGTTCGGACATCTTGCTTCTTCGCAAACCTATTAATTAACAAATCATACACTACTGATGTTAGCTTTGATACTATTAAAAATAATGGTTAAAATGGCTAACATGATCATCATGGCGGTGTTGGACTACAGGAAAAAATTTTTACAAATGACTGAATAGAATAGACAATGCAGCTATTAAATTGGTTATGAAAAGTTCTCTGCTATCCAAGGGAGTAGAAGAGTCAACTTCAAGCGAGCTATTGCTAGCGATGATGATTAATCATTACAGAGGCATTTCACTACTGTCCAACAACCAATTGATTATGCGAGAAGACTGTAGAAAGTATAATTACAAACATGGTCCAATGCATACGTACCGTATGTAATTTTAAGTTTCTTAAATCTTTGTTTAGCTTGTTATAACTATTGGACGTAGGTATCGTCGTTTTAAGCCACGGCGGTAAAGGAAGGCTGAAATTAGAATAGTATATGAATAGAGTATTAAGAGAAGCTTCAAGCCGATTTCATTGAATAACATTAACAGCGAATCTATCGATGATGTGGCAAAATTGGATCAACTAAAGGCGAGTTCGAATAGTATATGAATAGAGTATTAAGACAGGCTTCAAGACGATTTCATTGAGTAAGATTGACATCGTATCTATCCATGATGTGGCAAAATTGGATCAACTAAGACGATTTCGAATAGTATATGAATAGTGTACAGTATTAAGAGAGGCTTCAAGACGATTTCATTGAGTAAGATTAACAGCGTATCTATCCATGACATGGTAAAATTAGATCAACTACAGATGATTTCGTCTATAACGTGTGGATATCTCAATATGAATAGTGTCATTCCTCATTCATTTGACATTGATGAATTATGATAGTTTACCGTCTACGTTTAGCAAAATACTCTTCTTTCTTGATTTCACTAGGAGATTTGACAATAAAATCTTCTAAACCAGGCCCATTGGCAATCTCTTCTCTCTTACTCTTTGGTATATTACTGTAATCACGAATCGAAGCGACAGTCGATGGCATCCGTTTCAAAGACTTGTACATAAAAATAATAATTAGTGGATACACCCCATCACGAATACAGTACGCTAGCATGCACTTATTGCATAAAATACCCTTAAAAATGGTCTACAAATCCATTGGGAAGTCGTTTGTAGGCCAGCCATAACAAGAATCGAGGCAACGACACTCTTGATTGACCATCAAACGATGAATCTGCCAGACTGTACTGGTAATTCTTCCTAGTAATGAACAATCCTTTCGATCGATCCTGTTGTATTTCAATGTCATGCAATAGAAGTGAAAATAGACAGGCGATTTTCCCTTGACTTGATTTCAATTGCCAGCCAACTTTCCCTCTGCTTCTGCAGTCGATGTTGGTTAGAATGGGTAATGAGGAAGAAATGATTTCAAAACAAGATTGGTAGTGGACCATCCAGCCAGCCAAATCACTTACTGGTGGCGTTGTTGATACTGTCTATTGTACCGTAAGGTATTGTATGAAGCACAATTTCATCCATTTATGACGTCATTGGCTTCAATGCAATGTACTGTACGTACAAGATGACTGCAGGCAAGAGACACCAATTCATTCTAGATACGACTGTTACCCTACTGAAAGTGCAGTCGTTGCTAGTAGAGGGAGTATGATAAAGAATCTTCCTTGACCAACCAGTTCGAACTCGAACAAGTGTACACTGTACACTGTACGGTACAGTACGCTATGGCATTGACAGTCAGGTGACTCCGTCCATCGTCTGTCCGACTGTATAACATGGCAGACAATGTAGAATGTACAGTGTACACTTGTACACTATGGAGTCACCTGACAATGAATTGGGCACTACAGTACAAACTAGACACTTTGACTGTTCAGTACTGTACTGTACCATACCATACCATACAGCCTATACTGTACTCTGGGAGGAGCGATGGTTAGATAACCACGTTTTTTACTTAGTACTGTAGAAAATTCGGAATTTAATACAATATTACATAAAAGTTATTCCATTAAGTTCATTTTTATTAAGTAAATTAATAAGCCAAGTTATTCAGCTTTATATTTGTATAAATTTTATTACATTTTGATTCATTCTTGTGATTTTAGGGCACCTTACAGTACTCTGATTCGAATTAGTTTACGCAAGTACAGTACAGTACAGTCAGTACAGTACAGTACACTGTACTGTACTGGTACTCAGTACTCAGTATTCAGTGTCCATCCATGGTCTGTCCTATAACATAAGCTATCAGCGTTAGCAGTGTTGGATCTGCCAGGTTGTATGTTATAACTTGGGTTAAATAATCCAAGAATTTAAAAACAAAAGTACAACCGAAGTTAAATAACAGGCTGTAAGCAAGGGCTAGAACCCAAGCCAACAACTAGCATCACCAATAACCAACACTGCCTATCAGAGGAAGTCAATTTCGGTTCAATCATAGTCACAGTTTTAGCCAAATCTTGCAAGAACTTGATAGAAAGTGGTCGTGCAAGGTTCGGGTCTGCTCGATATGGATGCATTTCTAGCAGTCCATCTTAGTCTTCTTCTATCGATACAGATACTGAATTCGGTCGGTAATGGACTTATTTTTTTTTCAATCTGTCAATCAAGCTGTGCTCACCAAATCCTAAATCCTATGTTGGTAGTGTTGGCGGAGCAAAATAGTTCAGCGATAGATCCATTAGTCAACAATTGTACTGATTGATAGTCTATTCTAGTGTAATAAAGTCGTCTGTATCTTAATCTGTTCAACGGCTATATCTCACAATAAAATGAGTCAAACTGGACTGAGATCAATGGTTTATATTATTATAGTTTATAGCAATTTTACGCTCGTATAAGCTAATCTAAAAATATGGAGATACAAACCGATCTATTTCTAAGTTCACTCTCCATCCTCTAGGCCCCTAACTAACAAATGGTTTCCTTTAGACGTATATGCTCGATGTCTATATTAAGCTTGCTACATGCAGGTGCTCAATTCTATACTGGACCTATTTCTCAATCGGTGCATTACAGTCATGCTCGTCTAGTCCTGTGCTAGTTGAACTTCCATCTACTTGCTTCCAGAGCAGAATAGTTCAGTGATCGATCCACTAATAGATAAGTATACTGATTGAATCCTATTCAATACCTGTAGATTCGCTATAACTCTATTCTATATATGTAGATGATCAATGTGTGATAGACTAATTTCTCTTTCCATAATTGAAGTCATATTTGTCCAATCCTGGGCTAGTAATACTTCACCTACTTGTTTACTGAGCAGAATAGTTCAGAAATTGATCCACTAATCAACAAGTGGAGGGATTGAATCCTATTCTATACATGTAGATGTTCGATTCTGTGATGGACTAATTTTTCCATCCGTAAGTAAAGTCATATTTGTCCAATCCTGGGCTTACGATACTTTACCTACTTGTTTACTAAGCAGAATAGCTCAGTAATAAATCCACTAGTCAACAAGTATACAGATTGAATGCTATTCTATACATGCAAATGCTCGATTCTGTGATGGACTGTCAAAATTGTCTAAATGGCATAAACTATCTAGAACTAGCCTCCTAGGTAGACTCAAAAAAACAATCGCAAAAAATACAGTACAACTTACTCTAGGTTTCGATTTTATTTTAGTAGTTCTCACTAGCAATCTATAACAAACAGAAAAACAAAAACAACAAACAATAACTAGCTTTTATACTTAGACTTATAATAAGATAGCATAAAGCAAGTGAACAACAGAAATCCAGTCAAAGTAGGTCAACGCAGCTAAAGTATAACAAACATGACAGATTGTAACTTAGTCGAACCATATTATTAGCTTAAGTACTATAAGAAATGATTACAAGTTAAAAAATATAGTTCATATGATCAGTATGGAAGAACTACTGCAACACAACCTTAATATCGAAAACGTAGTTCCGTAACACGGACTGTTTTTTTTTTTATCTGTCAATGAAGTCATGTTTGTCCAGTCCTGTGCTCGTTGTATTTCATCTACTTGTTTACAGAGCAGAATAGAGTTTATCGATAGATCCACTAATAAAAGTGTACTGATTCAGTTCTACTCCTCCATACAGATGCTCTATTCTGTAATGAATTTATTTTTTCAATTTGTGGATTAAAGTTTGCTCATGGAATCCTGTGTTTGTGATACTTTATCTGCTTATTTACCTGTAATAACCTAGTTAGGATGAATTTTATAAGTTGTTATGAAGTAACTACGTTAACTTACTTGAATAGGTCTAACCTGTAAGAAATTTTAAAGCTGTTCATAAATCATATATATGTCGCTGTTAATCTACGTAGGAAATATTTGTATACATACGCGTACTGATTTTAACGCTATTATCAGAGATTTCATAACTTATACATTATTCTATCCAATATGGAAATTAGCTGTTCAGCTTAGCTATCATTTCAGTTGAGAGGGTAACTTGGATACCTTTACTTACTATTTAGAATACAAAGCAGTATGGAAATCATTTTATCTCCTACGGTATCTTGGAATTTGTACTTGGATTTTCCTAATATACGTATTATACATTCGCTATTAGTAATTCATATTTCGAGTAAACGTTCCATTTATAGTAAATTAAATAGTTAAGAAGAGTTATGGTGGAGACAATCTGTAAGTAGTATATATTGTACTTAATCAAATATGTCCGTTGCTAGTTAAAAAATATTTGTAATAGCTCAGTCCTGAAAAGAAAACGTGATTGTTAATTTAAATTTATTTTCGTTCAAACACGGAAACTGATCTACTTCACTTCTGAATTAATGCAGCCTTAAAAAAAATAATATTATTATTCTTAGGGTTATTTCATCGCCTATTACATAACTAATATTTATTTTGATATTGTCTAGTAAGTAAATTATCATTTCTAATATAACAGAGGCGATATAAGGTAAGGTAATAAAAGTCAATCCATCTGAAACCAATGCTGTCCTTTCACTAGTATTGATCTATCATTAATTAAACAAACAATAATTTAACGAACAGTAATTAATAATTCGCTCGTCAATACCTTATAGTGTAGTTATAAATAAGCAAATATACAATTTAATACAATATGGTAATCATCAATTTAACCGTAACTGATCAAAATTAGCTTGCTGATGCTATGGGCAAAGTCAGGCTATATTCAGTACATATTCATTAATAATTTGAATTTGGAGAGCTTTTCGCATTTCTATTGGAAATACAGCAATACAGCTCTAACTTTCTTTTAAAAAACTTGTCAACTACTTGTGATTATGTTGCATTGACATCAAAATTGTATTTAATTTATGATACAGCATTCATATTATATTGATATTAAAATGGGGCATAAATCTAAGATACAGCATTCACTGCCTATTATACATGAATACAACTGTAGAATTTATTAACATACAATATCAAATCTAATATTATATGTATTGGGCACTAACTTCTTTTGTTCCGAATTAATTCCAAATAGCTGCATTAATATTGCTTCCTAAACAGTATATAAAACATTTTAGGACAAAAGTATGACGGCATAAAGGTCTGTAAACTTATGATATAAATCATCAAAGCCGATAACTTTTCAGGTACTGATCTGTTAGAGATGAAACTGCATTTAATTCTCAAGACAGACTAGTAATTATTTGTCTAATTTGCAGCTTGATATTAAAGTTCTTATCTTTTAAATTCGTTTATGAGTGGATAAACGGGAAATTGTTAGAAGGAAATATTTGAGGTATACAAATTTTCCTCGATTAATATCTTTCTCATCGTTACTCAATCAAAATGTTCAATAATGTCTACCGTTACATCAAAAAAACTCCCATTGAACTATTTCAATTTTTATAGAGTAAAGTTTGCATTAAATCGAATAAAGTTAATTAGATTTTCAGGCGAGAAAACAATTCCAAATACTAAATAAAATTATAACTAAAGGAACATCCAAAATGACAGATACAAATAACATCAATGATTTCATTAGCAAAGTATTAAGGATTATTTCATAATTAGTTCTGCAATATAGCCCTGTTATCCTCCTTGATTTTTACATCGGCTGTAATTAATGTAAATAAAAGATTATTTCTCGGATGAGTTGACACAACCTGATGAAGCTATTAACAAATGTCACTTAATATTTATGATAAGCTAAATATGAAAAGTTCAGCTGAAGCTGAAGCACAAATCAACAGAATATCATTAATAATTAGATCTAATCACAACATTGCTGTAGTAAGCTGTAATATATCAAACAAATATCAGGAATCACTACATAAATACTTATAATCGAAAATTAAACGTGATTAATAAATTTTTTTACCATCGGCTAATTTTCAAGTTCATAAAGCAGCACTGGGGTGTAAAATGCGTCAAAATCATATTATATTTATTATCAATCGTGAAGAACGATATTTTAATAGAAGATATAGAATTCTACGGAAATAATAATATTTAGTTTCGCTTTTTAGTTCGGCTTTGCTGTTATTTTATCTTATTCGTGATATTTTAAGTATTGGTTGTTATGTAATCTGTATTGCTGATGCAATAATAAACTAATTAAAACAATTAGTGAAGCAATTAAAATTAAATTTCCTCAAATTTATTATTGGGACAATCTTTGTACAATAAGCATCTTATTGCCCAGCCAAAAAAAATAGTGGGCATAAAGAAATGATATTAGAATTCATCAATAATAATTGTAGAATTACAGTAAATTAATTGACAGCGTACTTATTAACTGATATTATCTAGAATATGCAGACTTACTAGAATTGAACGTAAATAGATTTTAGGCAGCTGTTAACACAAATAACTAATAGTAAAATACAAAACAAATATTAAATTTATTAGTGTATTACCAATTTGCGTCGATATTTTCGTATATCAATTATTACTTTTATGAACGGTAGCCAGATTAATGAAGCATTAAATTAGCGCCATAGTCAACAAATAAAATTTGATTAGAGGATCACAGTCCAAGCGGAGGTATAAAAGCTAAAGCGCTCCCACTATATATTTAGTCAACTATCGGAAATAACCCAATCAAGAACGACTCATCCTAGACGATATAAATTAATCCTCAACTACCATTCTTCGGATAGATTACCTCCAGTTGAATCGCTTAATAGTTTAAAATAATTCCTATCTGCTGCCATTCCATTAATACTACCGCTAATTATAAAGGTCAATCATGAACAAATTTCATGGCGCCCTACTGATCCTCAGTAGCTTCCAACTCATTTCGTATACTTTGGCTAGTGAATTTCCTGCAGGCGGAATCGATCTTTCTATCACCGTTCAACTTAATGTACCCAAGATCAATTTTATAAAGGTATATATTATCTACTATTTATACTATTTCCTCTCAAGTAACTTCAAAAGAAAATTTCATCAGCTATGAATAATTAGATGGAGCTAATTTTTTTAGATTTCCAGTAATGCTACACTTAATGATGGTAAAGTAATCTTTGATGGATTTCCAATCAAGCCCAATCACGTTGCCGCATTGCATTCAAATAAAGATGTCGGTAAGTTATCCCTTCAAATAAAATAACGATTTAAGAAGCTTTCATTAATTTTTACTCACTCTTACGTCCTCCAGTGGTTAATCCAAACTCAGGATATTATACTATCCGATCGGTTAAAACAGAAGTGAGAGTTTTACTTCGTGTCTTAAAATGCGTGAATGGCATTAATGATGTCTACATTATTGAAGAAGAAGTTTCTAAGCTCGATAACAGACCGGTACAACATGAAGTTGATGTAAAAAACTGTCCTGATGTTTCTCGATTTTAATGCTATAATCTTGTTATTGCAGGTTAAACAACTCAAGGTTGCAGTAATTAAAATACTTACAGAATGTGACGGAAAATTCGTAGGTTACCTAACGGATTATTGCAATCATTTAGAAAGCGCAATTCATCGTAGGAATCACAGTGATGATGAACATCATCATTTGTCAGTAGAAGAGCAGTCTAGTACTGAATTACCACAATAATGTGCGATACTTTAAAGTTGTTAACGCTTTAAATTAAAATAATTGAAACTGCTAATGGCTTATAATTATTAGATATCAGTCTAAAGCGTACTAAAATCGCCCATATGTGCAAGCTTGAAGTGTTATATTTCAGGTTTAAGATTGAACTAAAATTTATACAGCAACATTGAAAATCTTCTTTTCTAATGTCGTATAATCACTAGATTCAAGTCATGTATTAACTTTCATTTTAAAGCCAATTAAAAACTACGTGCAGTATATCATTAACTAGTGCAGTTCAGAAAACTCTACATAAAAGCCATTGCTTTACAGATTTATTACTTGCTTAATAAGTCAGTGTAAAGCTGTTGAGAATATACGGTAATAATTTGTAAGATTAAAAGTTTTAGACCATTTATTGGATATATAAAAGTAAAATTTCCTGGTTACAAAACTAGTTTCAATCTCTAGCTATTAAATTTGTTTCACTCAATTTGCTGTATTAATCTCTTAAACTGTATTTAGTGACCTCATAAACTTTACTTTAATTTCTGAAATTATTAGGTATGCTGCAGTAATACAGTAGATGATATCATTATTAAATATCATGACATCTTATTCCTGGAAATGTTCAGTAAAGTCGGTAATGACGTGTTCTTGAAATAATTAATACGATTAATTAGCTTCATAATAAATGAGACTAGATGCAACGGAAAGTTTTATTCTTGTCTTTATTAAATTTAAGCATTATAATTGGAATAAAAATTTTAAATTAAGCGGTACTGGTAGTTTTAAAATTCGAACTTCGAAGCAAATTATATAGATGATTAACCAATCAATTTAAAATGTACAGTCTATAAGCATGATTATATATGGGAATACAATTGAAGTTTTATATAAATACTCGAAATACTTCTCAGAATTGGAGTAGATATAGGCTAGTTTACAGTAGGAGTATATCCACACTTAGCAACTTGATTGAATAAAAGCAATGTGTATGAGCATATAATGCCTGGCCACTATAGATCCTTAAGAAAAGACCGTGCTGCAGGTTTCAATTACTAACTGAATGGTTGCATACCATATATATGTTTCTAGAAAATGGAAATCTTAAACCATAACTTATAGTAGAAAATATAATGACTTTATAAACGAAGGTAAAATAGACCTAAATTTTGACATATACCTTTGTCAAGAGTATTCTATCTTACTACATTGAGACTGTACTGTAAATAGATAATGAAAATTATCACATTCTACTTCTAAGAATTTATTGATCCCCACGTCTACTCTATCTTACATCTGCATAATATATCATTATTCGTATTTGAAAGTTGAAAATATACTGCTGGTGTCTTATATTAAAATTGAAAAGCTGCATTTTGACAAGCTTCTGAATAATGTTCTCTAATAAATTGCACAGTAAGTGATCACAGCATTGACGCCATAAAAGTAATATTCAAGAATTATTAGTAAGGTATAGCATAACACAAGATACGAAGTAAGAATTACAATAAATTGCTAAGAACCTATGACAAGAAACTGTAGGTACTGCAGTAAATACTATTGCCTATTTCATGATCAGACTATATTTTTAATTTAAATTTAATGAATTTCATTAAGTTGCTATGTTAATACTAAAATAATGTAAAATAAAATAAAGTAAACATTAATGGTATTTACTTAGTTTTGTATATTGTCATAAAATTTTAGTACAAGCAATTAAATAAAATATCGTAAATGATTTTCAAAAATGGACATTACATCATAAATTGGCAGATTACCTAATTATCTCTTTAAACCCGAATTCAAAAGGATTCTATAAAATAATTATTCGATTGAAATTGACATTTATTATCAACGATTACGCAAATAAACGTAATGATTATATCTTATTTTAAATGCCTATCAGCATTAGCTACGATATTAGACCAACTATTCTTTCTTAGCTAATATATGCAGATGTTTATTTCCGCAAATACGATCAAGTGTAATACACTGATAAATTGTCCCGTAATTATACACTGCGTGGTGCATTCATTTTATATTTACGTATTTCATTTTCCTGTAAATGTAAGATTAATCCTATTGCAGCCGTCAGCCACTACTCCAGTATTGATCCAAAGTTATAGCAATAACTTCCGGATATAGTAACTATAAATGCTGTACTGAATAAAAAACAATTTTATAGCCAAAATATGCGTTTTAATTTTCACCGTATAAGTCTGCTAATAGTCTTAGTGCTCAAATATTAACATTATTGTAGGAAAAGAATTCAGCGCAACTTAATATATCAACATAAATTTTATTAAGCTTGACAAATAAGGTTTTGATAATATGAAGTAATACGGCCTATCACACATATCATTTCTCAGAGGTAAAAGTGTTGGGCTAAATCAAATCTAGCAGTTGAAAACTCACCTTCAGTAAAATTATTTTTGCGTGCAAAATGGGATAACTACTGAATTATTAAATTTAATCTGATTGATCGAAATAATTAAGAAAATCTTAGTACGTGATCATATGGTATTCATCAATTATAATTATTTAAAAGAGCATTTAGTACATCAAAATACGCATATTAAATTCAAGTTGGTAATAATATTTGTTTTTGCAGATTTAATAAGTGAAATACTGTTCATATTTGGCGTAGTAAACTAAATTTATTAAATCCGACAATAGACAGAACTACGTTACTCAATTGAATTTGTTATGGCTTATACAGTAAAATGCCGATACTGAACCTAGCTGATCACATTTTGTTGAGTTTATCACCTGCTAACAAGATAAATAGTTTTATTGATGTGATAGATGCGAATAGGTATTGAAATCTTAAGCTAATTTCATTAAATTAGACATTATAAGTGTTTAAATGAGAGTTTAGAATATGTAAGGCATTTACATGCATTCTAACGATCTAACCATATATCATCGATCACATTCGAATTCATGACATCGTTCTATCTATTACTGAAGTCACATTAGAAGTGTAATTAGTTCTTTTCCAATCATTTTTAAGAATCCTTTCTTCATTTTACGATATGTGATATATTCGTACTATCTGGACATTATAGAATACAAAACGTTTGTTTATAACTTGATACTTGAAATGTATTAAAAATTTGCAATCAACGCCACTCTTTTATTTTGTAGAGATCTGTTAGAAATGATCATTTGCTAACACCATTCTTCAAGTTTATAAATTCAGTCAGATTTATTTCTAATATCGTCGTTTCTATCTTTTCTAAGAATATTACCAATTTTACGGTGATTCAAAGTTGATGGCACATAGGTTAATAATGCTAGAAAATGTCTATACATCAATAAATGTGATAAGGATTAGTTTTGCTCAAGCTATTATTTATGCAACTAGTTTGGGTTACAATCTCTAAGAAAATATAAAAAATAATATTTTAATTACAATATTTATGAATTAAATTGATCGTTTATTAGGAACATGTTATTTACAACCGTAGAGACGATTAGTCAACAAAAATATCAACATAACTACCTTTTAAAATTTATCATATTCACTTTGATAAATTTTATAAAATGCTACGTAATGGTATTTTTGTCTTGAGAAAAAGAGATTGTTCATTTTTTATCATCGTTATTCCACAGAACGTTTCAAGAAAAGAAATCTTCCGTCAAAACGTTTTACTTTATAGACAATAAAAAGTATTAACAAAAATCAGAAAATCGTTGTTTTAGATGAAGGATATGAGTAATTGGAAGAAAATGTTATTCATTGGTTCGGTAAAATATCTTGCTTGCGACAATGAATGACTTAGAATTTCCTATCTTAATTTTAATTCTGCGCTAATATATTATTAGATATTAAATCTTTTTGATAAGCTGGACGTTCTGATTTTATCATTTTATATTAGTCTATAATTGTTACAGCAATGTCTAGTATTTATCCCTTATTCTGGTACTAGGAAAATATGTTACATCATAGATAGCAAATGAAATCAAAATTTTCCGACAAATTATACTATAATATTAAATTAATAAACACTCTATGTCAAAGCCAAAAAATTCGGGTAAATACGATATATAAACGATATCACATAATTTCTTTGATTTGCAATAAAATATATTTAGCGTTATTGGTATTAGTTATTATTTACTGTAGAATGTACGATGGTTATTATACAGATATTTATAAGCGCATGACCATCTGAGCGCATTGCTACTTAGTTCGAGTATCCCTCTTGTCGTTATGTATAAATATTACCGGTCCTAGACATCTTTATTGTTATACTAAGACAGCAACGTTATTCGATTAAATATTATATAACTATGACATATTCGAAGATTGATTGAGCAAACGAAAGAACATGAAAATACAGGATAGACTTCGCGACTCTATCTTTATTCGAAAGTTCTATATTGTATGAACAATTTTGTAGGCGAATGTGTATTTAATAGCCCTTTCTATATTGTTAATATTCTTAAATTTTTGTATGCCGCAATTTATAATCGCTCTGTAAGTAAAGTAATATTACAGTGAATTCCTTACTATGAGAGGTCAGGTAATAAAATGTTTTATGACAATATGATTTTGCAATGTTGGATTTTAAATTATTTTAATGAGCAAATTTTCGTGAGATAGGGCTTCTACGTTCTCTATATACTCTGAAACTATTACTAGCTTAAAAAGTATTCTTTCGATGTAAAGTAGTATTAAAATAGGAATAGTCTAGAAGAATTTTGATTAGCGTATTAAGCTACGTCGTTTATTAGGGACATAAGTAGTAATGAAGTAGCATCAAAATAGATAGTTCTGTAGCCACATTTTAATATTCATGATAAGTTGTTGTTAAGGAGCTTGATGCTTCTTACGTATAAGTAGTAGTAATTTAAGATAGTAATTAAAAATGTTATTAAAGATTGTCGTGTTGTAGACAACAATCCTCAACTGTTAATTGATTATTATAATTTAATGTGAAAGATTAGCACCGGGGTTATTTGTGTGACATATGAAATTGTATATGTTACAACTTCCAAATTTTGTAACAAGTACTAGATCTGCACTCAGCAAGGAGACCCAGTAATTAAGTTGAAGAACTAACTTTATTGTTAAAATAAAGAGTTTATATACTTTCTTTATTGTGACCTTTGATCTACTGACGTAGATCACAAGATCATCACTAACAGAAAGGTTTCTCTAGTTTAGACATTACAAATAGAATATCATGCCAAGTATGGCAACATGAGAATATATATTTCTTATGCATTAGAGAATTTTTTTAACAATAAAATTTTGGGAATGGAATTTTAAAGAATAATTTTTATTTATCAGTTCTTTAATTCAAGAATTCATCAATGAGATAATTTCTTATGCATTAAGAATTTCCGGCCAATCTTAGGGATGATCCATTATTCCTAGGAATGACCGGTCATTCTTAGGAATGGCCGCAGTCGTCGCCGGTCATTCCTAGGAATTGGCGGTCATTCTTAAGAATGGCCGCAGTCGTCGCCGGCCATTCCTAGGAATGGCCGGAGTCTTAGCATTGGCCGTGACCAATCTTAAGGACAAAATCATTCTTAGGAATGGCCGTAACATATATATAGATAAGCTTAATATAGTACCATAACTACATCTATATATGCATGACATGATAACATCGTGATATTTAACCATATATAGAAAGAAGGTAACATACTAATTATGTAACTATTACAGAACGTGACAGTATATAAGCTTGATTATTAATTTTTTATCTCAGTTCCACTAAGGCTAACGTAGTGTACACTGGTACTAACGTAAATGGGCTACTAATAAATATATTTATTAGCCTAAACCTATCGTTTGACTCGATTACTATAGTATAGGAATAAGTTAGTTTTCCCTTACTGAAGATCTCGGAGTTAGTCGGAGAACCGTAAGAGTAGATAGACTAGTTTAGGTACGATTACGAAAGTTGTTTAGTGACAGTTGTGTCATTCATTAATAATCCAATTAAGCCTACGACATCTACGTAAATTTATATCTAGACTATGAATTAAATTATCCATTTTTATCTAAAAATGATTAATTTTCCATAAATGAAGTATTCTAGATTTGATCATTTTCTCGATATTAGTCTAAGTATTAGAAGACCATGGAACAGAATAAGGAAACACTATAGCGTTCCGTAAATTATATTATCTATGCAGATCCCCGACTGCAGGAATATTGATGAGTTTTGAAGTAAAACAAGAAATTACCCTTAAATGCTAATGGATGCTCCGTTTTAAAATTTTATGAATGCTTCAAGAAAGAGTGAGTCTTACACATCTCGTAAAAGATATATTTACAGATTGTTACAGTGTTATATACTGTATTACAGTAAAAATACCTATGTTAGAATAATTCTGTTAGCCTATCCTTATTTAGTTAACTTGTAATTTGGATATACTGTGTTTTAATATAGCACTGACTTTTTATCACAGTGACACTTATACATATACTGAAATTAATAGTTATAATAAGGAATGCAAATCATCTACTTACAGTTCGAATCATTGTGATTGTAATTTAGTTATAGTAGATTGTAAATTATCATGGAAATGTTCCGTGATAGGACATATCGTAATCTGACTATTCTGTATTAGTCATTACATGTCTATGTTCGTAAATACTGTTGTCTGCATTAAGGGAGCAGTAGCTAAAATTAATATTTAATCCAGTAAATGATTCCGAGGTTAATTGTATTAACTACGACTCATGAGCTATTGAAGAATAATATATAAATGCAGTAAATCGTGTAATAAAAAGGATTCTCAAACTTAGTGTTTAACGTAAAATACGAGGCGTCTAAGTCTTTGTGTAGTCTGCTAGTAGAGCAAAAGTGTTTGTGATAGTGCAGATATCGTTCCTTGATACGTGGTTCAAGGAATTGACTTATTGATCGTATATTACGTTATCTTGTTGCAAAGCTGTTTTGTGACACAAATTTAATATCGAAGCGGATAATAGAGACCTAAGATTAACTAAAGTAACGTAGCAAAAGTAACATCATTTGCTGTTGCTAACAATATACGTATATATGTATGCGCCAGAACAAATTGATTTTATTGAATTATTTCTAAGCGAAATTAAAGAGAAAATTGGATGTTGCTATTAAATCCAAATTATTTAATTTTCGATTACCGTTAAATAATATAAACCGTTCAGTGTACTTCCAATAAAATTCGCAGTCGCCTTGGTAATGATTTGATCATCCCTTTATGTAAATTTAAAAATACCCTTTGTTCTAAGATGAAATGATTGTTTATATAATTACGAAAAATTATCACAAATCGATAATGACTGTTTGCCAACGATAGGTATTAAAAAATATTGGATTAGTTGCGTAAATTGGCTGAAACCTCAATAAATAGAACTTATTTTAGGGAACTATCTTATCAAAAATTGTCCTATAAAACCGAAATCAGCCATTGCATGAATATCGTATTGCATCGTCACATAAAAATAGAAAGCTATTAATGTACGCATAATCAAATTCCTCTTTGCGAATTTTCTCATCTATCCGTATCTAATAACAACGAACTCGCCAAGTTAGATATAATAATGTGGCTGTTTAGGAATTGATATCAACGTAATAAAATAGATTGCATAAAATTTAAATAATACTCCATTCCTTGAATGAGTGTTTTCAATAGAATTTTTATTTTATAGAGAATAAAGATGAGTGATACCCTCTTAACCATTATTTTGAGCCAATACGATTATATACATTCTTTGAAATGTTTTTCAATAGGCACACAATGAAATAATAACTGATTTTCAAGATAAGATATAAATTTGAGCGAAATTTGCAGTACTTTAGGTGCATATAATGTTATTGTAGTAGTATTATTTTACGTTTACTGTTGAAATATTACAGTGTTAAAATCATATCCTTATGCTCAGCTTACCGTATTACTTCAAATGAATTAGCCTGAAATTATCTAATTCTGGTATCTTTTAAGTTGACCATTGCTAATATTATACTAAGAATGACTATAAGAATAACGATTATTTATCTAAATGTCACAATTTTATAAAACACGCTTCAAAAATGTGCATATCTTTCGCACATCTCTCTTTTGCTCTATATTTCTCGTTCTTATTTCTATTCAAGTTATGAGATATTTAAAGAGAGGGGTATTTATCTACATCTGTTATGATTCTAATATGACAAGTGAAATATATTATTATCAATTCATCATTATGTTGCTAATCAATGACCTTTTCCTAGCATTTGTGTTACGTCACGAGATAACCTTGACGTTACTATAGCAATTGAATCTTTACCATCCTTTTCAATCGCCTGATAGCTAACATATGCTATATAAAGTATAGCATCAATTAAACTTCCATCAGTATTGTAGGACAGGCTCGTGGACAGGCAAATTTCCGTTTGATTTGGTAATGGTTACTTTTACGAATTAATGATGAGGGCTGATCCAATACAATTAATTTCTGCCATATCCCAATTATTTGCTATCCTCTAAGATCAACCCTCGACTTTTGAGAGATTAATTTTATGGTAAGAATGACGAATGAATAAAAATTTCAAGTTTCATACCAGCTTTAATTTCGTAAAAATAACAATAAAAAAAGTTAAAATTTCTTTTAATTAAGCGCTAATGAAACTGATAAGATAAATTACTAATAAAGTAGCGATAATTACAATGTAATTAAGTGCGTTATTAAAACTCCATCCACTTCTATATACTATAAGCTGCATACTTAAAGTATGATAGCTGATAGATTAGAGGAAAATTTCAATTTAATTTATGACTTACTTTTATTGGAAATGTTTTCAGTTCCCGTATACTAATATTGGTGATCGTCATTATCTGATTTTCACGTAATATATGAAATTTAGTATAAAAAATACTTACGTAAGTAAAGAGTTTTCAGTTTTGGTAATAAATCTCATCATTCTAACAAACTCGCTTATACTAATCAATTTTATGCTCTTATGCGATCGTCTTCATAAATATTTTATTTTAAATTCCAAAATCATTAATGCATGCGTGCAAATGAGCAATTTTTATATTATGTGTTACTCCGAACATTTTAACAATACGAACTAAAATCTATCTTAAAATTATATTTTCTCCTTTCATTAGTGCTTTGTTTTAAGGCCAAGATAAAAAAATGTTTTATTTAAGCTAGTTGAGAATTTTTCTGATCGAGGGATATTAAATATCTCTGAAAGTATCAACTATGATGTTATTCCTATATAGTCACTTGTGAAAACGAATTTATAGCATATGCAAAATATTAGACTTTTCCATTGAGTAGTAATAATACGTAAGGAAGTGGGAAAATTTCTGTTTAAGTTATAAAGTAAACGAAATAGGACAATACCCCTTTCTATAAGTGTTCTACAGTATACCGGACGCGTTCCTTATTCGTATTTATTTTCATCACTACTTTATTTAAAATTTAAATTCAAAATCTATTTTGGTCGAGGAAGTGTAAATTTCAGATAAAATGATCTATAAACATAGTTTTATAGCAATTCCCACTCGTAAATTTTATTATTTTCGAAGTTGTCATTTTAAAAATCAATAAATTTATTTTAATCAAATTAGATGGCTTCCTCGAAGTTCTTACTAATTGATATTCTTTATATATAGTTATTTCATAACTTGATCGGAAACTTTTACTTAACTACTGATTATATTGCGTGACGTTTCATTTATAAATACTATCCTTTATATGTGCTTTCTTCGATAAATTGTTCAAAATGCATTGCAGTACCAATTTGTTTTAGCGCTTTACCTAAAAATTTTCATTTCCTAATGCATTATGTGCTCGCTCGTTCAATCTAATATTTTTTCTGTCATTTTTAGAGGCAAACTGGTCTATTTTTAGCCATTTTATTAATCTTACGTATAAGAGCAAATTGAGTAGAACAGAAAGTCTCTATGACCTGGCCGATAATGAGTAATTCGTGCTATGAAAATATTTCCGATCTATCGCCGACGAAAATCGGATTACGAGCGGGGTATTTAGCGATCATCGGATTCTTTGGAATAGTGGGAAATATATTCTTATTGATTTCATTATTTCTTGATAAGAGAAAAAAATCGGCTATTAATTATCTAGTTATTAATCATACCTGCTTAGATCTATTGCAAAGCGGCGTAAGATTACCCTTGTATATAGTCAATATAATCATGAATAGTAATGGCTTAGGTTATGAATTATGTACCTTCCATGGTTTTATTAGCGGTATATATTTTATTGGTACCACTTATACCTTGACGGCGATGGCTATCTTTCGTTATTTGGTTGTGTGCCAATCACCAGCAGTTAAATTAGCTCCTAGGCATGCAATTTATGCCATCGTTCTTGTCTGGATCATTGCTATTATCATGTGCTTACTACCTTTTTGGGGTTTAAGTCATTATGATTATAATATTATTGAAAGATCTTGCTTACCAACCTGGAACGAAGGCTTAGCAAATCAAATTAATGCTGTTTTCGAATCGCTAATTGATTTCGGTTTGCCATTATTGACGACATTTATATGCTATCTGAAGATTTATACCGTCTTGAGAAAAATTAAGATGGATTTAATGCGTTATAGATGTGAATCTATCACAGCAAATACATGCCAGTATTCATCGGATCGAGCTAAAAAACGTTTTACCTTGACATTATCTATCCTATTCCTTAATTTCTTATTGTGCTTTACTGTTTGGAGTATCATTAGTTTTATTGTTTATCCTGTGACTGCTGGCACTGCCTGTGTGCCCGATGATTTGCACTATTTTGCTATATCATTATTATATCTTAATAGTGCATTAAATCCATTGATATTCTTTGCAAGAATGAGATCATTGAGGATGAAGTTTTATTTTATATTGGAAACAATGACTGGACGTAAACAACCTGAAACAACATTGGCAACATCAGGAACAAAACGAAATAATACCATTGAACGATAAATGATCACCTATTGACATTAATAACGAAACAAATAATATTATAACAAATGATAGAAGAAGAAAATAATTTCTTCCATGTGAGTTTTCTTCTAGAACGTTAGTTATTGTTGATTGCTTATCCAGCCATGGAATATTGGCCTAAATTTTCAACTTATTCGAAAAATATTTCAAATGAATATGGAAATATGGCGAGCTCATGTGTAATTAAGATTTCTTTTCCTGTGGAAGTATTTATCTTTTACTTGCTCTAATCATTCTTGATGGGTAGAAAATTTTATTTCGATGTAAATTATTAATTACTCGTACTACTTAAGAATTATTTCATAATAATTACAATCGATTAAAAATGGATATAGTATAATTATGGCTATACAGAGAAGATTGATATATGCTAGGATAGGCATAGACTTGCTAGTATTGGTTCTAATCGAGCAAAATTTGAAATTGATTATGTTCATAAATCTCGCCTAACTTTAATTCTGAGTATACCGTTTAGGTATAAATTGGATGAGGATTTTGTCTTTTAATGTTCGAATTGTCAATTCTGAAAAACAATTTTTCACGACTGTAATTGATAGATATGATGGATGAAAATGACTGAAAGATTTATATAGTTAAGATCAGCACTTTGCTATGACCTTGGCTCGTGTTTCAAATTCAATCAATCCTTATTGCTAGTTTCACTATCCAGTAGTCTGCATAAGTAGTTCTTATTTAATAAGTTTCAACTTAACATTGCTTCGACCACTTTAGAACTTCGTCTATTTATTTCTAAACGCTATTAACATGCATCAGTAATAAATATTTGAACATTATCAATGAGAGGTAAAAAGCGGTCAATTTTAAATTTCAGTTATCGTGATTAATGACTGAAAAATCATGTATCAAATAGTTAGATTAAATGTAACTTGTAATTTTTGACTATCTTGTTACTATATATTAATTTTAATTCAAGTGATTGTCATTATAAATAATAAAATAGTCATCAAATTGAGTTAAAGTTTATAAGTCATGAGTACCCTGACAAAGATCTCATCTTCGATTTAACTTTTCAACTTAATATAAATTTATAACGTTCAATCGCTATGAGTTTTATCAATTTCTGGCATTTACTACTCATAATTTAAGATTTGCGATGTTTAAAATTCAATCAAAAATTGTAGTGCAAGAATAGGCATTAAACAATAAAAAAAAGAAATCAATTTAATCAAGTAGGTGGTTGTTAATATACTATAGAAAAAGCATCGGCCCAATATTTAATGTACGGAAGATACTAAATTAATTTCATTTGTTTTGTTTTTTTAATTGACAGCATTCTTTCATTGCAAAATAGTCGCATAAACGTAGCCTTTATTATATGAAATAATTTATTGCGAATTTACCTCCTGTTTATACGGAAATACGAAAAAATGCGTTTACTTAGTAATTTTTATAAAGCATAACTTAATTATTTCGTCCATACTAGCCAATTAGTGAAAAATTAGTTTACAATCGTGTCATAGAAGCATTAGTATACCGCAAATAATATAGAGTGATAGGGTACACCGACACTATCGATTTTCAATATCTATATTTCTATCTTAAAACGACTATTAATAACATCTTCGACGCAATAATTGTTCTATAATGTCGATAATTGACATTTTACCATTATAAAATGATAGATCTGGTTAAGATTATGATGCTATTAGTTGTCAGATGTTACGTTTTTATTACTATTCTTGACATTGAAGGAATAAAGTAAATGGAATTTCTGCAAAGTATATTCTCATTTGTTTTCTATCTTTGTGTAAAGCTATTGTGTTTGACGGCAACAATACGTAAAATTATTTGGCCCAAAATTTCTGAAAGTGATAGAGTAGCTTAGATTGAGAAAACTTACATCTTACCAGTATTTACGATAGGGGCGATTCTTGATTATAAAGAATTGCCGTTAGTTTCAGCTATATGAAGAAATTCTTACACCTACTTTAATCTTGTACATTCAATCTAGTTGATACTAAAATTCGCTATCATAGATACAATAAGAACGCTATTTATTTAATACTGTTATAAAATAATTTTATTTATAATCACGATCATAATAATGTTGAGAGAATTGTAAACAGCTAAAATTGGACAAAAGGGAACTTTGAGATTGTCAATACTATTTACTCTGCGGTCGTATCGTAGGTAAAACATATTAAACGCTTCCTGTCTTTATGGAAGGTTACTATGGTATATTGTGATTCGATACTTGGATATATCCGCAAGTCTTTATACAAGTACAGTCTGCGCATAATTTCTATATTTAGAATTATATCGTAGATAAAAAAGACTAAAATGGAACTGATTACAATCGTACAATCCCCAGGCGTTCGATGTTTTCCTTCATATAGGTTTTGTATGAATTCTGTGGCTGAAATAAAAATATTAGAATGAGGGAATCATTAGCATTCGGTCCTCTTTTGTGTGCTTCGTAATTTAAATAATTTAGGTTAAAAACCATCACTTGCCAGCTTTCATAAAACTTGTCATATAAAATCATCTTGACAATGATTACGTAGCTATCATTGTCCAATTTTTACATCGAAATTGGTAATTATATGCAATCCACCAATCTATTTGATAAATTTCAACTTTTTTAGGTTGTCACAATAGCAATAAGAATCTAAACTTCCGAATAATGAAGAAGTTTAGAACATCTTTAATGTAAATGAACGTATGTAAATAATGTAGTAAATTACTTACGATAGGGTTCTGATTGTTTATACATGTGAAAAAGTAAAAGAAATATTCTACATATTTCATACTTTATATCTTATTTTTTTAATTCAACTTTAAAATCAAAAATTCTAAACGGTATATAAATTCATTACGCAACAATAATGCATTCAATAACGTCTAATTTCAGATTGGTGCTGTACATATAAACAGAAGTTTCACCTGATTATTGCATAGCTAGTATCTGATAGTTGCATAAAAACATGCGATATAAGAGGTAGATGACATAAGATATGCTTGCATGTTACTTTACATTAAATTAGGGCCCGTTATGACTTATTCTTTCCTATTATTACATAGTCCTTAAGGTCTTACTGACTTGATATCGATTTAATGTGTGCGTACTGCAGCTAAATAGAACTATTTTCATTGACCGTAAGCTTATTTTGACAAGTTTAAAATTATTAATTGCTCGTTCTTAAGAGCCCGAGATCCAAGTAAAGCTTTGAAAGATGCAAAAATTTCTGGCTATTACTAAACAACAAGCTATTTACCTTATTATGATATAATTTAACTATTTTATTTTCCAGATGCCATCGTATCATTATTCGGTGCTAGTTATCTTGTAGTTATATCGCTGCAAAATAGCGCAATTATCGGGGACTGAAGCAACTTTTATTCCTTGCCGTTTTTTATACTGTACATATATAAATTCTATAGGTAAATCTTTATGGCTAATATTTCCGGTTTTATTACAGATCAGTTATTTAATTTCTGCTTTCAATTTAATGCAGGTGTTAGTTCTTTCGGAATTTGCTATTTGTTTAAGAAAACTACGTATACCAACTATTAATAAAAGAAAACCATTCTTACACGTATTTGTTTCAGGTCTAAACTAATTCAATAACTTTTTATTTTAAAGATTTTCATGCCGATTAACGGAGTAAATTATCAAATTAAAATTAATTTATACACAATTTTGACGGTCGTCTTCACACTCTAATTCCGATAATGGCAAGTTGTTCCAAAATCTTTGGTAAATCGAATATTACGCTTAAACTACAGTATTATACACTATTCATACTACTGTCGTATGTAGTTCTAGCAGCAACAGTAATTTATATTTAAATTTTATCCTAAGTTATTATCCGAATTTTCGACAACAAAAGGGTCAGTATTTAAGACAAAGTTAAGAACTCAACAAAAGCAATTTTGCAATCGTTTCACATATCTTGAAGGTTCCTAAAGTTTTGCAATAATAAACCCAGCAATTAATTTTCTGTTGATAGGTTACTGTCATAATAGTTTATATAGATCCAGCTTTACAGATGGTAACTTGTATCTCTGGTCATGATTACAAGTAAAATTTTATTTTAACTGAATTTAAAATCTCATAGCGCTTTGTTGCAAAGATTTTAAAATTTAAACTAAGAAGGTCCTTAACCTAACTCAACGAATAGTTAATAAAATTATTTTATATGCAATTTTAATTTAGTTAAAGTACTTTTTTATTATTTGCTTTTAATTTAAAGATAGGATAAGCTTAGTAATCTTTTTCTTGATCTAGACCAAAATTTTTAGAATATAATTAATAGACAATGGCACAGGAATACTGAGGGAAGGTAATAAATAATAGCTGGAAGAGCTGCAGTTGATGATCGCCAGATAATTAATTCAATTATTTTTAACTTATTTATAGCATACAAGATGAATCCCTATTTATGTCTAGTTTAAAATTGGTTAAATACAGAATAGCAGTTTCAGTATGAATTACAGTTATAGGATAAAATAACGACAAATAATGTGCATATAAGAGGAAAATTTACTTAAAGTAAGAACTGCAATCGATAGACTATAACCTACATTTAAATCTTTCTTATACAACTCACCCTAGACTAAGCTTCGGACTATTTTACATAATTCTGTGAAAATCGATATATTGTAGAATGTGCGAAACTGCAAATTGTGAAGTTACTACGCTGGTCTAGTAATCACATCGTTAGTCAGTAAAATATGCTGTGCACCCAATGTTCTATATCAAATAATAACTAATTATTCAGAAGAATATATCAAAAATATTCGACGGTATTGCAATGTTGAGGCATTTGAACAAATTAATCTAACAATTGATTTTACATCTGTCCAATTTACTTTCACACGTAATTTTCGTTGCAAATTTTGTATTTAACAACCCTCAAAAATTTATGGAATAAAAGCGCAGAAATTCGGTTTCGTGAAATAATCAAAGTTTAGTTAGCAAGATACAATGAGAGAAAATCTGTTTAATCTGAAAGCAATATACGATTTGATTTATTATTATCAATTTCACAATTCAATGTTAGTAAACAATTAATCTTACCAAATCATTCTTGCTGTGGCACCTAAATACGTAGTTTTGTAAGAAAATTGTTCAACTTTTGTACTACGGTGATAATCGTTGTTTCGTTTACTTTATTATTAAATCGTTAGCTGAATTTCGATATAAGGCTAGTGCTCACTAATTGAATGATAATATTTAAATGCCTTGCCAGATGATAGTGTAAATATAGAAATACAAATAGTTTGGCTTAAAATAATTCTATCATTTCATATCATCTCAGCATTTAATTTAGTCACAGTGTTTCGTCATCCAGCTACCGATTTAAATAAACGATAATATATCAGAAACACATAGTGATGTTTTATATTCTCTACAGGTATCAAATTGCTATCGTAGCCAATCCTCAGTATCGCACATAATTAAAATGTAATTCACGTTAGTTTTATAGTGGCGATAATAGTAATCGATACTATGAAAGTATCAATATCAATGATTTTTTGATCCTCATTGCTAGTAATCGAAAAGTTGAATGCAAAAAATCAGAAATATAAAATTTTATTGCTAGTGGATGTGATAATTTATGATTGACTTTCATTTTTATGGCGGCAATTTGTTTCTGATTTTTTGCATTTAACTTTTCGATTACTAGCAAGGAGGATCAAAAAATCATTGATATTGATACTTTCATAGTATCATGTAATTCTATTCTAGCTCTAGATAAAGTCTTTCACTAAAATTCCTTAGATAAAATTAGTAATTCAGGAAAATATATAGCTTATTTAATTCCTTTGGTGGAGTACAATACAATCACATTTGCTTAATTTGTAACATTAATGTTAACCAAATTTCAAATCCGAAATATAATGAAAGACATTAATAAGCACGATAGCTTATTCATCAACTCAAATATTTGACCGCTATTTTAAGAAAAACATTGATTTCAGTATAGTACTACAACTTCAAAATTGGCAGTGCAAGATCATCGATAAATGAATTAATGTCTACCAATCATAGTTTACAGTACAATGGTAATTCTGTCATACATTTAAGGTGCAATCAAATTATTAACCAAAGTACCGTAGTATATTAAGGTATCTGCAATAAGTTGGATGATATACTTCTAGTAGGGCATACCTAGTCTTCTACAAGCCTAATAGAAGGATTTCATATCTGCTATATTTGAAGTCTATTATTAAGCATAAAATATAAACTAATTCAGAACTATTTCTTTATTTCATGATACGGCCTTGAAGTGCTGCATGCACTAGCTAAATATATTTTAAAATATAGCACGATGCCGTACTGCATTAACGAGTTATACTTACTACACTTGTTTGCAATGAATTTAATATCAATCGATTTTTCAATTATCGTAACTAGATCGATTCGCTAACTGTTGAAATATTGATATAGCCGCTTGTCAGCTTGTAGACTGATAGTATTGATCTATGAGACATTTAAAACGTATCTTGATTCCAATTTAAAAATTCTTATATTGCTTTAACCTCGTTTATTGCATTTTCTAATTAATTTAGCTTTTTAAATTCTTTGTTAGTTATCGTTACAAAATCTTTGTAATTATGTTAATTACTATTTCTGATATAATACTGTATTTCCTAAGGCTTCCAAAAACTCTTCCATAGGTTTGATAACATATGAATTAAGCAAGAAATATTAATAGTGTATCGTTATAGACGAAAATATGAAATCCAACAGGTCCTTTAAAATAGCTAAGAAATAAACGGGACATAGATAAATTATCAAGTTCCGTTATTTAAAGGAACTTGTGGACGAATTATAATATCTAATTTTTAATATTCTATTTATTGCGATGAAGAAATTTAGGTAGCGCTGATGACTACCATACCATGTAATGAAGCATGATATTTTATTTAATTACTAAAAATTGCTAATTTAAAGTGCAAAGCTGCATTTTCAATTTGAGCTTAGGTGCAGAAAATATAAATTGATTAAAGTCATGGATTACTTTAAGTTGACGAAGATAAACGTAAAGAATTTCATTGATAGGATCTAGGACATTCGTATAATTTAGATACTGTTAAAGTGAAGTAGTTTAGTAGACAGATTATAATATTAGCTACAAGAAGGGTTATAGGCTCAATAAATTGAAACTGTCGCATAGAAGAGATCAAATCTTACTTATAAAGAGTTTTCGTGATAGAATCAGTATTTATTAATGATAGCTGCTATCTTCCATGATTTATCTTTATATCAATCATAAAGCTCACTAAAAGCGATAAAAGGAAAATAATAAATACAAAATTGATCGAAAATTAATGAATACTTTTCAAATAATGACTCTTTGAAAGGTTTCACAAGTCCGTTTTTACCCATCATATTAGGGAGAAACTAGATATTATCCAAATAGATTGGATGGATGGTATAGCACTTGAAGCAGAATTGGTTGATGTTGTTGCATTGGTTGGGATTGGTGTTGTACCTGCAGGTTTTATAGTAGGAGGGATAACATTCTTGAAAGGACATAATAACCAGTCTTGTTTACCGTAGCACTTTGCCTCTTTAACAGGATCTCAAATTCCTAGATGAGTAATATTAACGATTCGATGAGGTGTGCGATTCTTATTCCAAACGCAGTTAGGATCACCAAGCGCGATACTATTCGTTAAGCCGTCGCCGTCATTGTCGTTTTGACATAAAGCATTCGTCCAAGTATATGTTGTTTTTTTAAAAGCTATACCAAAAGGATTTAATGCTGCACTAGCTGAGCTAGCATTATGCGAAATTGTGCAAGACCAATTGGTTTGAAGATTGCAATGATTTGAAAATCTGTTACCATTAAGTAATCTGTTTTCATATCAATTTTGCACTGGAAAAGGCTGTATAAATTGCATTACCATGATCATAATACTTATGTGAGTAAGTTAGACATAAGCAGATGCCATTCTAATCGTTGATTTCTTAAACGAATAAAGGATCACTTTAAACTGATATGAGAATATGATCGCGAATAGCCTTATACATATGCACTTCCATTCAGTTTTCCTTTCTTTTCGCCGATAAAAAAATTTGAAAGAATTTTCATTTAGATAAATTACGCTTCTATTCAAGTTTTCTTTCATTAGAAAAGCGTCCATACGATTTTATTCAATTTAGTTCACTATTCTAAAAAGTGGATGAATGAAATAAAAGGCATTAAAGTGATTCCATTCTTAAAGTGTTTGAAAATAGGAATAAAGAGATGTAAAAATCATTTTCGATTTCTTTCTGAAGCTATGATTGAATACAATACTAATTCAAGCCGGTATATTAATTATCCATATTATTAGCTATTGCTTCCAAGCAAGCTATGAAAACGGAAGCGAAAGTAATAAGCTGATGTTATTTTCTATTTTGTTTTATTGCTTGGATATGAACTAATACATACATTAAAAAAATACTGAAAGTAGATAGGTGTCAATTTAAAAATCACCGTAACTACCAGTACTATATCCTAATTCGTATCAGATACAATGACTGTGTCCAACATTGACTCTTTTATTTCTGTCTTTACAATTTTATTGCTTTAATAAAGATCGTTTTTTGGCCCATCTTACTTTTATTTCTGCTTTATGGATATTAATAAAATCAATTTAATTATTTATCTGTACATTGGATAAATCAATAGGATTAACAGCTATAATAATGATCAAAGTCAAATATATTGATAGCTCTTGCAGTAGAGCTTAAACTCCCAGAGTAAACGATAACAGAAAGACTCAAGAAATGAATCAATTTAAAGGAAATGTTTATTTTCATACCGAATGATGAAGCCTCAAAATCTTCATAACTTAATCGATTTAGTATTATCGTCGTTTATAAGAGAAAGTTTCGACTGGGACTTGCGGCATAGGTAGTGCAGTAATCTCTCTTTTATACTTATTTACGGATGATCATTGGATCTGGAGTATTCTGTCATTATAATCTACCAGAATAGCCAAAGTATTCAAGTTAATAAAGGATCTTCCAGTAAAAAATAGGCAAATTTTCATTACAATTTAATGGCTATTACATGACTAAACGATCAAAATGACATTGCAAAAACGACCGGAATCGTGACCTTGATATCCATGAACTTGGCTGATAACGGTATTTATTGTCATTTAATCAATACGAACTAATTTTTTTCCAATTTTCTGATTGAAATACCATCATGCTAATTTGATACATATCATTTCAATGCAACCATTTGGCGTATTTCTCACCGAAAGCAACGATAATCGGCGATCAAGCATGAATATTATTACTGTCAATGTGTTTTGTGCCAGTAAACAGATAGGTTGGATAAACCATTACCTTCAGATTGTTACTGCTGTTATATTTTCCCTGCCAATTCATGACATTGGGCAAAAGTTGTAACATCTGGTATTTCATATTCTGATATATGACGTCATAAATAAGTCCAAATTCTCAATTTATAACCGTAGAAGGATGCTGTGCTATATTATACTCGATGGTGATAAATGAACGGAAAGGGCACAATTAAAATGCTAATAAATGATTTCATCCACCATCTAGAATGATTTTTCTAGCTGTAAATAGAAATTAGATATAAAATAGGATTTTTGAACTATAAATTAGCAATGAATTTATTTCGTGTTCTGCTAGAAATTTAACCAGCATTAGCAGCATTATTATTGCTCTCCATCTGCATTATCTAGGTGGTAGCCATGTCATAAAATAGTAAAGAATTATAGTATATGCAGATAGGATAGCTAGAAATGAGGTTTGCCATTGTTTACTTGAAGAGTTTTAATATTATTAAAGCTGTTTTATAATTACTGCCAATTTTCTATCCTATTCCTTAGAATTCGAATATGATTAGAGATTTCAAATAATAGTTTCTATAAGGAAAATCGACGTAAAATTTCGATATTGAGACATCATGGCTAGAAATAAATCGGTAGAAAGCACTTTATTTCCACTCTTTACTTTGCCTTTGAAAAATTAAGTGCTTTTATTAGCTCTGCAGTTTTAGTGAATTAGGCCTGCTTACGCTTGCGTAAAAATTGTGTACATACTGTGTGACATTTAAATAAACAAATTGATAATTTGTCATTTTATATAAATTAACCTGTCTATGTCTTGTACAAAGAAATTAGACTTCAAGAAATTTATTAAAATTATTCATAAAACAATTAAGTTAGCAGCTCTTCATTAAATCAATAAGTACATATCTGTTATTTTCATTCAATTCATACCAATGGTAACGTACTGTCGCTGTCAGTGCTAAAATGCTTCTTCAAGCTATTGATTATAATCATTATCGATAAAGAATGGTTGCTTCCATTTTAGGTAATCCATAATCCTGAATAATATCATCCGTCTAAGGCCAGCATGTACAGAACAATAACACAGGTATAAAATTGTTAAGTAATTATTAATTATTTATATCAGTAGTTAGCATTTGGTAATGGAACGATAATTTAGCACTTCGGATCGACCAATCAATCAGCTGTTTGATAATTAAGAATTCTTACGAAACTATTATTCTTATTAACTGTTAATCCACGTTCAGAATTTCGGTATGACATAACACTGCATCACAGGCATGATACAATATTTCACACAATACATTGCTTGAATGAATAGTCATAAAAGACTTGCCAGGCTCATCACTATTATCGCTAACTCAAATCTTTGATAATTATATGGTCACAATTCTACAATTGTAACGGAAAAATTTAAAAGGAAAACGAGAAATACAACACTACGAGCCTACCATCAGATTTGTCCATCTCAATATCTACCAAAAAGACAACTCTAAATACTGGCGATCTCGCTATCGTCAGACAATCGGTAATCATTATTCTATCTTTTGAACAAACTGAACTCTGACTTTATGTTGTAAATATTAGTTAATTTACAGTACGATTAGAATGACATTATCGATTATCAATACCCAAATAGATAATACTATAGATAATACCATAGAAGTAAGCATTTATCTATTAAACTATATATAATATTATATTGTAATATTATATATTACATCATTGCTATTTAAAGTAAAGCAATCTGTGACTTAGTTAAACTGTCAGTTGTTCGATATATAGTAGGATGATTGTAGATGATGGCGTGCTCAATAAGTAATATAATTATTAACTCTCGAGTAAAATAAGGCAAAGGGATGTTGTATCGCGTTATGGATAAGCTATTACAGGCAGAGAAGTGAATTCTTCTCTGACAGATAGATATTAATTAAACCTTACTTTTAAGGTTAAAGCGATGCTGGCTATATTACGTCATATTAGAGATTTTCTCGAATTAATAACTCAAATTTCGACTCTGCAATTGCAAATGTTGAGGATCAAAACCCTTTCATCGTATATTTAGACTAGCTGTTAAATCACCTTTTGCTAAAAGTACATTAAAAGCTTGCTTGTCACTTTTTCCGTATGCATGATTTACCTAGTTTCTAAAGTTACTAATAAAGTAAAGCTACGTTGAGAAAGTCTACGATAAGAAATATTCTTCGAAATGTAATAAAATTCCACTATATGGTAGTAGATTGTAAATATCGTTCAGTAATAAGGGGCAATTTAATATGTATATTAAGATAAATTAAACTTCCGATACTAATTTAATTGCATTAAAGCAATTCACTTATTGTAGATTATTAAAACCAAGAGTTTCTATCGCTTAATAACATCATTTACGGAACTTGTTTACCAAAAATCATTATCTTTGCTAGTCTTCAATCTCGCGATATACAAAAGGTATAGAACATAAAGGAAATTTCCATATCCTACTACGTTTAGATAATTTGTTTTAACAGAGCTTCGGATCGACGGCTTTTGAAAACTAGTCAATAAGATTCAACAAATCTTCTAGGCAACTAAATCCATGCTAAATGTTAATGATAGAAGTCAAAATAGCAAGATTTCTTTCCATGACATGAATGCTTTCTCACTGCAATATTTTGCTCTAGGTTTTCAAAAGTTTTGCAAATAAATAAAATGTAATCAATAAATGGTTACCTTGTTTTGCATTATGTGAATGTAGACGGGTTTTTAATTTCTATCTTATGCAAAGCTTGGCCTAGCTTTCCATGGCCATCATACCGTGGTTTATGAATAAATTCTGTCTCATGAACATGCGGTTGTTTTACATAACACTTTGTTTCACTGCTTACTTTTGTACTAATGTTATGTAGAAGTTAATGCTGCAAAGGCAAATAAATAAGCTTTAGGTTTACTATTCAATCGCTTCCCTTTTCTTATAGTTGATTAAATCGCATAATGAGTTTATACTTTAATTAAACATGATTGATCGCTGTTATGATGCCGTATTATCCCAAGCACGTGCCATGATCATAGCGGATTAAAAATAACTTCTAATTATTGGAATATCTAGTGATAATCTTTGATATAATTAGAAGTATAATTATCTACTACGAACGCTGATGAGTTTGAAATAAGTAAATTAGCGTATTCTATAGCACACAATAATATTTATTATTTACTGATGCACAGCATCAACTTTAATTCAACCTTTATTTTTGCCTTATGTTGCTTACATTTCGCGTATGTCCGTAACATCCTTAATTAGTGATATCATATAAGAAAATCTTACGCTCGTTCAGCATGATAATAATAATTGTAAATTTTACCCTATTCCTTACGTAGAACCTAATTCTCCGAGCGTTGTAAATCATCAGTTAATATATAATATTTTAAGGTTAACCCTGGTGGCTATGCAGTCTATGGATCGAAAGAGTGAATTTATGTACAACTTGAATTAAAAGATTAAGGTGGATCCCTTTCTAATAAAGACGACCAAAAATAAATAGAAATGGCCAAATTTCGGCACGCGATCGATAATTTTAGCGTCCAATCAACTTTTTAAATTGTAGGCAACATCTGGTAAAGGGATCATTCACACGAATAAATGAGAAAAACAGAATTTTTCAAATTCATCGGATGCGACTGAAATAGACAATGAATAGCCTATGATACAGATGTTGACCAATTTGGTTCAATTTGTCTAATAGTATTAGCAATTTGTCATTTTAGTTTTAGTTGTATTAAATCGCCATCATGAATAATCCCGATGAAAGTCCTCGTACTAATCGTCTATCCAAAATGATTAGAGAATCGCGTTATCGTAAATTAAAACGATGTAAAGTTTTAGTTGTAGTTTTAATTGCTGTTTTCTTTTTCGCCATGATTATAACTAGTCAGCCTGAGCATCAGCAATCATCTAAGGATAAGAAATCGCACCAGCAGAAAGAGAAAATATCACCTCTAGACGAGAGAAAAAATCTTCAAAATGCGGCTAAAAATTACATCAATAGCAAATCAAAATCGGTTCGTTTAAAGTCCAATTCTGTTGACAGTGGCAGTAAACTCTCGCCTAAACTTAAGCAGAAATCATTCCATCAATCATCTAAATTGAATTCCAATTTTTATAAGTTTGAATCTAAAATGAATGATACATCAAATCAGCGTAAAAAAATTCAGATCATGCAACAATTGAGTAAGAAAAAATTGGATACCTTCAAATTGCCGTTTAAGCAGTCATTACCGAAAAAGAAACCTAATAATACCTTTGCTTTAAATAAAAATGATGTTTACTCTCAAGCCTTTGGTAATAAATTGAAAAAAAATCCTTCGAACGTCATTCATCGGCAATTAAGCAATAAAACTTCCAACGGTTTAAAAAGCAAAGGTGTACACCATCGTCACCAGGGGCATAAAGGATTGGTTATCGTACCTTCTAAAAATGCAACTTCCAAAGGTGCCATCAAGAATTCCAAATTAAATTCATCTCTTTCCAGAAATAAAACTGAAATTGCAAGGAAGAAAACAAAAGTAAAAGCCCTGTCAAAACTTCGCCATGGCCATAAAAATGGAAAATTATCTCATTTAAAAGGAAAAGTTAAATATCAAGATTTAAAAAAAAAGAATAGAACTTGGCACCTTCATACTAAATTGCCGATCAACGCAAAAAAAGTAGCAAAAATCCAGAAGGGAAAGAAGATTTTTATTAAAGCTAAGGAAAAAGTACCGGACTCCGATGACAGTTTCGATGATACTTTAGGATATGAAGATGAGCTGGATCCTTATCAAGAAGAAGATCCTTATGCAGAAATCTCCGAGAATGGGAAAGAAAAATCAAAACCAAATCAATCGAAAACTGTCAAGACATCTAAGAATAAATCAATTATAAGTGGCGGCAGAGAGTATGATAAGAATACTCTTGGGTCTATTGAGTTGGATGAAATTGATAGCGATGATGATGAAGATTCTCCATTGGATGAAGAGGAAGAAAGATTAAATGATGAACAGGAATCGTTTCCAAAATCTAAAATATCGAAATCCTCGAACAAAGCACTAACGGAAAAGAATGCTAAGGGAAAAATGAACCTAAAATTGGGGAAATACAAAGCCAAGAAGAAAAATCGTTACTCAATGGATCGCCAGACCGTCAATACAGGAGATAAAAATCGACAAAACTTGATCGACACAGACGAAGAAGAATCCGATTCTATGGATACAAGCAATATTCAGAACTTACCATCCAAGAAGAACTTAAAATTTCGAATTAAGACAAAGAAAACATCAAATGTCACAAAATTACGATCACTCGGTAATTCTACCATAAGACTAAGAGCAAATCAATCGGTTAGAATGCATAAGAAGCAAAAAATGTCAAGACTATCGAGTTTACAAGAAAGAAAATTGGGTATTAAAAAATCAATTAATAAAGTTCATTCGGATCTATCTAGACGGCAACATTTAAGTAGAAAATCAGGAAAAAAAGCGCTTATGCCATCGGTGGTTAAGCATAAAAAACAAAATTATGAATTAGATCCAATGGAAGGCGAAACTTGGCCATTGCAGATGTTACGCCAGCCCAAATCTATTAGTAGTCCATTAGAGAGGCAGATCATCAATCGTCTACCCAGAATCAAAACAATTCTGATATGGAGCCAGCATCCAAATCGTCATCAATCTGAAGCTGGTATTGATTTATCCTGTGGACAGCATCATTGTCGTGTTGTGCGAGATCCTAGCCAGTATACTAAAAGTGCTGCGGTCATTTTTCAAAATTACCGAAAGGAATTTAGCTCTTTCCAATACTTCCCCGAGATGAAATTGCGTCCTGAGCAACAATTATGGATTTATCATAATCGACGTAGTCCAGTTTATAATCAACAAGCTCATATTAAAATTTTACGCTTTCATTTGGCCATGTTTAATCTAGTAATGAGTCATACTCATGATGCTGATTTAATCCATCATTATGGATCGATTACAAAAGGCAATTTTCAGCAGCAGTTTGATCCACAACGAAATTATGCTCAAGGAAAGACAAAATTAATGGCATATTATTCAGCAAGATGCAATCATCAAACCAAAACTTTCCTAAATAATTTACGACAATTTATTCCAATTGATGCTTATGGACCATGTGGGAATATCACATGCCCTAATGGGACTCAACACTGTATGGAAATGATTGCTCGAAAATATAAGTTTTTACTTATTATGGAAGATTCTATTTGTCGTGATTATGCTACTCAGGAATTGTATACCCGTGGTTTAAAATATGATATTGTGCCTGTGGTTGTTGGAGGTGCCAATTATGAAGATCCAAGGACTGCACCTCCGTATTCTCTCATAAATGTTTTCAATTTTGCTAGCAGCTATCAACTAGCAAAGTATTTAAAACAACTCGATAATGATGATACATTATATAATCATTATTTCATGTGGCGTTTACACTACAAAGTCGACAAGGGAAATGATATTAGCGATTTGTGCGGCTTATGCAATAACTTATATGATAATAAATGGGTAGCAGATAAACGAAAATCGACACATTACGATTTATGGAAGAAATGGGGAGATGCGGAACGTAACTGTCTTTTCTACCCGACTGAATTAAATGGACAGACAAAGCAACAAATTGACAATATCTATGCTATATCGGAAGAACATCATGGAAAATTCACATTAACTTAAATTGATAAAATAGATATTGCCATAACTAACGCAAGATGTTCTCCAGACCATTGTTAGCACTAAGAAAAATACCTAAAGCTATCCTAGGGGTGGTTTAGTAAAATGTAATCATACTGCTAAAGATACTGAAAATATAAATTCAACTCAACTACTACGGGAATAACTTAATATAAGAAATAAGTTCTAGACTACTTATAGGCTCATTAGTTTCAAAGTGAATTCTAAAAATGGTGTAATAAATGAAATCAAGTACAAAATATACCGCTTATCATATTCATCGATTCATAATATATGCCATTTTAAGTTAAAATGCTTTGCGAAAGGCCGATGAAACATTTAGCGTATTTAAATGGAAAAGTTTTTGCCGTTAAATTGTTTCGAAAGTTCTGTTCAATATGGTACTTAAATTAAATAGTAGATGTTTATTTTAGACTCCCAGTTTTAATTAGAAATTTATGGCTTATGATTATCATCGTATGCGAATGGTATCATTCAAGACTGGATGTATTTAATGCGAACAAACGTTAAGAAATTCTGAAAATCTCAGATGTCAATCTTTCATGTATTTAATCATAATTAAGTTTAACTAATTAGCGGCTATGATACAGATGTTCTACATAATCTTTACGACACTCACGCTTCTTATATCGTAAGACTTGAAAATTTCTTATATAAATTAAAATCATAACGGAGATGTTGTACCAGAATACTTTCTTTACATTATTCGGATATTACTATTTTATCAGTTGATTCCAAAATATGACGAATTTTACTTCTGTTATTAACAAGCGTTAGAATATAACCTTAAACTTGGTGAAAGAAAATATCTTCAATTTGTCATTGCTGTGAATACCATGTTAAAACAATTAATATTAAAGTATTATTATTATATCTGAAGGATCTTTCATTCTTACAGTATCGATAAATCAACGTTGCATCAATATTGGTACGTATAGCTGATTGGGAACAACATTAATGCATCCAAATTCTATAACTTGACATTAATTACAGCGGATAACTAATTATTATTAACGCTATTAAGTATGAAGATTCACTGACCCAGCAGGTAAAAATATTCCTTGACGTATAGACGATCATATAAAGTAAAGCGTGAATCGGTATCGACGCTAGTTCAAAAAGCATGAAGTCTTGATGACCTGACGCGTGAAACTATTTACCACACATACATTGATGGATATATAAGTATAACACTAGTTTTACAGTTTATGGACGCTAGTAATAGATATCCAGCAGGTATGCATATTTAAGCCTTCATACAGCAAGTAGTCCGTTGAACTACAATTAATCAGTAGATATTAATACTTAATGTAAATACAGTACTGATAACTATTCCTGAGTTAAATTTACGAATTCGGTATATAATTATAAATGGCCCCAGCAAGTAGTTGTTGTTAATCATAATCTCTATATTCATTGAATAAAGTACAGAATTGCTATACCGCTTCTCGGATCTACCATAAGGTGGGATATATGATAATATTAATGATTAATTTTGAATATCGATCCTTAATAATTAATTAATCACAAAAATATCTGATTTACATTAAGTCGGTTATAAAATCAAGTAGTTGATTGAAAGCATACTACGCAAACTCATTATGCAACTGAGCAAACGCATTTTATCCGTCTAATATTAGTACTAGAGTCTCCAGTAGCAACTCTTCAGCCCTTTTTAGTCATATACTTCTCAAGTTTATCTATCTACTAGTACTAATATATCTCGTAGTCCACGTTTTTGGCTTATAAAACGCCTTGATATAGTATTATAGGAGAAGAAGAAATCTTCACCACCGATTAAAAGTCCTAAACCATTTTCCGCACTAGGTTTGACCAAAAGATTGTCAATTCTAGCTAGTATTTCTCTACATTCGATTTTTCCTTCTCTGTGCTATCAGCTATTCCATTGTCTCTATAACAATCGTCGACTAGATAAGAATAGATTAGTAGACAATCGAAAATCATCGTTAGTCTGATTCTCTGTCTGATTGGTTAGCGATCCAATTAAATGAGTCTATTGCTATTGCTGGTAGGCGAAGATAACGAGCCCATATACACTAATAGAAGATAGTGGATAACAGTGGCATCGCAAGCTGAAGATTTCATCGTGAGTTAAGGCGGATTGGCTTCTTCAAACCAAGTTGTTAACTGAAGTCTTATTCTTGGATCTGGTGATACTTGCATTAGGGATTGCTTAGCCATTTAGAATATTGATAAAAGTGACAAGTTAGAATTGGCTTTGGTTCTATTTTGAAATTAATTTATAATTGACAAGATCTCCCGTGTATTTCAACGTCAACGATCGCGATGAATTTGTGGCTAATAATCAAGTGCTTGTGTGTATTTCAAGTTGTTTGTATTAATGGTTACAGCGATTTTACTGAAAAAATCCCAAATGGTGTAAAAGTTCCTAATCCATGCCATGAGGACATCAGTAATCCCTGGCTTGGGGTTGGCCATCAATCATCTGGCGGCGCTGATGCAAGGAATTCATTTGGTGTTGATTTTGCTAATGCTGGCTATACGTGGACTAAATCACTTTGTCAGATGGATAGTGATGGAGATGGAAAAACAAATGGTGAAGAACTTGGCGATCCTGAGTGTACATGGGCTGTAGGTGCAACTCCGTCAATCTCAACCGGTCTTTCTCATCCAGGAATCTGTGAGCCGCTCAATTCTCCTACGTGTTGTGGTCAGAAGCAGTCATGGCTAAGTTGCAATATCGATTGCCCAAATAAGACGGAAAACAAACCATCCAACACCGAACTATAATCGTACTTACATGCAAACTACATCGTAGCATTAATGACCAACGTGTCAAATGGCTTTAATTCTTTCTTTTAAAAAGTGTGAAGCGTATTTCCTAATATTTTTCTACTATTTAAGATGATGAGAATATCACTATAGCTAGGTATTGTAATATGAGCTTAAAAGGAACGAGTTAGTATTTTTGTAATCAAGGCAGTACTTGCACTCTTAAATTTGTTTGATGATTACTGCATCGAATTCCTGTCTAAAGTAAAACTTTAGTGTATTTTGTCTTGAATGATCACAGATGAAGTCCACGTTATCGAAAATAAATTAAATACAATCTTATTCTAATAGCTAGTTGAATACTTAAGTTTACGAAGACGTATACAGGCATCGAAAGGATGTACGTGTGTACATATATGTTATATATTAATACATATATCGTAAGTTACCGGTACGGTATACAATTATCGCTTAAATGATCTATAATTAAATACATTTGCCAACCTAGATTAATCGTAAACCGTAATTAAGCTAAGCAAGATTAATAACTACAGATTGTCAGTATTTGTAGATCTTAGAAGTCCAGGTTCTTTAAGTTTTATAAGATCTAAAAATAGCCGAATAATGATAGGTTATTTACTTCCAGGCAATCCATTTTAAAAATTGTTATGGTGAAAGAAAAACACTCTCTTGTCGATGCAAGTACTGTAGTATAATTAATTATAATCCTTGAAATCGCCTCGTAACTCGTAATAGCAAGGGCTAGTAAACATGCCCTCGTTAATGCCGGCCTTACCGTACTTTGTAAGTTTGAATGGGTTCGATTTTAAAACTAACTAAACTGAATTAATATAGGCATATTTGGCGTCCTGATTCTATCGCTTTCGAGAAAATTTTGATCGCAGTAATCGTACTGATTAAAAATTTTCATTTTTTAATGGCTATTTGCAATTGATTAAACCAAGTATAACCGATCACTTCCTTAGCAAAACGCTAGATAACTGGTAATCATTTCCTGGTAAAGGTACTCTATTTTATTTCTATTGGCTGAATATCATGTCCAAACACTATAATATAAAAAGAAAATATGTAATATTGCATTCTATTCGTCAACTGATTATCAATTTTCATCACACTTCAAGAGAATACAGTTTGACCACAAGTAATGCTAGCATGATAACTCTTAGTTTATTACGCCACAGTTACTTTTATTGCACTATTTAAGGTACTTCATGACATTACAGACCTTAAAAACTCTTCTAATACTGCATGACTCGTGCAACCTATAACGAATTTAAACAGGCATCAGTTTGGTTTATTACATTTTAATACATCAAAGTTGTTCATTATGAGGTACTTAGTTCTTAAAACGCCTAACAATAAGGAGTGATCTTTGCTAGCATTTATATAGGATAATTACTGTATACCGAATAAGAGGCTTAAAAATATTATCCAGATTCTTTCTTCCTTTGCTACTAATCTCCAATACTGTCATGTGAAAGTACTGTAATATTACACGGAATCTTGCAAAGCTATCTCCTAATTTTTGGAAATAGATTCTGTTTCGAAAAGAGTTATTGCAGAATTATAATCACAATCAATGGAGCTGTTTAAAATGGCAAAGGATTGTCTATAAATAATTCCTATAGCTTCAGACCCGTTTGCAGTTGTTGTTATTAATCATCAGAATAGGTAAATAATGCTCAATATGTCTCACTATGATAATAACATTGCATAGAATATAGCTGCTTCAGTGTCTGTTTGAGTAATACTTGTTATGTCAATATACATTAGACAGCTAACAATTAGTAGAGTCTTTTTTGGAGTTTATTTGCCTACTGATCAAAGTGTACTGGTTATGTTGTTATACGAGTATGTCCATATAAAGGGGCAGATTAAGTTGAAACTCGAATTTGGATGTATAAATTGTCTCTTTAAGTAGTCCTATAAATAAAAGAGGAAATTTAAACTGTAAAATTTATATTCATTACTATCAACCGACTAAAAGTTTTTAACTAATCCACTTGTAAAATGCTAGAGTTGAATTATTTAATGTATTTTTGGGGGCTAGATAGCTTGGTACCTCAAATGATTACTATTTAAGGCTACTTCGTGACACTAATCTTTTATACCCTCTAGATCAGTTATTTGAACAGCTGTAATATATATCAAACTTCTATTCCTAATGGTGTAATGAATGCGCCTCACTATAACTATCTTTGTCAAATAGTATTTTCTAAAAGGCTTTTATTACAAAGTTTTAGGAATGGTAGAGCAATAATTAATTACTACAAGAATCTAGTCTAAAATCTAAAGTATTCCGAGCTCGAAGCGAAGTGTAATCTCTTCTCTCCTGTAGGCTTATCTCTGCAGTTCTTATAAACATTTCGTTAAAACCATTTATGACAGCTTGATTCATATACAATCAGGCATGAATCATCAAACAAAATGCTTTTCTCTAATTGTACATCATTTTTTACAATCTAAATCATTCTACTTAAAATGCCACTACTCTACTATTTACATCTAGGCCCATTCTTCGAAGGGCATCTTAACAACTACAGTGTTTCTAGCTACATAAATCTTGCACGATAATTAGTCAACATGTAAAAGTACTGTACAGTAGTACACGGATACACGCTAAAAAGTTACTGAATCTCTGACAGGTCTATCAAATAGTAATACTATCTGTTAAATGAGCACATTATCGTAAACCGTCAGCAAAGCGAAGGGAGCTTGCACTAGTATCTTTTCAAAGTAACCTAACTATATCAAATATAGCTATCCGCATAATCAAATATGGATGCATCACTACAAAATGGTAATAAGGTACGTAACCATCGCAATCCTAGTTTGATCTGGTCTGGTATTGGTGATGAAGTTTCAGCGCGTGCGGGTACTAGAAATTGATTTGGAATCGATTTTGCTAACGCTGGTCACAGTTGGACTACATCACTATATCACAAAGATAGCGATGGTGATGGCAAGACTATTGGTCAAGAATTTGGCGATCCAAATTGTATCTGAACTTTAGGTTCTCCTCCAGCAAGTACGACTGGTCTATCATATTAGATTATAAACACCGTGTAAAGTGGCTTTAATTAATGACTAAAGTTCCGAATTTGAGCGTAGATCATTCAGGCAATCCTCTTACAAATGCACGTCACTTGATGTAAAGAAATATGGATATACACGAATATTTAAGCATCAAATGATGATTTCGTTCAATGTTGGCTTAATATTATGTTAACTAATCTTAATTTAAAATTTTATCATTAATCAGGTAGCTATTTCTTATGAAACTACTGTAGACCGTATTATGTAGCTTATGAACAGTATTGCAGTCTATTAACGAAATTATTGTACAGAATATACTTAAAAAACATACATAATGGTAATAATACCATTAAAAATATATAAAGGTATACGATGAACTTAATTGACGTAGTTTTCCTTCTTAATGCTAAACTTATATTCATTCTAATTGTAGATTATAATTTAAGGGATATAAAAAAATACTTACTTTAACTTCTTACTGCAAATTAGGATTACTAACTTCCAGATTAAAATTTGAGTTATATTGTATCAAAATTTAAAAAAACTACTATAAAAATATCTCAGCATATCACTTTTCGGTATCTCTAGTAACCAATCATTACTTTTCTACTGATTGGCAGCACCAGTAGATTTCATGTCTGAAAAACTGGTGATTTGAATTTAGACATCGTTTGATAAATAAGTAGACTCAAACTCTTGGCTTCAATAGTTCTATTGCGTAGATTAAATTACTGCTAAATTTGGATTAAATTTAATATTGAAGTCACGTGCTGGTAAATTTAAAATACCTTTTCATGCTAAACTGATATGTGGGCTGAATTTTAAAATGATACGGAAAATGATCACGTTTACGTTAAAGCAAAATTTTCGAGTAGCAATGGCAATACTTTCTGATAGCAGATCTTAAATAAATCAAACAAACAGTTCTTCAACTAAGCTAGAAAGAAGATGCTAGCTACCGGTACATCTGTTTTTCATCCAACATCTTTCCAGGCAATAATATTTATCTTTATTTCTTCGTTTAACGTAGCACGTAAGTAAATGCCAGGTATAATATTTAAATAAAATTAAAATTTGGGGCAAAAACCTGCGGTCAAATGAGCTGAATAGACAATGATATAAGCTAAATTATTAGGTCAAATACATGCAATATACTCAGTGCGAAGTAATAGTGACAATATAAAGTGAAAGTATAAATATACACAGTACGCGAAATATCACAAATGTGGATTCATCTAGAAATATCTATTGTTTTACATAAAATAAGATATACGCGTTATGTGATATACTGTACGTACGGACTTTTAGCTGTACCATTTAATACTTACAAATTATATGTGTAGGATGAATCATTTTTGTTAATTTTATTTTATTACCAGCTGACTTCTTGTCAACAGATTGTTCTATCAAATGAAGTGTTAACTCGCACTTTTATATGTAGTTGTCACAAACTTATGTTGCGAACTACTACACTAAACTAATAGATTACTTATACCTTGCTCTACTACACCTGGAGATCTACTGTATGGTAGTTCTATACTACTTAAGGTCACACAGGGATAAGACTGTTCTACATGATTAGTATAGTTTTTATTAATAGAGTAGCCGAGTACCTTCCCTTACATGATCTAATAAAGAACTCTGAAAGTGAGCATTCGCTCGTCCTTTTATACTCTTCCACTAAATTCGTGGTGCACACATAGTAACTTGACAATATAAGATTTACATGATTTAGCGGGTGCTAACGTGTCGCCATTATTAATATCTATATAGGGTCTACTAATTAATTGCAAAATACAATTATGCCTTTTGTTGTCTAGCAATCTAGACATTCTTAATATTCTTAATTTCATTTATCACTTACCAATATGATCCATTAGCTAAATACTAACAAATTCTATTTAATTAGCAAGTACGGTGCTTTGCTCCGTAACAGTAGTCTTCGATCAACTTTACAGATAAGATAGGACGTAGATATAGCAAAATAGTGCCGAATAGTGCTTTCTTAATGGCAAAACAAGTATGGTAATTGGGATGATCAAAACGGATTGTATTTATTATGTAGTGATGGTTCAATGGTTATTTACTCTACACTAAATACAACCATGAAATGAAACGATAACTCATTAGCACAGATGTTTATGAAGTTTATCGATTTAGAATTTATTACAGCCTTAATTATGGATGCCAATTATAAGTTTTACTGGATGATGGTCAGCTAGGATACAAACGGTGATGACTACGTGAAATCTAACAGCAAAATAAGGAAAAGATGTACAATCATAGAAAACTGCGACATTAGCTTTTTCAAAATGATTTAATTATGTTAGCTAGGCTAGTAGTCATCAATGGAAGGACCTTAACTTTCATTACAGTGATGAATATTGTTGCTATTAGACTCAATCAGATACCTTATTTATTTAGTATAATACATGGAGCCCAATTTTAATTAATGAAGGAAATAACTGTGTAGACAATGCTTGAATATAGGTAATATCATAATGCTGGCTTTATTTCAACTTATGCTTGACAAATAGATTATTAGGAACAGTTCTTGTTGTCTAGTCGCATTCAGTTAGTTTCGCTAACTAAATATCATTTGCTCTCCTAACACTGAATAAAGATTGCTTGAGATTCTATTGTAGATTCGATACTTTAAATTCAGCGGATGATAGATTAATTTATAGCAGTAGTATTTTAGCATTTTAAATATACAAATTAGAACTACGTCAATAAGATGCATATATGAGGAAATACTTACTATACTGCAATGTTAACCGTATCTGTTCTAAATATATGAAAGAACTATCAGTAGTGCTGGCAGTTTTTTACTAAAACCGGAGTTATGATGATCAGAGTCAATGGAAAAATAATAAAACAAACGAATAACGAGATTGAATTTTAATCTAATCTTGATTCGTAGTACTATTCTTAAGTTTTAGATACGACCTCAACATCAAACAGCGTAAATAGAAACTAAGATATCCTTAATTTACTATGTGACTGATAAAACTACGTTATCTACAAGCTTAACAATAACCAACGATTTTGCTTTTCTGACATTATCTAATGGTTAGTTATCTTGCCAAATACATCTCTGTATATTAGATTATATGCAGACTTATACGTGCATAAATAGCTGTAATAGAAAAAATTTCAACACATGCGACATTTTTACTTGAGTATAATACTAAACCGAATGATCTTCATTCAAAAATTCTTGCCATTTTGTAATATCATAAAACTCCAAATTTGGATGCAAGTTCTTAAATGCTGTAAATGCTCTCGTAGGAATGTATGGCAAGAGTAGACATAACCTTTAACGTAAGTATGTTAAACGATTATCTTCTTGATGTTTCTTTCCTCGTTATAAGTAGTGTGTTATCTTGAACGGTGCGATATAGCAAGAACTGAAAAAGAATATATAAAATCACGAATACAAATGGTGTTGTCATAGCACTCATCGGGTGTCATAATATTATTATAATAGGAGGTAGTTAATATAATTTTCAGTGCCAAAGAAGTAACAGGATGTCAAGATATGCAATCCATTTGATCTGCTTGGATGATTATATGTCTAGAATTTTGCATGCTTCATTCTCTATTTAGCATAGTAGACTCTGGTTCGACATGCAATTATTTTAATAAATTATAGCATTGAACACGAATCCAATGTCTTAAACGTTAACAACCAGCATGCTATTCATGATAGAGAAATGCAATAATAGTACGGTATATTTTCATTTGAATATCTGTTGCTTTAAGATCTATTTATATTAATTAATTATTCTAGAAATGCTTGTAATAGTATTACGTATTTATCATCAGTAGTGCTATAATAATGAAAATATGCGTATTCAATCGTGTCTGCAACTTATGGATACGTTTTAGAACTTTTTCCAGATCTATCTTGAAGCCTAGACTAGAGAGACTTTCTCTGGGTTTTTGTATCACCAGAGGCCACTTACTAGTATGTCCAATCGCAGTAAACTATCTCATATATATATATATGTATATCTTGAAGATATTTGTTATATTAACCGCGTGACGTTTAGCTTTGTGAATTCATGTGATCATGGTATGGTCAAGAACTACTCAGCAAAAATTTTCCTAACTGATACCAAATGCCGTAGCAAGCCAAAGTTATCAATTTTACTCAATAAATCTTACGCCGTAGAGGAAAATAATTTTGTACGAAGAAAGGCTGTAATTGGGGAAAAACAGGAGTATCGGTAAGATGATGGGAAATTTTTGTTGAGTAGTCCCTGCCTTAAACCTCAGCACTAAATTATTTTCTTGGATAATTTACTATTAGGTACCTGCTTAAGTCAGGGTACCTACATAGGATCACTTATGACCATTTTTCTATCTATGTAAATTATATTCAGTACCAGCTGGAGTAGTAAGCTAGTGGTATTAATATTAGAATCACTGAAGAATTCTGAGGTAGGCCGAACTCGGAAATGTCAATCAGTTGGGCGTAAACAACTGGATAACTTTCAATAGGTTACCTATCAGATAATAGTCAACAAGCCCTGCTAAAATAGAATAACACTGGAACCTATTTGAATAGTAATTTTGAGTAGTATTTGCGTTGTCATTATACATTGGATAGGTCACCAATTGTTAATAAACTCATTTATTTATATAATGGTAGAACTATTACATCCGCTAGTTTAAGTGTATGCCAGTGAGCCAGAAAGCTGAATTAAATGCGGGCCTTTGATTGTGTGAATTTCCAATTTCAAACAGTTTAGAACGTGATTTAAATCGAACGTCATTTTAAGCAGTTTTGAACGTGAATCAAATCGAACATCATTTTCTTCATTGCTATAATATTCTATTATCGTTAGTTAGCTTTTATCTATCCGCATAACGGAAAGATTGAATTAGTTTCATTCTTAACCATTTCGTTATTCAAAATGATCGTTTTAAAATTCTATTTTACGGTTACATTCTTATGTACCTTCCATTTTACGTTTATTAGCAGCTATGATAATTATCTCGATAGGATACCAAATAGTAATAATGTTCCTAACCCCTGTAATCCTAGCGCAAAATGGTATGGTATCGGTCATATAGCAACGGCTGGTGCTGGGGCTAGAAATCCATTTGGAACCGATTTCGCTAAAACTGGTCGCACTTGGAGCACAACGCTATGCCAAATGGACAGCGATGGCGACGGTAAAACCAATGGTGCAGAGCTTGGCGATCCAAATTGTGTCTGGACTGAAGGATCTACTCCACCAAGTACAACCGGGATATCTCATCCAGGAGTTTGCGAGCCGATCAACTCACCTGCATGTTGTGGTAATAAGCAGCCATGGTTATCGTGTAATCCTACATGTCCAACCACTATGTCAACGACTCAAGCCACCACTGCAGGCACCACTGAATCCACCACAGAAGCTACAACAGAGGCTGCAACAGAAGTTGCAACAGAAATCATGTCAGAAACTACAACAGGAGCCGCAGTGGAAGCAGCAACAGGAGCCACAATGGAAGCCACAACAGAAGCCGTAACGGAAGCTACAACAGAAGCAAGTACAGAAGCAAATACAACAGTAAATACAACAGTAAACAACAGCAAATACAACAGAAATACAACAGAAAATGCAACAGTAAATACAGAAGTGACTACAGAAACCATAACAGGAGCAAATACTGAAGTAGCAACCGAAGCCATGACAGAAGCAGATACGGAGCCCTCGACAGAAACTATGACTGAAGTCGCAACGGATGCTACACTAAAAGCAAGCACTGAAGCAATGACTGAGGCTGCACCAAACATTACAACACAAGCCATAAATTCCACAGCAAAATCTACTAGCATACCTACAATGCCACCTGTAACACAATCTACAACTAAACCCGTCACAAATTCGACGATGCAATCGATGATTACAACTACTACAGGTATAACTAACGCCAATACTCAAATTATGACCAATGCAACTAGTCAAGCTAGCACTCAAAAAACTCCTCAATTAACCACCAGCCCACCCATTGGTGCTACTGCAACGAATGGAGTCGTTCAATTTGGGCCTTACTGCGGCATATTTATACTATTAGCAATTATAAATTACATACTATTGTAAAATGAATGGACGAAAGCCCATTTCATGCTTATCTACCTCTTGCCTTAAAGTACATACTGAACTTTTGAATGAGCGATAGATTGATTGTTATTTCCATTTTCCTTAATTGCTAGTCTCCAAATTTCTTACACAGATCCTGTCTTTAAAAACCTAAACGCTCAGCGTTAGATGTTGAGAAGCATTAATAATGATGAAATGGTTTATCCAGTTCCATCCATTGCAATAATCTATTCTATTTATGTGACTTTTTAAATCAGCAATGCGTAGTGATTTCAAGATTAAAAGTAATTACAATATTAAATATTTGGAATTTAATAATTATTTGAGAATTAATATTGCAGTATTTTTATGATTCATAAAGTATAAACTCTGTTATACGACAATATCCTATCTATTACACTATTACTATCTTTCAGATTAGTGAATAAAGTTTGAATTCATGGACTAATGCAATTTTTCAACTATAATTTCTATAGAGCACTATATTACATAGCTAGAAATCAATATCAGAACATTTTACTGCTTCATATCTTATAGTCTCCCTTATATAATTATATAGCATCTATTACAATACTATAATCTGATGGAGCCGTGGTTTAAGAAAGAAAAATAAAATTCGGGCTGATGTCATAAACAGATACCAGAAAATGTATACGGTTATTGACACCAACATTTCTATCATGGATTACTTTATACATATTCTATATATTGTAGATAATGTAATATCGTATAAACTTAAAATCACAACATTCATATTTAAAATACTCCAAGTAATTGATATCAATATTTAGATTGTACTTCCCTCTATATCACTCTGTTTAACTCGGTATGGATCATCCTATGGACCCCAATAACTAGTTTTACTACTACATTTATTTGAAATTCTTATGGTTTGACACAGACTGGTTTTTCATAAGTATCAATACGAACATAAATGAACTGTGAAGGAATTTAAATAGCGGTATTGCAAGTATAGATAGTTCTTTAAGCCCGAAATAGCCTTCATGATTGATTGTTTCTTAATCAATATTTATAGTATTGATTAAAGAGAGATATCTAGTCTATAAAATTAGATTTTATTGATTGAACCTTGACAATTTAAAGTTATAAATACAGCATGTGTTTAAGAATTGGTCATCTCGAAAGCTAAATCGATGATGCCATACTTAGTGTAGCTTTAAAAGGTAAATCAGTACTCTAATTTAACTCAAAATAGAATTGTTTTCGTACGTCAATTAACTTTACCTAGTATTAAGGTAGTATTGAATAGTATTTGTCAAAATATAATGTCACCACTTTATGAGGATTAACAGCATATTAAATCAATTAAATAAATTTTTGAACACTATTAATTTACTGTATTATAAAGATAGAACAGAAATAGTCGTAATATTATTATTAATATATTATATTAAAAGATGAGGTACAGAATTAGCTATAATATCAAAGTTCATAGAGCAAGCAAATTGAAACAATAAATTCTGTACATAAGTTAATCTTTCCGAAACTACATATGCAAATCATTTTGATAACTATTTCAATATAAGATGATGTAAAAATGGTTCATTTAGTTCATTCAAGTCTCATTTTGTATGCCTTAAATTCTCTAATTATTGGTCAAGAACAATTCGCTATCAGGTTAGAATTGAGATTAGCATTAGGTTGAGTTGAAGGTAATTTCATCTCTGATTCAGCGGGTAAAATTGATTAGGTTAATATGTATAAAAAGTACTATACAATGAAAATCAGTAGTAAATATATTAATTTTAACCTTACTGATCATGCAATAGAAGGCATCTATTCTATACATCCAGAGGTTAGCATCACTAGAGTGAGAAATCTTGTGCTGATTCACAATCATAACTGATTCATTATTCTGATTCAATTTTACGCCATTTGGACTTCATTGTTACTATTTATTTAATAGTGGACATCAAGTTTTTCTTCTAAAGAATATTTTCGAGATCAGCAGCGTAAATATACAATTTCTTTCTGAGTTTTTCGACGATTTATTACCTATTTATAGTTGACTTACAAATAATCAAGTCGTGCAACTGATTGTGATCATTTTTCTTATTTTTGGGGTGTAAAATTAATTCACCAGAATGTTCCATTCCATTTACTCATTCCCAATTTGCGATTCATAGCGAGATATGAAAACTAATTGCTTATGCTAGTCGTTTCTTGTGCTATGGTCGATACCTATAGTCGATACCTATGGCTATGGATCATTCCAAAATAAAATTTCTAATGGCTTGAGTGTTCCAAATCTATGTAATTCTAATCCCAATAACGTTTGGGCTGGCGTTGGCCATCAGGCCTCTGCCGATAGTAATCTGAGAATTCCTTTTGGTGTCGGGTTTGCCTCTGCTGGTAGAAGCTGGAAAGTCACTTTATGTCAAATGGATAGTGATGGCGATGGTAAGGCAAATGTTGAAGAATTAGGCCATCCCGATTGCCTTTAGGTTGAAGGTGGTGCACGTAATATGTGAACTGGGTTATCTCATCCTGACATTTGTGAACCAGTGAATTCTGTACAATTTTGGGGCAGGCAATCATGGCTGTTGTGCGGCGTTGCTTGTAATATTGCTATAACACAAGCTACAACCCAACCTATGTATGACTAAAGGGACTAAAACGACTAATGGAGATTGTAGCATAATCGCATATTAGTCTATTTCTCTTTTAATGGCCTTGTTGACAAATTTTTTGTGCTAAAATAACTTATTACAGTGCTTTGGTTGATATCCTCATTAAATGTTACTATAGTGTTATATTTTATTATAGGAAATAAGAAACGATGACTTTCTGCAAAGTCTAAAGATTACATTTATTTTAATATTTCTACTTCATGAGACTGAAATATCTTTAACCAGAGTTATGTAAGTCCAAAAGATGAGAAATTCTGATTAGATTATATCCGTTGGTATCTTGAATTTAGGATTCCTAAATTTAAATATTCTATTCAAAAATTATAATCAACCAGTAAAAGTATTCGTATATCAATTTAGCTTATTAACAAAGCTTACTTGCCATAGAATATTGGTATAAATGACTAATTCCGTTTTGATATAACATGGTGCTATGTTAAGGACTAAGAACCAACACCCTCATAGATTGAAGTACCGGTAGTAGATTGTTTATACGTTAATTTAAGGAATAAAATTTATTTTGTATATGATAAGTACATGTTCAATCTTTAAATGTATCAGATATTCCGACATACTTTTCTATCATTACTGACCACGGATGCTAGTGATAAAGATTTTTTCCATAAAATAATTTATTTTTAGTTAATGGTAATACATACTATTAGTTTGGTTAATAATTAATTAATTAATGAATAGATAATATCATTCATTCTTTATATAGTAGTCTTTATGGCGTGATGGCAGAATTACAAAATTATCGTTAGAGTTATCAGATAGCTTTGTATAGCAACGGGTATATTAAGTTGAAGAGTAGATTGCTTTAAATGTAGCTTTTGATTTTCGATGAGTCTCTTCCAGCATTATCATACATCAATTTACTTCAATTGACATAGTGGTCCATTTAAGTTTTACAAGGAACTTCTTTTAACTTGGAATAGACTGGTAATTCTTTCGCTATGTTTACATTTAGAATGTTTACCGCTGCTTAATAGCTTCATCACGCTATACTTATACGCCTTTAATTTGAACATTATGCTATATTGTGTCTTCAGGTAAAAGTTATTTTTGACTATCTTAGTTACTAATTATGAAATTTCAACGTGACTGAAGACCTTAGTTTAGTTGGTGCAACTTTTGTCATCGCTCAATTTACACGAGATCGACATTTCTTACTATAAAGGTAGTAAAGGCGATAGTAGTTCAGAATATAGATGTTGCATGAAAAGTGTAATACACTTTTACGCTAAAATTGAAATTACATTTCTTCTCTTGACGTCAGCAATGCTTTCATCCTATGCTTTAATGTCATTGCAACAGTACTATTGGCTGAAATATTAAATTCATAACCTTAAACTTGTTTTACTGACAGGATAGAAATCCTGGGTTTAATATGCTAGTAAATCAGACTTATTTCAAGTTGGAATAAATACGGTAAATCTCAGAAAATGAGTTTGTTACATGCATCTTGCCTCCAAAAGCTTTAGCGAAATCTATATCAGATACTCTTATGCGATTTCTTGTGAGGCAAAAGACTAAGAAGAGAGCCAACTAAGATGAGAGCTAAATGGTATAAACTAATATACTGGTAATAAATTTTTGATGATACTCTTTATCATTATGCTGATCCATGCCATTTTAGAATTTGGTAAGTAGCAGTAATGATGATGACTTCACTTAGGATTACAGCTAATATCTGACCATATCGTATAAATCCTTATTCGACATAAATGGAGTGTTAACGAAACATTCCCATCAATCTTATAGGCCTAAAATCCATCCTAATATGAACGTTAGAGAAATGCATGATATAATAGTTTCATTAAATGCTCATCGGTCTTAGGTCTTTGTTTGTAGGATAATGAATTTTGTGAGGGTATCCAAACAACAAAATCATCTGGTGCCATACGCAAATTATAACAGTTACAGCTAATTCTTCTACAATGCCCTCCTTAGCAACTACATCTTATACTATACTTTAATTAATGCTTTCCATGCTAAGTTGTAAGATAAATCAATGCCTCTTGGTGTAAATCTAATCTTTCTGATATAGTCTAATTAATAATTAATTGCTGCAAGTGAATCCTATGTGGAAGTTATAGTTTCAAAATATCCATGTTAAAGCGTTTAATTGTCAGAATGGATCTTAGTCCATCAAGATATTGGTCATTATATTGATTTAGGGCACACTTTTCTGTCATTATTTATCTGGCAATTGACAATAACCAATGCCAAGAATTTGCTTGCCTTTTGCAATAAGTAGCGTTTTAAATTTTGTTAGTCAAGTTAACGAGATCTCCTTGAACCTAGTGCTGTACATAGGCCACAGTAATAAGGAAATTTAGTTCTTTCTTTTCTCTATTGTTTGCTTCAACTAAGGTAATGTACTGCAGTATACAGGTTTAAATCGAGAAGGATATTCTATTTCATAACCCTTTGAAAGGTAACATTAGCATAAAAAGATATTTCAATTCCTCTTCTTAGCTCTCTGCTAAAACAATTCTCGATCATGGAATCATCCTTAAAGGCAATTTGCGAATGGCTATGGCGAAAAGAAACTTAAAAGTGACTCATATTTGTAACCCTTTCATGTTCTTATAAATGCTAGTCACGACGTATTAAATGAAATACTCACTACGGTCTAAAAATTTGGCAATATTAGTACACAAAAATAGTATCCAAGTAAATATCATTCAGCGCTAACAAAAGAATGTGTAATACGCGCTATCATCGTGCTTTTAACCTTCCATAATAATTCGATAGCTGTAAGTCCATAGCCACGCCATCTACGTATAAACCTCATGATAAACAGATGCGTATCCATGTTCTATGAATTAATTAATCCATCCTTGCATGGATCAATATGTTTATTAACCTGGTCGGCTTATGGATAACTTAAAAGAAGTCACACGAAATTTCGAATACTAATTTACGCCAATGGAAACTAGCAGCTTAGAAAGCTTGACCAATTCTCTATCACGATAGGATAGATGGAAATTGCATTGCGCTCATTACTGTAACTTACCTAATCATACTCTGTAGACCTACTTAACTAATATGATCCACCATGATATTCAGGTAAGCTAATAATGAAGATGTTTGCTGGATGATCAAGATAAGGCGAGGTGTTGTATACTATTATTCCTTTTATCGTCATCAAGGATGATGTCACAGTGAGTGTACTGTTTTGTTACTCGGATGCTGCATACTCTAATTATATATTTATCATCCCCCAAAAATAATAATCATGAATCATTTTCTAGCAACAATAGTGCATTTCTTTTCTATCTCATATTTATTATGGCCGTTGTTGGGTGCCAATCAAGCATTAGTCTTGAAATTGTATTCATTTCATCGCTTTCTGATTGGTAAAGAATCCTTCCTCAATCGGGCAGTTTATTTGTTCTCCAATGGATGATATTGTTTACTTTTAAATGAACTTCCTTCATATTCATGCGGTTGAAGAAGTGCATTTTATACCGATAAACCTTGATCGCAAAATGACCTGCTGACTCATGTGTAAATTAACTATACATTCAAACTTGATTAATTGATTTACTAAACAATGTTATAGCTTGATACCGGGTACGATAGGTGGCAATACTATTATTCTATCGACTAGGCCACTGGTTACGTGCTGAACGATTATAAGCCGTTGCTACTTGTGGTCTAGACTCATTATTCTCAGAAAAGCCCAAAATTGGAAAAAGTCGTTGACGGTGAGTTGGAGAATTTCTCATTTTCTCTTCCTCATGGAACAGACTCAATATAATTTATTATTAGAGTTTGAATACTATTTTCTATAGCACTTCATAAAGCTATTATTAATATTTATCATTTCAATTTTTGTTAGACCCTGAACAAATCGTAAATCTCCCAAAAGTAATTTTAACCATGGCAAAATACGCGTACTTGTTGGTTACCATCGTTTTTTTCACCACTATTACCGATATCTATGGATATCTACCTTATCAAACTAAAATTCCTAATGGTGCAAGAGTACCTAACCCATGTAGTTCATCCAATGCAATTTGGGCTGGTGTTGGTCATCAAGCTGCTGCTGGTGGTGGAGCAAGAAATCCTTTTGGTGTTGCTTTTGCCAATGCTAACCGCACATGGACTATGGCACTATGTCAAGCGGACAGTGATGGTGATGGCAAGACAAACGGTGCTGAATTAGGTGATCCTGATTGCATATGGCTTGAAGGTAGTGCACCTAATATGACAACTGGATTATCTCATCCTGGTATTTGTGAGCCAATGAATTCTGCAACGTGTTGTGGCAAGCAATCATGGCTGTCATGCGGTGTTGCATGTCCTACAGGCACAACGACTAATGGAGCTCCCCGCACTCTTACCTATAACGTACTTTTTGTCCTAGTTACTTTAATTATCTGCGCCTTGCAGTAATGAAGACTCTCATTTACGTTAATTTGTTGATATTGAACGTGGGCATAGATCGATTTTGAATAGATTGGATATCAAGGAAATATTTTACTCGATAATATATAAATTATCTACTTGTGTAGTCGCTAACAACTATTAGTAAAACGTAACCTTTACTGAGTTCGGGTTACATTAGCAAAGTTCTAGAATTTTCCTTAATTCTTCGTAGTAACACTTATACAAGAAGCTAGTAATAAAATACGTTTAAGAATACATCAAATTATATATCCGTAGTTTTCTTCAATAGTATGTCGTTGATGTATTAAAGCATCGTATTCAAAATTGACTGTTGTTGCAGCGAATACTTTGGTTTTCAAAGTAGACTAAAGTGTTTTTGGTTAGTTACGCTTATCTTAAATGAATACAAGATGAATAATATAGCATAAAGTAGAGCAACATAGCTCCGTGTTATAACATGAAGACTTGTCCACCGAAATGGACATGTCTTCTACTAGTCTTCTTTACTATTCTATCTAATCTAATATATGTTTGCCTTAGATGATAGTGTGTTTTACGGTGGATCCGTAAAATTTTCTTGCTTTTTTATAGCCCAATTACATGGTATTGTGTGTACTAACTTGAAGGCAATGCTAACGATTGCTAATATCAATAAATAATAAAATAAATATTCCATCGAACAAGGAAAATATGATGGTAGCAATTTTATCACCAGTTATATCGAAGCAAACTAATTTAATTTTAGTTTTATTTTATCAATATTTCTGTTGCAGCCACAATCAATGCTGAGTCACTTATTGAAGTTTTAGTAACGTAATCCAAGCTACGATCGCCATACTTTTGCAATTGAGTTCTTCTTTATCCCTTGAATTCGCTAAAAAATTGTCTTATTTCTGAAGTAAAAAATATTATTTTAGATGAATTTCAATAGCTTATCCGTCAAGTCCCCAGTCTAGGATAACTCTGCTATTGCTAGAATTTTCATTAACATAACGTTTTATTTGATTCTTTAATATGGCCTTATCCAAATTTTTCTCAATGTAAACTGCCTGCTATACATGCTGACATAGCAATTTGCGTTTAATAGATAAATCATCCTCATTTTAAGAACACTCTATGATCAATCTATCAATGACAGTAAAGATGAACGAAATGCTTATTAGAGCCACAAGATAGAAGATATCATTGTGACAACGACTTTGCTTTTTCAGCTTTCGACCTCGATGAACCATCTATCGAAATCATATTCTCACGGAATAAATAGTGTTTTTAGTGTCTTTGTTAAGATTACAATATATTAATCATGGGGAATACTTTCGACAGTTACTCTTATTCTTTCATCTAATCTATGATATTGAATGGCCACGTAAACGATCACAAGTATGGACCTTTAGGAATTTCTAATTCAAAGCTTTCATCGATAATTAGACTGTAGACAAATAATGTCCTTATCAAACTACAGTAACGGCATTGCTCCTTTTAACTCTTTTGAGGAATTTTCTTTTCTTTCAAATATTGGAGGGCAACTAATTGATTGCAGCCTTACTACTTTATATTCTACAATATCTGTATTCTTACGCTTACTTTTCGATTAATTTGATGACCTGAAATGGTTGTTTTCTGTTAAAGTCTGGCTAATTTCGTAAAGACTCTACTTTGCTATTAAGCTTGATAGCAATAGGATAGAATTGAAATTGAAATTTACCATCGTGATCAAATTGATGTCGCTAGGCTTAAACTGATTTCCCTATTTCTTTCTCTCTACCGGCTGACTTTTTTGGCTTTGATTTCAGCGTTTAATTTTTAGCCATAAAGCGCTTTAGCAGTGAGCTAGATGGTAACGAATTAATTTATCTTTCGATCAGGCTGTCGGTAATCAATATTACTCTGCCAGATACTCACTCCATCAGACCATTAAAAATGCTAATTCATGGCTCTCTAAAGAGTATAGTTACCCCTCATTATTTCTTTGATTTTGTATGCCATGATGATTTGTGTGTGATACTGTCTGAAAGGAAAGCAATATTTTTATTCTATCATTCTGATCTTTTTCTTTCTAAACTGTGAAATAATGATCAATTTTGACACCTATAAGAGTCAATATGGATGATATGATGGTTTTACTCGATAGACATTCTTTTAGCACCGTAGCAGTGATTAAAATTTTAAATTTAATACCATAGCAACCAGCATAATATCAAATTCAATTTTCTAATGGCCTGAAAAATAGAAGAATAACTGACATTAGATCACGTGTTTGATGGCCCATCAATGTCCATCGACAATCGATTGGGTAGGACCATTAAATTAGCGCTAGTGTTATGTTGAACAGGAAATTTTGTCGAGGTTTCATCGACAATTTTTTTATTATTATCGCATGTATTTGTGGATAAGGAGAGAGTAGAAAGCTGGTAGATGGAACATGAATAAAAGCAGATTCATTGTCAGAACTTACTTCAATATAATGCTGTAATGTAGTACTAGTATATAAGAAACAACTTAATTGGCACATGAAATTTTACTTTCATTGTCATATTGCTCGCGGTTTAGAAATTAGTTTGCAATTGGGTTGGCTTCTATAGAGATAATTATTCTGTAGCATGTTAGAAAATAAACTTGTTGTTAGTCAATATAAAGGGGATCTATTACAAGGTAAAATCAAGTAGATGTCCTACCTGGAAAGCATTCATTGTTGCTACTGCAACTGAAACTGACACAATCAATATTAATTAAATTAATGCTGAATGGCCCCTTCTTCTGTATTGAATAGATACGCTAATGTTAATCCTTCCAGACAGGCATAAATGCAAGAAATAGTGGGTTGGATATAGATTTAAAAATGGAAATTTCTTTTTCGCTTTATTGAATTTCATTAGCTCGTACTCTGCATACTGCAATTCTACCAGTAAAAAAATTAACCTGAACGTAAAACATCTTTCACGTTACCTGATTCACTACATCGAACCACCTCTACGACAAACATGCTTATTAAATAAATAATGCATATTACCTTATATTAAAATTAAAGATACGTTTCAGCAAGAAAATTAATTTTCATTCTACCTAATTTATTAATTTGAATTGCCTACACCATAGTTTCACCCATTAAATACGGTCTATCGTATTATATCGAAATCAAATAGTTTACTCTTGTTGAAACTTCTTGATAATCTAATCTAGAATTGATTACGAATATACTAAAGAATACAGATTAGCATAGAATTTTTTTCTATTTATAAGCCAACTGGGTTTTCAGCTTTTTGACTAGCCTTATTCGGCAATAAAGTAGCTGCGACATGAATCATTTTAAAGTACTATATTTTAACGTGAACTCAATTTAAACTGTTAATTTGATTACAATCGCTATCAGTTGTTTAATCATATTACTTAGATTCTGAAACTTATACAATTTATTAGGCATGAGATGAATTCAATTTAATAATTGGAATAAAATCATTTTTACCCAATTATCATTTTGTAGGATGAAAATTGAATTAGGCGTACTAAAGCCGTTTACATATTAAAAATCGCTTAATTTCACTTCAGTAATCGGATTAAGGTTATTCTTGCCCAATCATCGTATTGATAATTCATGTGCTACGATTTATTGTTTGGCGATCATTGTTTCGGGACGATTGTCTATTTATGTACAGTGAGGTAAAATAGACTTTGATCTAGTATACCCGTTATTCGATAGATCAAATTTGGTCCCTAGTAATAAAATCATTCTTATGCAATCTTGGAGTTAATAAAATGATAACTAACTGATAATTAGGTCAGTTTGCTTTAGCATGCTAGACATACTCGTAAGTCCAATTTTCCAGTTCAAGTTATGATATAAAAGTAATTAATTATGATCAAGTCTTTTATCGTGTTGGACTTAGATTGTAATCACATCAGTGTTTAATAAAGTAATTTTTCAATTCAATCAAACTTACTACCACTTTTCGTCAATCTCAGTACTAATCGACTCTGTAAATCTCTCAAGTTAGTAGGATGGTAAGACGACTACTATATCAAATAAAGGACCACTCGCGAAGTTTAATTTGCGATATTAGTTGGAAACTACTAAAAGTATAACTAGATAAAATATAGTAAAGACTTAAAAAGACTTCTACCAGTATAATGGTATTACTAGGTAAAATATACTAAAGTCTTAAAAGGACTTCTACCAATAATGAACGGATACTACGATATCTCGTATTCTGGCAGATGCGGTTATTGATAAAGCGTAGGATTGGTAAATGCTTGGATATTACGCCATTACAAATGAATTTTACACGTAAAAAAATATTGATATTATGATCCATTCATCAATAGTTTCTACCCTCTTCTACACCTAATAGTAGTAAGCCTCTATTCAGTCCATGAAAGGCATGCAAACTAAGTATGAAAGAGCCAGCACCAATCGGCTTATGACAGACTCTGTAACAATTAAGATTTTAACTTTTTGTCCTGACTTTCAGTCAGAATTGAAATAGTTTTACTGCAGGGACATTACAATTCTTCTAGAACTATCCCTATACCGGAATCGTTCTTTAAAAACTAATTAAAAACTGCTGAAAGCATTAATAGCAAACTTCTAAATAGAGAAAGGCCCTTTTCTAAGTCTTTTTTCCGTGTGGTATCTAACGGAAAACTCCAGTAGTTGCTAACGTTTAATTCTATTTCCAGATCGCTAGAAGCTAGTCCGTCGGTTTATTTTCAAAATTAATTATATCGATAGTTGCGTTCAGCTGTGGTGTGGACATAGTATTATTCAAACTCGTTCTGCAGTTGATTGCTGATTTCAAGTATTGGCCTACTTGTATATTTAAATAACTTTAATAGTTACTGACATTTAATTCCGTTTCCAGATCGCTAGAGGTTAGTCTGTTAGATTATTTTCAAAACAAATTACATCAAAAGTTGTATTCAGTTGTGGCATGGATACGGTATTATTCTAGGTCATTCCGTGGTTGGTTGCCGGCTCAAGTACGCTTAATAACCTATGGGTCATTATATGTGAGCTCCTACAGTTCAAGACAGTTATTTTTGCTTATTGTGCCAACAGTTAGATGAATAAACTTTTCTGTATCATACTTATAAATATATACGCATTTGAAAGCGTTTAATTCTTTACTGGTTAGTCATTGCTTATGCATGGTTTTATAAGTCGAAAAAGATCGCAATTTAGAAGTTATGGGTAATGCTAGTTCTTTTGATCCATTATAGAGAAATAATTGCTGGGAAAAAAATCTTCAATAATAAATTAATGAATCATCATGGCTAGGAAAGATTTAAAAATAATTTTACGATACTGTTATATAGTTCTAGTTTTCTGTACATTAATAAATTATATTTATCCTAGTGATACGCCCGTTATGCTCTTTAAGAATGTTATAAGATGCACCAAGGATTCTCGAAATAATATATAAAGATATCTATTGCGATGAAAATACAATCATTAAAAGTTATAAAGATACTCTATTGGGCTGATCTTTTTTATAGTTGGCCAGTAGCTCTTGGTTATCACTTTTGCGGATTATAGTCCGTATTGTGCTATTTTAATAGCAATAAAAGTTATTTTCCTATTGCTGAAGCCGTACTGTTCCACAGAAATGATTTAAATACTTTAAAAAATAAGGATAGCTTACCCAATAACTAAGTAAAGCCTCCGCTTCAGCGATGGATTAATTTTACCTTGGAAAGTCCTCAGAGTTTGCGACTAATTCAAAGACCGTTACTAAAAAAATTTTTAGCAGTGCATTTGATTAGATCGTGAATTACACGAAAGAAGTAGATGTTCCTTCGCCTCATAGCTATGTAAATCGCGGCAAGCATAGCAATGGATTCTTACCCTGCTTCAACTATACTGCAAATCGACCTAAAATGATCGCTATTGTATCCAGTGTGTGTTATCGACATCGAATGAATATTATTTGTGCATTGCAAAATTATACTAATGTCGATGTCTTTGGTCGATGTGGTCAAATATTTCTTAGAAATACACAATGTTAGTAACAAATTCAATATAATTATAAATTTTATTTAAGCTTAGAAAACAGTGTTTGCAATGGCTTCTTAACTGAAAAGATATATCAAAATGCCTTCGAAAATAATCTAATTCCGATTATTATTAGTGGAGCCAATTATATTCTGATTGGCGCGTGTTACCTTCGCATTCATTTATTGATGCTTTAAAATTTGCTAATGTCTCAGAATTGGCCAATTATTTAAGAAAAGTATCTAGTAATGATATGTTATATAATTCATATTTTCAGTGGTGAGGAAACTATAATGTTCAAGTCCAGTCGTACTAGGGAAGTATGTGCAACGTATGCAAGAAATAGCTCAAATTGGGAATAAGGGTCTTCAATCCAGTCCTTATCGAGATTTAAGTTCCACATTAGGACCTCATTAGGACTTCATGAAGACAACTGTAATGAATATCGAGGTTCACATGTACTGAATAAGAAGAAAACTAGATTTCAATTTCATCGAAATAAACCAGAAACTATTCATGTTGAATGTGTTAAACTGTAGTGCAACTATTTATTTACGTACCTTGTTATCTCACGACCAATTTCGCTTATTAATTTACGTCTTGTTAATTTCCAGTTTTGCATTAAATGACATAGTACAATTTGACGATCATTTCATTACAAGAAAATAGCTTGAGCAGCTAAAATGCGTCCTTAATCTCATTTTTTGATATTTAGGTTATACATTTGTTATCGAGATTTAATGTATAATTTAGGATTGCATGCAGACAACTGTAAAGAGCATCTAGATTTACATTTATTTAATAATATGGAATCAGCTTTAGTATTATCTAATTGAATTAGAATCTATTTGAATGTATTGAAAAATGTCATAACATGGAAATTAAGTTTCAGTATAATCTGAATGGATCAGAATTTATCTGTTTGAACGTACTTAATAGTAGTAAATCTATTTACGTACTTTGTCATTTAATAATCAATTAAGCCTATCATAACATGGAAATAAACCTTCAGTATCACCTAAATAAATCAGAAACTATCTATTTTTCACCTATTTAACAATAGTAAATCTAGTTACTTTGTCATTTAATGATCAAGTTAATCTATCTATCTATACCATAATATTAGCTAGCTGTGCATCAAGACTTGCCTATGAGATAGAGAAGAGGTCTTCTCCATCTCCTGTGGCGAGATTTAATATATGATTTAGGACTGAGTGAAGGCAAATATCAAAACTATCTAGACCTATATAAACTCAATTACATGGAAATCAAGTTCCAGTATCATTTAAATAAATCAGAATCTATCTATTTTGAATAAATTAAGCAATGGTATAACCATTCGTTTACTTTGCCACTTCATGATGAATTTAGTCTATCAAGTTACGCCACGTAACTTTTTAGTTGTATAATCACTTACTGTATATAGCGTAATTGGACGACCATTCCATTGCTAGGAAGCAGCTCAAATTGGTCAAAAGTATCCTAAATCTTATCCATATCTAGATTTAAATTATGCATTATCAATACTTACTTAATAACACGGAATTTTAGATCATCGAAATGAATCGTTTTAAACGCACTCACCCATGGTCTAGCTATGCGCCTCTTACATTATCAACTAATAATATAATTAATTATTTTTTATCCATTTAAGCTATGTTATTTCTTATTTGTTCAATGTGCATTCAGATATGTAGCATAATTTAACGGTCAATTGATTGTACGAGAAATAGCTCGAGTAGGTGGAAAGTGTCTTCATTCTTGTCCTTGTCCAGAATTTAGCTGTCGTATTCTCATGCTTTAGGACTGCCAAGAAGAAATCCTCAAAGAGTAGTAAGTATCGATTCAATGAGCAGAAACTATGGAAACTAAGTATGACTGAACTAACTCCAGCCGGCTAATAACAGACCCTATTTACGGTCAAGATTTTAACTTTTTTATCCTTATTCGCAGTAAATATTGAAGTACGCGTATTTTACTGAAGATCCATTGTGATTTTTTAAAACTATTACATTGTCTGACATCACTCTCGAATAAACTAGTTGGAAACTTCTGAATGTATAAATAAGAAACGTATTAAAGTCTTAAAAAGTTTCTACCTGCTTATTTACATTCTAGAGCAGTAGTCTATATCGATTGAATGAGCAGAAACCATAGAAACTGAGCGAGGGTAGTCCCTTCTGCATGCACGAAGCATGCGCAGCCATTTAGCCACTTCTGCAAGGAGAAACCTGTTGAAAAAGATTAGGTAGAAAGCTGTAATAAATACTAAGAAATAGCTTAGAAAATCATATAGCTTAAAGAAAACACTTAAGAGTCTCTTCAAAGACGAAAATTCAAACAGATGCTGACATTCAACTACTTTTCCAGATCGCTATAAGCTAATCTATAGGTTTATTTAAATAATAAATGGCGCTGATAGTTGTATTCAGCTGCGGCATGGATTTTATTTTAGCTTAATTGCGGTTGATTGCCAAATTTTAAGTCTTGACCAATATATAAATCGTTTTACCGGTTAATTTTCTATATTAAGCGGATTGAAAGGCTTACCGATAATTAGTTTGATGACGCTATGAAAGCCAGTGACTAAATAAACGATAAAGCTATTTGTAGAAGACGAAGACAGTTGCTGTTTATTTCGTTACGAAGGTAATTCCAGCCTTTCGACACTTTAGCGTCATTTTATTGTGAGCTTCTGTAGTTCAAGACGGCTAGTTTTGCTTTATTGTGCTAGCAATTATATTTAACTCACTTTTTAGTATTTAGAAGATATTTTTGGAAACGTTTAATCCTTTTTGGCTCGGTCATTATCTAAGCCTGGTTTTATAAATTAAAAAGGATCTCAGTTTAGAGGCAATCCTTATTGTTGCTTCTTTTGAAGAAATATGGTGAAATGATTGTTAGGAAACAAATCTTCAATAATGAATCATCATGGCTAGGAAAAATTTAAAAATAATTTTGCAATACTGCTGTATAATTCTAACTATGTACACATTAATTTATTTTATATATCCTACTGAAACGCCGGTTATGCTTTTAAAGCATATTATTAAACGCGTTAATAAACGCGTTAAGGATTCTCGAAATGAAACGATAAAGACATCTACAGTAATGACAGCAAAACCGTTAAGAGTTATAAGGATACTCTATTGGACTGGTTTGTTTTTTAATAGTTGGCCAGAGCCTCTTGGTTATCATTCTTGCGGATTATCGTCGGTGCAGTGCCATTTTACTAGTGATAGAAATTATTATTCTAGTGCTGATGCTGTATTATTCCATGGAAACGATATAAACATTTTGCAAGATACGGATAGCTTACCCAATAATACTGTAAAGCCTCCGTTTCAGCGATGGATTTATTATACTTTAGAGAGTCCTCTGAGTTTGAAACTAGATCAAAAACCGTTACTAAAAGAATTTTTCAATAATACATTCGATTGGATCATGAATTACATGAAAGAAGTAGATCTTCCTTCGCCTTATGGCTATGTTACTCGTGGCCGGTATCACAATGGATTTTCACCCAACATTAAATATGCTGCAAATAGATCCAGAATGATTGCCATTGTATCTAGTGAGTGTTATCCACATCGAATGCATATCATTCGTGCATTGCAAAATTATACTAATGTCGATGTCTTTGGTCGATGTGGTCAGAAATGCCCTAGAAATAAACATTGTTGGCAACATATTCAGTCCAATTATAAATTTTATTTAAGCTTAGAAAACAGCGTTTGTAATGGCTATTTAACGGAAAAGACATATCGAAATGCTTTCGAAAATAACCTAATTCCGATTATTATCAGTGGAGCCAATTACTCTGATTGGCATGTTCTACCTCCGCAATCTTTTATTGATGCTTTGAAATTTGCTAATGTCCGAGAATTGGCCAATTATATCGAAAAAGTAGCAAGTAATGATAAATTATATAACTCGTATTTTCAGTGGCGAGAAAATTATAATATTCACTTAAGGTCGCTCAGGAATAGCTTATGCAATGTATGCAAGAAAATAGCTCGAATTGGAAATAAGGGTCTTCAATCCAGTCCTTATCGAGACTTAAGTTATACATTAGGACCTCATGAAGACAACTGTAAAGAGTATCCAGATCCGTATCTACTATATAACAGGAAAATCAAATTTCAATTTCATCGAAATAAACCAGAAACACCATCCTGAATGTATTCAACCGCATTGCAACTATTCACTTACCTACCTTGTCATCTAATCACCAATTTTGTCTAGCATTTTACGCCATATTACTTCCTAGATTTGCATTCAATGATATGATCTTATTTGACGATCATTCGATAGCAAGAAAGTAGCTTAATTAGGTAAAAATGTTCTAAATCTCATCCAAATTGATGTTTAAGTTATACATGATCCATACGTGCTTCGTAACATGCAAATCAAGTTTCAGTATCATCGAAATGAGCCATAATCCATCTACTTCGAGCGTATTCTACAGTAATATTGAGCAAATATACTTACTTTGTCGCCGATCACTATTTACAATATCAAATTACGCCATGCTATTTCTTGGCTGTGCATTAGGACTCATCCTTGTTGAGATTTAATGCGTAATTTAGGACTGCGTGAAGATAACTGTAAAGAGTATCTAGATCCGTATTTATTTAATAAGATAGAATCAGGTTTCAGTATCATCAGAGTGAGTCAGAATCTATCATTTTGAATGTATTTAGCAATGGCATAATTATTTGCTTACTTAAATAATGATCAATTTAGTCTATCGATTTACGCCACATTATTGCCTAGATCCGTGTAACTGTAAAGAGTTTATGACGTAGTTAGACGACAATTTATTATTTATTTCCTGCCCATAATATATTTGTATGCGTATTTAAACATTGCTATAATGACTCTGTATCAAACAGTTGTTCACGTCCAAGTTATTCTTAATTTTGAAATGAATTAAGCTATTTTGGTAGTCCATACTTCATATTTAGAAAGATTATATTTGGCTGTATGCTATTTATTGTCAGGATTTATGAATTTCTGTATTATAGTAAAGGATGAAGTAATCGATCATGCTAAAGATTTTAAGATAGTGTCTTTTTACGTATCACTATTTATGACTATCACAATGTTGACATTTTATCAATTGTTGAGTGTATGTTATTCGGTGAAATGGAGAGGTAAACATTACCATAACAGCAGGAAGAATAAATTATTAGGATAAATAAAGTAGCAGCCATATTGGTTTTGCTGATACAGAAATTTTTATATCGAATACCATACTCTCTTACAGCAACTTAATTCATAAATGTATTTGTTCCTACGACTACCAAAGAGATAATTTCAGCTAACATCTACTTCATCACTTACATAGTGTAGAACATGACAGGATACCCTATTGCCACTAGTTACTAGACGAAATCAATCCATGTTAACGTTATGGATAGGTTACGATCTAATTGAGATTGTGTAGCAGCCTACAGCTTATTAGTTCATTCTCTACTAGGTTACCCTTCCGTTGAGGTTGAAATGAGAAGAATTTTCGCAAATTGAAAATTTGCATGTTAGCTAGCGATTAAAACTAATGTCATGATGTCAAAATTTCGAGACAAGTAATGCGATCATTTACAGAGTCAATCAAAGTGTATCTACTCATATGTTTAGTTTTTTAAGCCAATTTTGATATTACAGTGTATAGAATAGCAAACGAAAGGAATAAAAATCTTTTACCAGGCAGTAAGTAATGCTAAAGGAGGACTATTTCTGTTTATGACGGGTATCGTTCTATTTCCCTCATTGTGATTTCACTTATCCTCAATTTCTTGTGTGCCATCCATGCCTTCTAATGCAATATTCTCTACAGTGAGATTGAAATAGAAGAATTTGGCGAGTAGGAAATTGACTGGCTAGCTAGCGACTAAAAATGAAATCATTAAGTCCAATATTGGAGATGGCCAATAGGATCGTTTACTGGTCTAATCGAAGTGAACATCTCTTTATGTTTGATACTTTACGAGATGTTATAAAATGGGCAACTGCAAGGAATAAGAGTCTCTAACAACTGATAATGAAGGCTATCACTATTTACGATCTATTATCATTTATTTCTCCGATGGTTATTTGATTTACCTCATGATCTGTTATTCAATATCAATGCCATCGAATGCAATATTATTTAAGATTACGAGAGCAGCAAAAGGGAGGAGAATTTTAATCTCTGCTAAATTCATTTTTAAAATTACCGAGCTCATGATAGGCTTATTTCTTCAGTTTTTCATTGTCGATGCTTTAATCATTTATAGCGTTACATCTATCATCGATCAAGTTGGCCGGCATTAGTACAAGAGCGACGAAAAATGAAGTCATGAAGCGAAAATATAGGATGGCCAATATTATGATTCATGACGTAAATACTTAAGATTGATCATTATTGTTATTCCTATAAGTTTCCTAACGTCTTTGAACAGAAGAAGGATTCCCATAGCAAGATAATGGTATAGCAGCTAAGGAAATAAAATAATGGAATGAAATATTCAGAATAGCCACTGGAATAATGTATACCTTTAGGATATACGGGGGTCTTTCTTTTTGGGTTAATCTATAAAGTTGTACAGTAGCATGGTGACCAAGGCATTAAAAACTGTTGTGGAATATAATATCAAGTCTAGTAATTAAGGAATTGACGACTGATCTATTTGGAGCAAATCTATGCCTTCTTTTTCCGCTATAATACTTAACGACTGCCTTACCAAAAAACGCTTTTACCGGTATCCCTTACATAAGGGCCCGTTCTAGCAGCATGCATAGTATTTGAAAGAATGACAAATTATATCGTTTATACAAGCAAGAATCCTTTAAGCAGTGAAGCCACAATATATATTAGAAATATGATTTTAAATTATCTATATTAGTTTCTAGATGGTATAATTATAGAAGCCATTCAATGGCAGACAGTGGATTATTATGAGTTAGTTCATTCTAGTAGGTGAGAAGCAGTAAGCATCGTATTAATCCCTATCTATTTAGGCTAATTAATTTAAATAGGATATTGGTACATAAGAAAGACTAGCAACATGATGATAGGGAATTACTGTAGAGCAAATAGAAATAGTATCGCCATGAGATTGATTATGATACCGCGGAAAGTCCATTTTGTAGAAGCACCGTTCGATGATGTGGCAGAGGCCGTCGTCTATAGGGCATTGCTACTGGTAGAATTAATAGCACTAGTCTTGTGGTGATTAGGTTGGATGGAGTTGGAGCATTTGTTGAGGGTTCAGTGGAAATTGATGAGCAATCTCTCATGCAGGACAGCCACGATGATTGTTTAGAACAACAGGCAAGCGAGTTAATGGGTTCACAAACACCAGGATGTGAAAGATTAGTTGTCCTATTGGCAGTTGCACCTTTAGTCCAAGTACATTGAGGATCGCCTAATTCTTCACCGTTTGTCTTACCGTCTCCATCGCTATCTTCTTGACATAGTGCTAATGTCTATGTTCTTCCTTGCGATGCAAAAGCTAATCCAAATGGATTTCTGGGGCCGCCTCCGCCCGATTGTTAGTGACCCATGCCGTTCCAAATCGTTGCTCCATTGCAAGGGTTGGGAACATTAAAGCCATTTGATATGTCAGATCTATAAGTCCAATATCCACTTGCGGCCATGAGAAAGGGTAATAAACACGTTAGTAATTTCACCAATCTTGAATTCTATTTCAAAAAGCCAGCCATCATCAACAATTGATTCTTATGAATGTATCGAAAACGAAGCTCGTGATCAAAGATTGTAGATGAGATTTTCGTCTTCTTTTTCAAATAATGTCTATCTGCTATACTCTATGCTTCTTTAATACAGTAGAAACTGCCAAGTGAACCTGACAAGATGTTTATCTAACTGGACTGGACTATATATTTATTGGTCCAGGCTCCTGTACGAATAAACACAGCATGAATGAATGGTTACATGCTTGCGCTGTTGGAGTTCAGTACTGTGCTCCAGGTTGTAGAATTAGAATTGGCTAAATTTAGCTTCAACATTGTATGGTGCCAAAATTGGGATACATTCTGCTCTATTGACGGAGTAAACATTACAAATGGCCCTCTCTCAAGGGTTTCTAGTAGTAATTAATACTTCGCAGTGATGTGTACGGTGTGGCAAGTTTAGAATGTAATTGACCAAATTTAGATTGAAATTGAAATACCGGGGGCCTAAAATTGGGTGCACTCTCATTCGTTCTTCTACTGTAGAGATTGATAGAATTTTCTTGGCTAAGCTTTGCAAGAATAAGTTTCAATGCGCCTGCAGCGGTGTCCTTAGGATTACTCATGTTAATGCTTGCCTATGACTTTTGGAGTAACCTATATTGTGCTGCAGGTTTAGAATATAATTATAAGACCAAATTTGGATTGAAGTTTAAGACTGTACAAAGGCAAAAATTAGCTGCACTCTGCTTGATTCTTCTACCGTAGAGACTGCACTTCTTCACGAGCACTGAGCCTATGATTATGCCATCGCGTTGGCGATTGTAACTCAACATCATTGGCCTTGCACTTATAACGATGCAAGGGTTGTACAGTTATGAACATCCAACTATGACCTATTGCATCCCTACAGATTGTAGTTCTACCTATTGCATCCCTACAGATTGTAGTTCTACCTATTGCATCCCTACAGGTTGTAGTTCTCACTAACAACTCTTGGCTAAGCATTGTAAGAATAAGCTTTAATGCGACTGTAGTTTGTCCACTGGCAATGCTTACCTATTCGGATTGTTAGAATATAATATTATATCATGCTGTATCCTGCAAATCTGTAACACACGTTCGATAATTCTATTTGGGCAAATCATCATTACTATATGATGCATATGGTGCCCGAACTAAGTGCAACCTCCTCCATACTTGATCCAGTGGAGATTAATGTGCTCCATAAGCATTTCTTAACTACCGTAAGCCTTTCCACGAATAAGTTTTAATGAGACTGTAGCAGTGGCCACGCTTACCCGATGGATAACGTACAGGAAGCAATAACTCAAAATATTGCCCTACGTTGCCCGCTAAAGAGGATGGGAATTTTAGCTTTTGCTAAGCAAGACAGCATGAATGAAAAGGAATAGGTTAGCCTTTCTAATTTGCACGGCACTTGAAATTTTATAGATGCTAACTATACGCGTTATCGAATTTCGATCTGATATGAAACATGGTTGTATTTTTATCTTGATTTATTTATGGATAAAATGGATTTTATTGACCATAATCATAATCATTGCTCATACCTAGTTAACGATTGAACGTTATAGCGATGTATATAGGTATGGAAATGATATACTGTACACATTGCCATTTGATATGCAATTAGATTATATTATTGTTGTATCTTATTTACGAGGCAATGCTTGACATATCATTGAAGTATTCAGATATACTGTATGCAGTCGCAGCTCTAAACGGAAGCGATTTTGGATTAAGCGGAGCGAGATTAATCATTTTATTTTATGATAGCGCAGTGCAGCACGGTTATTATTGCTCCTAGACTGTCCATACCTGAATTGTAGCATGAATTGTAAAAGAAATTGTAGCATGTCACTATCTGTATATCTTAGGATAGCTCGTATAGAGCAGCATGGTCATGATTACTTAACGAAATGAATCCGCCACAGTCAAGTCTTCTAAGATAGAGCTGAATACGATATAGGCTAGTCGTTTCTCTCGAATTCATCCAGAACGATAATTCGTTACGCTATTGCTACGGTCAATCCTTTGAATCTTAAGGAATGTCGAAGTCAATTCCAGCCATTTCGTTGCAGTAATCAATTATATATCGAATAAAGATATTGCTTGATCTTGCAATGAGCAGTACAGACTAATGATAATTGCTATACTTAGAAGAAATAGGTTGACTGGGACATTAAAGTTCAGCCCTTGGACGGAGAGAGGCAACAAATGTATTACCACTAGCGTAGATTGGCTGGCCTTTCCTAAGGAACGGCTTGCATTTTCCTCAGGATTGTCCAAAGAAATCCCAAGAATATCAAGGCTATAACTGTGTATCTCAAAGACATAGCTGTTTGCACAAACATTAAATAGAATATAGCCTGATTCAGTAGCTATTTGAGCAGTACTTGCTTTGTCAATATACCACGAGTTCTAGACAATTAATTAATTATTCCTAGACTCTTTCAGTAAAGGTTTTTTCGATACTGATCAAAAACCTTCTGGAAATGTTAATACATACAATTATGCCAAAGGAAGTAGTAAATAAAGTTTTGAAACTCGAATTTGGATATATAACATATATATTGTCAACTTGAACAAGTCTGGCAAATACTAGAAGATGCCAAATGGATCTTAGGCGGAGACGACGGATAGACTGAAGGTTCTCCCAGGGCCTGGTTGCGTACCGGTTGCGCAAACTCAGTATTCCCATGTGGGCCAACTGGGTTCTTGCTATAGGATGTATCAATCAAGAGTTGATTATTCCTTGATTACTATAGCGTATGATTCGGAAACGCATGACTCCACCCGGCAAACTTCCAAGATAGTCGATAGTTGCTTGGGTGTGCCGACTGTAATCCCATACTATCTCTATATTATGGAACGACGGTATCATACAGTAGACTAAACCCTACAACACCCCACCTAACCCCACCATGACTCATTGAACCCTCGATACTCTACTGACTGGGTAACGACTCTACACTCTAGGCTACAGTATAGCTTGGTGTCGGTGGCCACTGGTCAAAACGCCAATTCCAACGTGGTAGTGGAACTTGGCATCCATTAACCTCTTCCAATCTTGCTCATCTTGCTCAATTTGCTCCATTTGGCCATTAATTGCTTATTCAACTTGCAAGTTATCCATCTTAACTGTGTATTAGTAGCACTGGAGTGAAAGGATCATTACTATTAGTCTTGGTACATTGATGTTAAGTGGATAGAGGATTGAATTATTGTCAAGAGATTATGGCTAAATCTAAGAAGGACAAGAAAAAATCAGCTGAGCAGTAAGTAGAAAATGATCCCTAAAGCAATTCATTTTCAATAGTCAACAGGATGAGTATGTTTCATTGCATCCATCATCCATGTTCTATCGCCATTTTCTACTCAATTTCTTCCCTTCAATGACAATACCATGATGGAGGATATGGGCTTGATCCTATGGAAGCTAGTCTGATTGCATTATAGCGACGTGCATGATCGCAATGCAATCGAGGATTACAAATGTCGAGGAATATTCTTATTTGGGTGAAAAATCCATGGAGGAGTGGTAGTCATCAATATCATGTTGTCTTTGCTAATTCTGTAATGAATAGTGTGTATAATTCGAGCTTGGAATCTTCATACATGATGATTCAAGGATGGGAAAAGGATTCTTTAGTGATACCAATCAGGATCGAGGTAGAAATTGAAATGGGCTTGGTAGGGGCAAAGACGAGATATTGAAGTCAATCATCGACATGACTACAACTTGGCTATACTCGTATTAAATCGCGATGGAACCCATCCAAAATGCGTAGTAAAGATACTTAATAGGCTTTATTGGATTGTGTAGTGACTACTTTGCTCTTCAGTAGGTTGATAACATCATCAATGATGATTTCAGGATAGAAAATGGATTGATTGAGGATTGAATGGAAGGATAAAGGTAGAATCTCAAATAGCGTTGATATGGCGTAAATAAGATATTCAAGTTTTATTAGCAACATAAGTGACAGGAAGAAGTGCTAAATTTCTCATAGACAGATCCAACAAACATGTAGTATAGGTATTGAGATGCCATGTTCGATTCTATATAACTATGGTACGGTAATTTGGAAACGATGACAGGTTGACGATAGAAAATGGATTCTTGAATGATACTGATCGGTCATAAAAGTAGAAAGTGAAATGGAATTTTATATTGGATGAATGAGATGTTAAAGCTTATCATCAGCATGACTAAAGTTAAGCTATACTTAGTTACTCATACACTGATCAAAATCGTGCAGTAAAGATACTAAAAAGACAAACTAGGTTGGATTCTTCAATGACTTCTCTACTCTTCGGTAGCTTGAAAACATCATCGATGATAGTTTCCTGATAGAAAATAGATTCATGTATTCATGATATACATAATTCAGGGATAGAGGTAGAAACAGAAATAAGATTTGGGCAATGACTACTCTATGATAGTTTGGAAACGATGCCAATTTCAGGATAGAAAATTAATTCTTTAATGATAGTAATCAATAATTAATAAAAATGGAAACTGAAATGCGGTTTCATGTAGCAAGAACAAGATGTTGAAACTGTCATCGATGATGGTTTCTGGAGAGTAAATTGATTCTTAAAACGATAATTTTGGACATGGAGGTAGAAAATTGAAATGGGATTTGGTATGACATCAATGAGATATTAAAACTTTGTCATCAACATCAGCGACATTAGGCTACACTTCAATACATTCCTTACTCTATTAATTCACTTTGAATAATAGAATAGTTGCTTCCGTTATCATGAGAAGTTGTGATTTATCACTTAATTTATGGTCATGAAAGTACATATACATTTAAAATATTCTATTTTGTATTGTAACTAACTAATTGTTGTATTATGCAGTTGTTTGCTTACTAAATGCTTTTCTCTAGAAATTAGCCCGTAGCATTTTTACATTGCCTCTGATATTATGCACTATTTCTGTTGTAGTTGTTTGCTTACTAAATACTTTTCTCTAGAAATTAGCCCATCGTATTTTTACATTGCCTCTGATATTATGTACTAATTCTGTTGTACACCAGTCCAAATTATAGCTAATTTTTTAATATCGTATCGATGACTTGCACCATAGGCCTAAAGGTGCTGATGTTGAAAATACTATCGATATCGATGAGGAAGGTTTAGCTGCTGCTCCAGTGGCTAAAAGAAATGATAAGAAGGGTCGTAAGAAGAAGGGCCAGGAATATTCGTAAGTGCTATGACAGCTTACTGTCAGTCTATTAGACTCTCCATTGAGCAAGGATCAATTCAACGGCTATTAGCATTGAACTTACTTAAATCGAATGAACATTACAATAAGAGGCTGTAGATGAATCCTTTGCTACATGCTGCTAATTTTGAATCCTTCTTATCATGTTTTTAATTATGACCTTATTGCAGTGATGATGAGTTACCAATGGAAGTTGAAACCCCCCAAAACGACAAAGGCCGTGGCAAAGATTTAAACCCTAAGTAAGCCAATTAATAATTAGAAACAGTATGATGGTAGCAATGCTGGATACTGTCTTGAATGACTTATACTTATACGTGATGCAGTTACCATACTGACTGTATAGAAGCCATTATTATATTCAACTTAGATATGTACTGATACTGTTGACTTCGTATTTAGTGATGATAAAGCTGATGCGGAAGCAGATGATGCCAGTCAAAATCAAAATCCTGGAAAGAAAGGAGCCAAGTCGAAGGGAAAGAAAACGAAACAAAAATGGTAGCATTTTTATTCATTAGCTATATTTCATACATTAATGTTATTTATCCCCATTTAAAAGTCGATACTGATGTAGGCTTAACGCCATAAGTAGTCCATGTCTAAATTTTATTTTGATATACAATTTTCATAGGGATGAAGAAGAGCCTGAAAGCGAAGCTCAGCCCAAGACTCAATCGAAGAAGAAAGGAAAGACACATGGAGAAATACTGTAATGTTACGTATTTTGTTGATTATATTAGTGCTGTCTGCAATTTGTCTAAAGATATTGCACAACTATCGTTGCTATTCAATCACTTTTAGCGATGAAGACGATCTGGCAGACTTAATAAAAGAGATGGATTTAGAAGATGAAAAGGCGGCAGCTAGTAAGAAATCGAAAGGTCGCAGTAAGAAAAACAAGAAAAAGAAAGAAATAGACGATTAGTATGTCGTACTTTAACGATACAGCGTAATAATGAATGTTACAGTATTTGATCAGAAAATGACACATAGTAGTAATCGCATGCCTAAAATTAATATTAGGCGTGGCTATTTACCTGCTAACGGGTTGCTATATCGTTATAAATGATCGTGTCGCATATTAAATTGCGCTATTGCTGAATCTGTTAGTAATAACTAAAATATAAAGCGCCTGCTGATTTGCCTGTTGAACACTATGAAAAATTTTCTTCTATACGCATAAATACTGTAATATTATACATGATAAATACCTTACCTTTTTTAGCTTATCAAATAAAATTAACAATTTTTTCGCATTATAGTGATGATGATTTGGAGGAAATAAAGAAGGAAATGGGCATTGCTACTGACACAGCTAGCGTTGAAGAAAAACCGACGAGGTACGGATGCTCAATTTTATTTAAAATTATTGATATAAATGCGACTACTTTATGCTACATATTTATAACTTAATAGAGAAGTTAATGATGAAAATATTGAAACAGAAACAACAGAAAAGGTTTGTCAACATTTTCTTAATGTCTTCTATTTGCTAATCTGATCTGTATTGCGTTAGAAATCGTCTTATTAGATTATGCCTAATTCCATCCACGGTAAAATATGCATTGTTTCATAGGTCAAAGAAACCACCAAGACGGACAATGATGAAGGCGTAGTAATAAAATCTGCTGCTCAAAAGAAAGCAGAAAAGAAAGAGAGAGAAAGGCTTAAGAAGTTAGCTGATAAAGAAAAACAGCAAAAACAGAAACCGAAAGGTCGCTTGCATTTTTTGAAATACATTATGGCACCGACTATGATCGTTAACATAGAATTCATGCTAATTTTATGTTTATACCGTAGGTAAGGTAACTGAGTCTAAAGCCTCAGAAAGTAATGAGAAAGCTGAAGTTTCTGCTGATGCAACTACGGAACAGCCAACTCATGGTACGTAGCTGTTTAACACCGAAAATGATAATTTTGTTGATTTGTTAATGATGGTCTTGTGTAAGATGGCTGTGTTATAAATTGATGCTCAGGTAAGCCTGAAACCGGAAAGAAAGAAGAACAGCCACCAGCAGAAAAAGCTTCTTCAGGATCAGAGGATGAAAGCGATGGTGAAGGTAAGAAGAAAAAGAAAAGAAAAAAGAAGAAGAAGGGTGAAAAAGACGACGCCTCGAAAACAAAAAAGCCTACTAAAGCAAAAATTAAACTAATGCAAGAAGCATTGGAACAAAGAAGACTTCAAGAAGAATCGATGAAAGCAGCGGAAGAAGAAAGAATAAGAAAGGAAGAAGAAGCAGAACGTCTTCGATTAGAAAAAAAACGTTTAGAGGAAGAGAAACGTGAGCGGAAGAAGCAAAAGGAAAAGGTTACCGTTTTATTTTCGAAGCAATGTTAAATAGCCTAAGAAATAGAATTGATAGGTATCAAACAGCTTCTTGCATTTAAGTAACCTACATTATTGGATTCAATAGGAACGTAAAGAAAGGCTCAAAAAAGAAGGTAAATTATTGACAAAAGCTCAAAAACAAGAAAAAGCAAGAATTGAAGCTCGCTTGGAAAGTATGAGACAGCAAGGTTTTAGTGTCCCAGATACCGGTCTGGAAGCGGATGAGGAAAAACCTAAAAAACGGGTTGTGTATGGCAAGAAGAAGAAATCGAATCAAAATAATGCTCAGTCAGCGCAAGAACAAACTGATGCATCTGTAAAGGAAAGTGCTAGTGTAATGAAAGAAAGGCAAGAGTCAGTAGCTATTGAAGGTAATAAGTAATCAAGCATAAAGCTAAAATTAACTGTTTCTTTGATAATTATCCACGGTTAAAGTTTGTCGACTTGTTATTATATAACTTTATATAAGCTTAACCGTTATTGCCTCTTTAAAAGGAATCAAAGAAGAAATTGCTCAAGATGACAATGCAACTGCTGAATCATGGGATAAATTGGATTTTGAGAAAGTTGATGATAAAGATGATACGGGTATATTAAATATTTAATTGGGTATTAATTTCTGGATCTGCAAAATTATATCAAGATTATATAAATACATTTAGAAGCTAAGGTCGACGAAGCAATACCTCAAGAAGCTGGAAAGGCTCCTGACGTTCAATCACCTGTAGCAGAATCGGAAAGCGAGGAGGAATCTGACGAAGAAGAATCATCTTCTGAATCAAGTTCTAGCGATAGCGATAATGACACAACTACTGCTGAGGGTCGGCGTGAAAGAGCTTTAAATAGGATACAAGTAATGAGAAAAATTTAAATAAAGATGATGTTACAGCTGTTCAAGTTTATTTTATGTAGTTTTTAATTGAAAGAAATACTTTATCAAAATCTTGATAGGAGCGTAGGCGGAAAAATGAAGAAAACCGCGACCCTAATAAATTACGAGCCCCTGTTATTTGTGTTCTTGGACATGTGGATACGGGTAAAACAAAGATTCTTGATAAGATAAGGCGGACTCATGTACAAGATGGAGAGGCTGGTGGAATTACACAGCAAATCGGTGCAACGAAGGTGCCAGTCGAAGCTATAAGGGAGCAAACCAAAAATATTAAGGAGGTACTTTTCAAATATTTAGATGCTGCCTGCGTTTGAATAATAACAATACTAATGAATATCCATACAAATGTATTAATTTACGGATAAATGTTTGTACCATATAACTTACGGATTGTCATTCTTAAATTTAATTTTTGAACTAGTTTGCTACATTTGATTTAAAATTACCGGGATTATTAATTATTGACACTCCAGGACATGAATCTTTCAGGTATCGTATTTTTTTGCCTGATACCTGCATAGTTGATTGGTCTAGATTACTGTGTTTGCTTTCTCAAAGTATTAATGAGCAGTTCTCAACGTTTAGTAATCTTCGTAATCGTGGTTCATCCTTGTGTGATATTGCTATCTTGGTAATTGATCTCATGCATGGCTTGGAACCTCAAACGATAGAATCGATTAATCTGTTAAAAAAGAGAAAAACCCCATTTATTGTTGCCTTAAATAAGGTTTAAATTTTTTTAGATTTCATCTATAGCTATGTAAATGTGACGAAATGTTCACACATTGAGGGTTTATTGCTTCAATATTAGGTTGATAGATTATTTGAATGGAAGAAAGCTCCTCATACGAGTGTTGCTGATGCGTTGAAGAAACAAAAGCGGAATGTTAAACTTGAATTTGATGACCGTTGTAGAATTGCTATCACTGCACTGGCTGAGCAAGTCAGTAATTATGAATTACACAATTAAATTTAGCTCGTAAATGTTAACGCCCTTTGAAAATTTTACTGTAGGGTTTAAATGCTGCGTTATTTCACGAAAATCAAGATCCACGAAAATTTGTATCACTTGTACCAACTTCAGCAATAACTGGTGATGGTATGGGAGATTTGATTGCCCTGATTGTAAAGTTGAGCCAGACAATGTTAACAACAAGACTCTCTTATTCTAATGAAATCGAATGTAGCGTTATGGAGGTAGTATCGTTTAAAAGATGTGAATATTTCTCTACCTATTTCCAATAGAGGTGCAAGTTATAAGCTAATATCTGTTTTATTAGGTAAAAGCCTTACCTGGCCTTGGAACTACTGTAGATGTTGTACTAACTAACGGAAAATTGAGAGAAGGAGATACGTTAGTCTTTAGCAGTTTTGATGGTCCTGTTGTAACACAAGCCCGTGCTTTATTAACAACACCGCCGCTGAAAGAAATTCGCGTCAAGGTTGGTAATAATAGTATCGTTAGCCACATATTATACGCGTATTGTACAGTAAATAAATTTTATATGCTGGCGATTGTCATTGTTTTGTAGAGTCAATATATACAACATAGCGAAATTGAAGCAGCAGAAGGCATTAAAATTATCGGAAAAGATCTTGATAAAATCTTGGCTGGTACATCAGTACTTGTTGCAAAGAAACCAGATGAAGTGGATATACTAAAAGAAGAAGTTAGCGCAAGATTGGCAGAATCCTTAAATTCTATTAAATTATCGGATCGTGGTGTCTATGTACAAGCTTCGACTCTTGGCTCGTTAGAAGCTTTAATAGAATTTTTGAAAACGTCAAAAATTCCTGTATGTTCGCAATAATTCAAGAAATGAGTGATTTTTATTATGCATGATACAATGCAGAAACGAGTTAAGTTGGTATATATTTTTTTTCTTAAATGGAAATAGTATTCAGGTATTAACGTTGGTCCTGTGCATAAAAAGGACGTTATGAAAGCATCCGTAATGCTGGAACATGATGCTCAGTAAGTTTCCAGAGAACGTAATGTTAACAAGTAATTGTTTTCATTTTCTTAGGTGCATAAGCTGAACAGTTTCTGAAAATACAACGTTCATTTTAGATATGCCGTAATCCTAGCCTTTGATGTGAAAATTGAGCAAGATGCTACCGACATGGCTAAGAAACTTGGTGTCAGAATCTTTTCTGCAGATATTATTTATCATTTATTTGATAAATTTATGGCTTTTAGGGAGGTGAGGGATGTCGTAGTACCTTTAACAGGTGTAGTAGTTGGGAAGTGTGATTATGATATTAGTATAAGTATACATTATTATAAATAACTGTTAATAACATTGAATGTGGAGTACGTCCCATTTACTATGGTCTAGGCGTTCTTGATTGCTACAAAAATTTATCTGTATTCAAAATTTGGTTTTCGTTTGTACTATTTAGGAAGCGATAAAAAAATTAAAGGAACAGCATAAACATCTTGCAATATTTCCAGCAAAGTTGCGTATCGCACCCCAATATATCTTCAATACTCGCGATCCGATCGTTGTTGGAGTGCGCATCGAAGATGGTACCATTCGAAGTGGTACACCACTGACAGCGTTAACTAAGGAGGTATACAAATATTTACTTACTTTAAAGGTGTTTACGGATTTGATGAGTTTGCGAATAAATGGTAAGACTACTTTTATTATGTCACAGCACGTAGATATTGGTGTTGTTACAAGTGTAGAAATGAATCATAAACAGATTGAATGCGGCGAGAAAGGTCAGGAAGTTTGCATAAAGATCGAAAATATTGGTGGTGATGCACCTAAATTATACGGGCGCCATTTCGATGCTACTAATCTACTTGTCAGCAAGGTATATTTTTAAATAATTTTACCTTGAGTTGTATGAGAATGTCATTTATGAAATGTATGATTGAAATGTACATAACTTTTTTACAAACCAGATTAGTCGAGATTCAATCGATGTCTTGAAGAATTATTTTAGAGATGAGATGCAAAAAGGCGATTGGCTTTTGGTTAAAGAATTAAAGAAACACTTTAATATAATATAATATAGCTTATGGAGCGCTCAAGTTATTATTTTGTGGCAGATTGACAATTTTTAAGATCATATTAAAATTTGATTAATTGAAAGACGCAGAAATTACGATATGACCAATACTTTTCATTGGATCGATATAAGGAATTGCTAAACTGTCGTTGTCTATAATAAGCCTAATGTAATGTTGGTTAGTAGTATGTATTCGTTATTGATTGGATGGTCACACGTTGCAATCGAAAATATAGGTTGATGTTGAAAGAGTCGGTTCTTTCAAAGTATTGACCATTTTACTGTATGATTTAAGTTGTGGACAATTGACTTTAAAGGAGAAATTATCATTATTGTAAATCTCTTTCTCCGTTTATAGTTTAAATTCAAAATGGTATTCTATTTTGTGATGATGCGATGATGGGAAATTGTGCATAAAGTGAATTGTTAGATTAGGAATACACATTGGCTTACCATGATGGCGTTATGAGTACCATCAATTATTTCTATTTAACGATCTAAAGTATAATAGTAGTCATCTTATAGCTTGGTATGTAAACAGTAAATTGTAGTATTGGTAGTATACGATCGTAGGCTGTACAACATTATGGTATACCGGAGTAAAATGATGATGCCTTACGCTGTTCCAGGATAGATTTTTAGTGATTGATAAATGTTTGGCTTTGATGTTACATTAGTACATGCTTATGTTAATCTTAGAATTTTATCAGCATCTACTGATCGACAGAGAGACGGTATCTTCTAGAAATACATTTATTTCATGATGTCCTTAAAGGAGGCATGATGTATGTTTGACATTTTACAATTTTGCTGAAATATAATGGAATTGGCGATTGCAATTTTGAGTTTGATCTGGGTTTGCCTTTTGTAGGTAACTGCGATAAGAAAAAGTATGTAATATAGTCTTGAGCAAAGTCAGCTGCATCACTTTATTCAGAATCTAGTAACAAAGAAAAGAGAAAGCTTTGACCAGTGATTACAGCTAGCCAAGCCTGATCTCTTCAAGTCACTTTCTCAATCTGCTGTCCGTCTCTCTTTTAGTCGTGCTCGTGCTTACATTATTTTCATCGCCTCTAGGATGATATAAGTTAGGCTGGGCGATCTTCTAAGATCGGCCATGACTGCCTTAGAAGGGCTGTTGAACGAGCCAATGGCTCTTTTTCAAGTCTACTCCTGCATCATTTTCATCACTACTTTGATGTTATCTGTACTTCTAAGATTGGCCATGACTGGCTTCTCAGACGTGCTACTGAATGAGTCAATGGCTCATTTAACAGCACTTCCGAGAAACATGACCGATCTTAACAAGAACTTTCAGACTAATTATATCATCCTACAGAGGAGGAAAACGATTCAGGAGTAGACTTACTGTAAGTCTTAGGTCTATTCTTGGATCATTTTCATTACCTCTATGATGTTATCTATTAGTCTGGGCGTTGTTGCAAGATCGCCATGGCTGGCTCCTCAGTATTGTGGTTAAACCTCCTTCTCAAGTCTACCCATGGATCATTCTTATCACCTCTATGATGCCATCTATTAGTCTGGATGTTGTTGCATGATCGGCCATGACTGGCTTCTCAGAATTGTAGTTAAATGAGCTAATGGCTCCTTCTTAGGTCTACTCCTGGATCATTTTAGTCTGGGCGTTGTTGCAAGATCGGCCATGACTAGCTCCTCAGACTTGTTGTTAAACCTCCTACTCCTGGATCATTTTCATCACTTCTATGATGCCATCTATTAATCTGGACGTTGTTGCAAGATCAGCCAAGACTGGCTTCTCAGAATTGTAGTCAAACGAGCTAATGGCTCCTTCTCAAGGTTACTCCTGGATCATTTTAGTCTGGGCGTTGTTGCAAGATCGGCCATGACTAGCTCCTCAGAATTGTTGTTAAACCTCCTACTCCTGGATCATTTTCATCACTTCTATGATGCCATCTATTAATCTGGACGTCGTTGCAAGATCAGCCAAGACTGGCTTCTCAGAATTGTAGTCAAACGAGCTAATGGCTCCTTCTCAAGTTTACTCCTGGATCATTTTAGTCTGGGCGTTGTTGCAAGATCGGCCATAACTAGCTCCTCAAAATTGTTGTTAAACCTCCTTCTCAAGTCTACTGCTAAATCATTCTTATCACCTCTAAGATGCCATTTATTAATCTGGACGTTGTTGCAAGATCAGCCAAGACTGGCTTCTCAGAATTGTAGTTAAATGAGCTAATGGCTCCTTCTCAGGTCTACTCCTAGATCATTTTAGTCTGGGCGTTGTTGCAAGATCGGCCATGACTAGCTCCTCAAAATTGTTGCTAAACTTCCTACTCCTGGATCATTTTCATCACTTCTATGATGCCATCTATGAATCTGGACATTACTATATGATCAGCCATGACTGGCTTCTCAGAATTGTAGTTAAATGAGCTAATGGCTCCTTCTCAGGTCTACTCCTAGATCATTTTAGTCCGGGCGTTGTTGCCAGATCGGCCATGACTAGCTCCTCAAAATTGTTGCTAAACTTCCTACTCCTGGATCATTTTCATCACTTCTATGATGCCATCTATGAATCTGGACATTACTATATGATCAGCCATGACTGGCTTCTCAGAATTGTAGTTAAATGAGCTAATGGCTCCTTCTCAGGTCTACTCCTAGATCATTTTAGTCCGGGCGTTGTTGCCAGATCGGCCATGACTAGCTCCTCAAAATTGTTGCTAAACCTCCTACTCCTGGATCATTTTCATCACTTCTATGATGCCATCTATGAATCTGGACATTGCTGTATGATCGGCCATGACTGGCTTCTCAGAATTGTAGTTAAATGAGCTAATGGCTCCTTCTCAAGTCTACTCCTAGATCATTTTAGCCCGGGCGTTGTTGCCAGATCGGCCATAACTAGCTCCTGCAGAGCGCTGTTGGTGAAAGTCAGCTCTTGTTGTTGAAGTCTTTTTCTGCCTATAGTCAAGGATAGGGAGTAATGGGCTGTTAGCGACAGAGAGCTATCGCTTGTATGAACGGTCGCCAAGGGACAACACTCCAGTCGAATGCTCAAACAAGACCTTGAAGCGCAGTCTAAAGCTTAGTCTGGCTGGAGACCAGCAAACCAGGCAGGCCGTTGGCTGGCGATGGGTGACGTACTGAACGGCGTGACGTGACAGGGGAGTACAGCCAAACAGACTGACAGACATTGGATGCCTGGTTCAACCTTCTTCCTCAAAGGGTTGCCTTGGATGCCTGCTCGTCTCTCCAACATCAATCGGACTATTGCTCGTTGCTTTCCTCTTGAATTCAAGTTATCTTCTAGGTAAGTGGACTTGGATAGCTAGCTAAGTTTATTTCTTGCATTGGAGTTGTTGACAAGCAGTCGAGTAAGCTAGCATTCGACAGTGATAGTTTCCGTCAGTTGGCTGGCGATCGCTATCCGATTGTCGTCATCGATGTTCAGGCCGCTCAAACCATCCTCTTCGCTCATTGAACGATAGCGATTTCAATTTTTTCTCCCTGTTGTATACGCGAACAGTCCAAGCTTTTAGCCTTTTAGACTATTCCATTGCTTACTGTTTTCTATCGCAGCCAATCAGATGAAAATGAGAGATGCTTGTATTGGATTCTTGCTGTACAAATAGACAAAGGAGACGTCCAAGCATATTTGGACGCTGTTTCTACTGGTTGAACTGTGTAAAATATCATGGATGATTTATTTAAGTGGCGTCTTTAGATGTGGATAGAGAGAGAGACAAGGTGTTGTGCAAATTTGATGTTGAACATTATATTTTATCAAGGAATAGAAAAACTATGGAGAAAAAGAAGGCTTACCATGATGGATTCAATACTTGACGTAATCCTTGAATACATTACTCTTGTAGCAATGAAATCGACAATGATCCAATGTCGTACAATATACTTTTCGGCTATCCATTGGATCTTCATTCAGCCAGTCATGATTGCTATAACTACTTTTATTAATCCTTTTCTGTATCATCACTCATTCATGCATAAACAGTGTAACATACCAGTAACTAGATTGCTATGTTTACAAAACACGTTGTTAAAGAATTCTGTATAGATTACCATAAACTCTATTTTCTACGCAGCACGCTTCCATTTACTCAAAGGACATAAAAACTACAGTACTTGGTTTAACATAGAACTAGACAGATCGACCGTTACATACAGATACAGCACGGTATTTAATTTTATTCTTGTAATATTTTTATATTGCAGATATATTTGAAATCAAGTTGTATCCCATTTCTTATTGTGGCTAAAACGAAGTCATTTGCAGGCTATAAAACTTCAGCACTGTGCAAGTACTTCGTCTCAACATCGTTACTGGAAGATCTCCTGTTAACGAAAAACAATGTAAGTTCTTCTATCGATGGCAGTTCTAGCAAAATATCCATTTCCATTAGCGATAATGGAATACATGCGAGTAGAATGTGCTTGCAAGGTATAGCTATGGTGGATCAATCCATACGCTTTCTACCGGCGTTGAAATTGCAATGTTCAATTGAACGGCTTGATGATGTTGTCAATATAAGTTGCTGCTAAGATCATTAGTATTCCCATGTTTAAGTAGAGTTAGGATTGATCATAACCCATACTAATCTTATCGCTCAATATTACCCTTTCATACCGTAAAAAAAGTGATTCATATCTACTGGATTAAATATTGCCGGAAGGATCGTAGATAATTGCAGTTGTGTGGGGTAACTTTATTAACATTCATATAAACTTGATGTACTAGCCAACGGAATAGAAAACAGATCATAATAATAAAAAACAGGAAAAATAAACAACAGATTTTGATCGGCTAAGCTGCAATTCTAGCATAGAAAACTTAGAAAATTTCCATCATAGGGTGGAACTTCATCAACATTCATTGGTATTCAATAGCAATCATCCATTTGCTTGATGTTGTGACGAATAAACAGAATGTATATATAAAAAAATCATCTACATAAACTATGGATGGATGATTGTATGCGTATACGATGTTATTATAAATTGGATTAACATTCATATTACTAATACGTGCAGTAAGATCAATAACAAAATTACTGGGTAAACTGCGATCCCATCCTATCAATCATACAAAATCATAGTTATAGGATGCAGCTTTGTTATCCTTCAGCAACATTCATCCATGCACCTGATAATAATGTAATGCAGACAGAATAAATTCAATCAATCTGCTAGGCAAAGTTTACACTAATAATGGTGTACAAATAAGATATTGTAAACCACCATGTACTAACTGTCAGCTTTCGATGTGATTACAACAATTGAGTAAAAAGAATGGGAAGTTTGCCTAGTAAACAGCACATTGGCGGCGGCTAAACTTAGATGGTAGTACTTTGTTAGCAACTCGATGATAACAAAAGGATGGATGAAAAGTAGGCTGGGTAGTACACAAGCACTGATGAAACATTGACATCATTTAATTTGGCCACAGTGATAAATCAACTGACTTGTTCTAATCTATCCTTCCAGTACCTTCTCCTTTTATGTGCTAGAGATCATGCTTGGATACAACTTTTACACATCGAGATGGCCAACATTGATATTATTCAATTTAGCATCAGCAATAAATTAACTGGCTAATTTCATTTTCATCCTTGCACTCTTACTTCCCTCTTGTGGGCTAGGGGCCATGATTGGAAGCAACTTTTCTGCATCTAGATGAGTTAATACTTTATTAATAAATTATAAACATCATATACTCGTACATTTAATCAAGCCACATAGCACAATGGCTTCATGTAAAATTGATGACTATTAAATAAGAATAGCTACAGTCTTGCTGTTTTGGCAAGAGTACATATAATCAAAGTCTAGCATAGGTTTGATCGATACTTCGATGTAAGAGGATTAAACGGCCAATGATCTGCTTACTTACTAATCGCTATTCAAGGTTATAGTACGCGAATTTAATGGTAGTTAAACTTTAATTCATATAAGATCTGCCGACTTTGCTAATGAAGCATTTCTTAATGTCACAGTCGTACTGACATCAGCCGTCTTTGCTTTATAAGTAGCTGTGAGCAACAAACGATAAAATAACTTACGATTGATTTCGTACAGCCATTATATCACTAATTATAATATGCCGTTTGTACTGTACAACTTTCATATTTTCTCATTTGAAGTCAAATCGAAGTGTCTGTAAGGTCAGGATAATAATTTTAATTGATTTATAAAATATCTTCTATTATTTCTCATTATAGGGAAGGAAATAGTGATGATTGCAGTACTTCTGATAATCAAGTTTTAGACAACAAGAAAAGGAAAATATGTAGAGATTTCGGTTTGTATATAACTAACTCAGTGATTATGGGACAGTAAAAATACTGTTGACATATCTTCAATTTATTGATATGGACATGGTACAGTAGTCTGGCCAGTGATGAATTATTAGTCAAATAACTCCATGGAAAGATGTTACTGCAGTATTTTTTAATTAGCACACAATAAACCGAATTGATACTGTGCATATCTGTAATAATTAATTCATTATACTCTAGTTATTTTATTGACCCATGCACCTGTAGAAGTGGAGTTACTGTCTGCTACAGTGAAATTATAACATCAATTGTTAATGTATTTGGCTGATTCATTACTATGTCATATTATAGAGGCAACAGAACATTTTCTTACCTGCACTGCGGCTAAGTGTAAAGAAAGTAATAATTACGACGCCTTAAATACCGTAATTGCCGATATTTTCTCCTCTCCAGAGTCAATATCGAATTACTTTTGTATAAATGGTGACAGCGTGGAACTTGTAGACATTATTTATGTTCGAAAGATTTATACTATCCTTTCTGACCACTTCCATTCTTCTGTTGAAGAGCGATTATTTATTGCGACCAATGGATTAATGGAACACTTACAAGGTGGAATTGACGATCAATTGTTAATGTCAATAATTATTATAGTATACGAAAATCCACAATTACAAAGTCCAGAGTATTTCGAGAATGTTTTACCAAGACTTTGTCAATTAGTTCGCAGCTTGTCATTACCGGCAAAAGCTGAACTTGTACGCTTTTGGGCAAAATTTAATGAATCGCAAATGCTTCAACTTGTTATTTCTTTACAACAATACTTAACATGTACCGTCGTTAATATTCTCGCATGCTCAGATACCGATATACTGACATCGATAGATATTTCTCTATCCAACATCTTATACAACTTAGACATGCTCTATTTGGCTAACTGCTTAGGCGGTATAACACGTCAAAGTAACCTTGCTCATTCTGAGATAGTAACAAATCAAGCTAGTACTACCGCCAATGCTGATGCAAGAAGTGATCAAGTTGGCGTCTTTATGAGAACCGTTGGTGGGCTTCGTCGAAAACAAGACATTAGACATCATGAGCTACAGAGACTACTTAATATTGATCCTGCTATTTGCCGTCGCCCAATCGTTACGTTTAGTGCATTTTATAATGAGGCATTAAGTGATGCAATCGATCCTCGCTACGATTATCGAAGATTTACTGTTAATGACATATGTTTATTGGACTTTCCTTGCGTTATTATGCCCTTTAATAAAACGCAGTATCTTTCGTTGGATTGTCGTTTACGACAGAATGACGAAATTGGCGCGGCAATTATTTTAAGCCTACTCAATCGTGATGTACCTAATCCATTTTTAATAATTCGTGTTCGTAGAGATCATCTTATTGAAGATGCTTTATGGCAGGTACGTCAACAGCAGTAGTTATGAATGTTACGTTACGTTGCTATAGTGTTAAACCTGATCGATAGTGGCAGATACATTTGTTCAATATTACATTTGTAACATATTTATTAAATCAACGCTATTTTATTTATATAATATTAAATCAACACTATTTTATTTATATAATATTATTATACAGCTGGAGCATGTTTCAGATGATAATCCAAGTGCTTTATTAAAACAATTGAGAATTAAATTTGTCGGAGAAGAAGGTGTAGACGATGGTGGACTTTCCAAGGAATTTTTCGTACTTATCAATCAGGAAATTTTTAATCCAGAATATGGTAATTACTATGACATCAAATATCATGTCTTCCTTGAATCTAAGCATTGTTAACCTTCCGCTTTGCTTTTATTTCCTAAAGCTATGTTTAGGTACAATGAAAAAGCTGGGACTTATTGGTTTACACCTGATTCTTATGAAACAGATGCACAATATAAGCTAGTTGGTATACTTGTAGGATTAGCTATCTACAATGGCATCATTTTAGACGTTACCTTCCCTATGGCTTTGTATAGGAAACTATATGGGCAGAAATTAATTTTGGAAGACTTAAGTGATTGCTTTCCAGTATGAATATAGTAGTATACTTCAATCGATATATCCTTTATTAATAAAGATCGTAGTACAAATTATTATAGCCTGGTATGTAATAGGTACATCTATGTTGGTGTTTATTAGGAAATTTGGCAAAGCTTGGTAAACTTATTAAATTATGAAGGCGATGTGGAAAATGACTTCATGTATACTTTTAAAATTAGTTACACAAACGTATTTGGTGATGCAGTTACTGTAGATCTTGTGGAGAATGGTGGTGAAATTTCTGTAAATAAGAACAACAGGGAGGTTGGAAGGAAAACAATTTTAGTCTTTATGATGATTACATTATTACTTTACCAATAACTGAATGTAATATTTTTACTGTATTAGGAATTTATTAGACTTTACACGGAATTTCTATTAACAAATTCGGTCAAAAATCAGGTAAACTCTTTATTTAATTAGTTAGCCTTATGATATAAAACTAAGTGCTATGTTCTTTATAGTTTGATGCTTTCAAAAAGGGTTTCAACATGGTAACTGAGGATTCTTTGCTCAAATACTTGTTTCGACCTGATGAAGTTGATATGCTTGTATGCGGTAGTAAGGTATGATTGCAGGATATTCTTCAAGATAAATGTAAACTGTTCATCGTATTACTAATTTTTAATCCTTTATTATGTAATGATATCATGTAGGAAAAGTGTTTAGATTTTCATGAGCTAGAAAGAGTTACATATTATGATGGAGGATTAACAAAAGATTCAACCTTAGTCAAGTAATTGAAAATAGTGCTCATATAAAGTACAAATATTGCTACTCACGGTTTATTTATAAAATGTCATATGGCAGGGATCTTTGGGAAGTAGTACATTCTTTCGATGAAGAAAGTAAACGTAAATTCTTAAAATTTACGACTGGTAGTGATCGCGTACCAGTTGGAGGATTATCAAAAATTATGTTTCGCGTTATTAAAAATGGTGACGATTCTACTAGGTAAAATTATTTCTATATTTTATACCGGTAATGGTCGTAGGACTATTCGTAAATAGAAAGTGTAAATGACAGGTATTTTATTTCTTCTATGTATGATTTTTAGGCTACCGACTTCTCATACATGCTTCAACGTGTTAATGTTATGTAATTATTCCAGTAAAGCAAAGCTTAAAGAACGGTTACTCTATGCAATTAACAATGGAAATGCTGGTTTCGGTCTCTCATAAATATTGGAAGGTATAACTTTATTCGGATAATATCAGAATTATTTGTAGACTGTTCGAATATCATCATGTCCAATCTTGGGCCTACTGATCTCAGATTGTGTCATGAACATATTACTTTTGTACACCTCATGATCATGTTAGCCTTCGTATAGACATCAATCAATAATGTAATGTTATTATTAGGATACACTAATGTAAGGTATAGACCGTATGCTGATATGGAATTGAAGATTATTACCGAACTAAAAAGTATTTCCACGCTTAATTGATGCCTAGTTCATTATTTAAGCTCATGATTTGAAAGTATTCCTATTTTCTTTAAGGAAGCACAGGATAAATTCAGTTGATTTTAAATTGTATCTCACGTATGGAGTTAATTAATTTCTGGTATTACTACATATGATAAAAGAGTTACTCTGTAGCAACACCATTGAGTCGATGGTGCTTCGGTACGATGAAATTTTTATGATGGACTCAACACCGTAGAGTTGTCGCTCAAATTGTTTCAGTTAATTTTATCGATTGTTTGCCTATGCTATTAACGATGGGACAATGTTTCAATAAAGCCAATTTAGAAACCTATCGAAGCATGAGACATTGTCTGATATGGTACCTTATATTAATCATAGTTCGTCAGTCCGATTTTTTACAAAGATGGAAATAAATAGGACATTATTTCATAGCTTAACGTGGAATATATCTCTACATAAAGTGCTAACGGTTAGTTACCCATATCCACGTGTTGCGATAGTGAGAGCTTGTAGTCTAGTGTCTCTCCTTTAAAGGTTGTATTGTAGCTTACCTTAAGATATGAAGAATACGTCATTGTTCAACATCGTAGGAAATTTATCAATGGCATTATTTTATTATTTCAAATTATAATTTGCGATCTTGATCTGTGTAGCCGTCGATCGTACGCAATTGAAATAAGAATAAATAGTACATTCACTCTACAGCAGATTTATGAGTATTATTCCGTCCATGTAAATGTACGTATACATCTTGTGTCTTCCACTTGCCTCTTTTAAACTAGTCTACGAAAACGTCTTGTCTAATTAGAGGGAATACTATCAAGTCATAAAGTTAAATTAAATCTATAACGGAAGCAGGCGCTTACTGTAATTGAATAAACTTTGCAACAGACTGCATGCATTCTCGATAGTATTAGATTACCATGGAAAGCAAGTAGTACAGTATAGTCCTTGTAGCTAGTAGCTATGAAATTGTTATCAATACTTTCTACACTTTAATGCTATCTAATTGTCCTTACTAGCACTATATTTAGACGAGTCTACTCGTATGTTAAGTAGGCTAATGAACAGTACTCAGAGCTTCCAAGCCTATTCTAAACAGGCTAATAATCAGTACTAACATATTGCCATAGAAAATGAGCAGTAGTAGGTTGACTAATAGCTATTGTATAGGTATCTGTTTAATGCTGTCTTATTATCTTTACTCTTTATTTAAGCAAGTTTATGCTAAGTAGGCTAATAAAGAGTGCTCAGAGCTTGCAAAGTCTATTCTAAGCAGACTAATTTAAACTAAGTTGAAAGGTGAAAAATATACTGGACTCCATAACAACAAATTGCCATAGAAAACGAGTAACAGTAGCGAGGGTACGGGCATCTATACTCTTAACTGTATGTTAAAACAGCATCTCTGCTATCGAATCCGAGAACGGTATTACTATAGCATACTGTATAAAACTACCCATTACGACAGTAGTATATGACCATCATGGTGCAGTTTTCTTCTTGCCCAGTATCCATTTCTGCATAATTATTCTAAAGTCACAATAACTGCTACTAGTCTGCTACTGATGCCAAACAGAAATCTTCTTACAGACATTTTCTATCCATTTAGACCATCATTGAATTCTTAATGCTTGGTAACGAAAAGCAGACAGTCTAAATAGTTGATAAAATATCGAATTGCCTGGTTGAGATCGCAATCTTTCAAATTACAACGAAGGTGGCAACGACGTAAACATGGCGATGTTGTTTTGCTTTGCGATGATTTTATGGACAACGACATTGCATCCCGGGAATGCAGCACCTAAGGAAGATTGGATCACTTCTTTGCCTGGATTATCTCATCAATCATCCTTTAAGCAGTATTCTGGATATTTAGATGGTGGTAATGGCAATAGATTGCATTACTGGTTTGTTGAATCTAAAGGAAAACCTTTACGTGATCCACTTGTATTGTGGCTAAATGGAGGGCCTGGTTGTAGCTCTATTATTGGTTTACTACTGGAAAATGGACCTTTTATGCCCAGCTACGACGGTAAACATTTAACCTTGCGTAATACATCTTGGAATGATTTCGCCAATGTCATTTTTCTAGAATCACCTGCTGGTGTTGGCTATTCATATAATGACAAGAGAAATTATACATGGGATGATGACCAAGTTGCCGACAGTAATTATGCTGCATTAAAATCTTTCTTTAATAAATTTCCTGAATATTCTAGAAATGAATTTTACATCACCGGCGAAAGTTATGGAGGAATTTATATTCCTACGTTAGTTCTACGTACTATGAATGATTCTAAAATCAATTTGAAAGCATTTGCTGTAGGGAATGGTCTAATGGATACACGTTTAAATGATAATTCCATGATTTATTTTGCTTATTATCATGGTATCTTTGGCCAACATCTATGGTCGCAATTACAGAAATATTGCTGTTCCCGTGGCTCTTGTAACTTTCATAATCCAAGTGATATTCATTGTAAGAAAGCATTAGCTGTAGCTCAACAGGTTATGAATGATGATTTAGATAATTACAACATCTATTTTGATTGTTTTCACTGTTCATCATCGATGGGCTCGCAGGCAAAGGTATTGCTCAAACGACTGCATCCAGAACTCTATCCTTCCCGATTAGATGAACCCTATATGAGTAATAATCAAGTTACTCCTGATGTTATTTATATGAATAGGAAAGATGTCAGAAAAGCATTACATATACCCGATCATTTACCAGCATGGAACGATTGTAGTAATGCTGTTAGTGCTAATTATACTACAACATACAATTCTTCAATCAAGTTAATCCCCAAATTGTTAAAAAAATATCGTGTTTTAATTTATAATGGTGACGTGGATATGGTATGCAATTTCTTAGGTGATCAATGGGCTGTCCACTCTCTCAATCTTAAAGTTGTGAAACCTCGTCAGCCTTGGTTTTACAACGATAGCAATGGTAAACAGGTTGGAGGGTATGTTATTCGCGCTAACAAGCTTGACTTTCTCACAGTGCGAGGATCAGGTCATCAAGTACCGACTTTTAGACCACAGCAAGCTTACCAAATGATCTATAATTTCATCCATAATAGGCCATATAGCACTAAGGTAGTGCCCTAAACTGGCCATGCTCGTGTACGATAGTATGGTAAAATTGGACTTCAATCAAGCTGGCTTTATTGATTCTGGCTGATTGATACTTAATTTAGCAATCTATGATGATAAACTAATAACTGCTTGTATTCGATTCATGTTGATAAGGATTATACTTTATGCGTAGCATTTTAATGAAATAAGACATTCCTCCCCAACCCCTTTTTATGTCGAGGGGGGCTTTTATAGCCCACGTTTAATGCCTTCCGTTATAATAATGTTCATTTATGACGATAACAACTAATAACAGCTTGCATTAGGTTCATATCAATGATGAGCGCATACTTTTTGCGTGGACTTTCAATGAAATTACCTATATTCATTCATTACAGTACTAACTGTAAAGTAATCTGGCTTGTTTATATCTTATAGATGTTATCTATGACAGACCACGACGATGCTATGGACGTAACATGGTGAAATACAATTCTATCCAATCTTTATACCAAAAGATAAGTTATTTTGCCTTGTAGTATACCCGTACTTACATTGGATAGAATGATTGGTATTCTATATTTTACATTACTGCATAGGATGACAAACTAAGATGTAAAGAGTGCTCCTATACGTTTTGCATAATGTATAAATTTGGCTAATAATTATATAATTATCATTGCTACAGTATATGTTGTGCAGAATTTGAAATATCTGTGTGGATTGAATAATATTAATATATAATACGAATTCAGTACAACTTGTTTAGCAATTTAAATATATTTGAAACCTCAACAATATGCTCTTATATGTAATAGAAATAACACTATGAAATTAAATTGAATGCAATTTCTAGCCAAGCCATAATATCACCATTCCATCTTGTGCAATCACAAGTTTGTACTGCTCATTTTAACATCTAAATACAAAACTGCAAATTAATGCTAAAGTAAATCCTGTATGAGCTGTTTCAGCACCATCTGCAGAGGTAGTGCGCCTCTTTGACCCAACTTGAACCCCACTGATGAAAGGGTTGGCAGCCAACCATAGTAGGCTATATTGATTATGAAATCATCATTCCATCTTGTAGCATGTATAGTGTAAATCACGTAATGAAACTACTAATTTTAACTTGGAAATACAAGACTGCAAATTAATGCAAAAGTAAATCCTGTATGAGCTGTTTGAGCACCATCTGCAGAGGTAGTGCACCTCTTTGATCCTACTTGAACCCCACTGATGAAAGGGTTGGCAGCCAACCATAGTAGGCTATATTGATTATGACAAAATCATTCTATCTTGTAGCATGTATAGTGTACACCACGCAATTAAACTGTTAATTTTAACGTGGAAATACAAGACTGCAAACTAATGCAAAAGTAAATTCGATATGAGCTTTTTGAGCTCCGACTGCAGCAATAGGGCATTTTTTGGAACCCACTCACGAAAGGGTTAGCAGCTGAGCCATATTAGGCTATACGGATTATAAGCAGTTTGAGCTCTAACATGTCTAGTAAACTAATTAATTGCGTTATTTGAACCCACTCGCTGCAAGACTGGATGCCGATCCATAGTAAGCCATCTTGATTTCAGTTGGTGGTGTTGCAACAGCTGGATTATATAGAACATCTCCTTCAACCTATTCACAAGAAGACTGGAAACCAATCCATAGTAAACTATATTGATTATGAGCTGTTTGAGTGGTCATTCAAATTAGAAGGCCTCTTCAACGTCTAAATAAAAGACTGTAAAACAAACTCAATAGTAAACTCTATTGATTATCAGCTGTTTAAGTATCCTTACTAGACTTGAACACCTTGAAAATGGTTGAGTCACGGTGACAGACGCGAAAGACAGAAGGACAGCGCTCCGGCGCAGATTCACACTTCGCTATAGAACTACTCGGACAGGCTATACATAAATACTGTATTATAGGGAGCGTGTTATAAAGGTATACATAACATCCTTGCTCGACCCTGCATCATTTCCAGGCCCGTAGCCAAGGAGAATATCGACAATCCTTCATCATGGCTATCATGCTTTGGCTTAGTATAGTGGTTTTAATGGCTGTATGCGAGGTTGATGCAGCCCCAAAGGAAGATTTAATCACTTCTTTACCTGGATTACCTCATAAGCCAACTTTTAAGCAGTATTCTGGTTATTTAGATGGTGGCAATGGCAATCAATTGCATTACTGGTTTACAGAGTCGAAAGGAAAACCTTTCCGTGATCCTCTTGTCTTGTGGTTAAATGGTGGCCCTGGTTGTAGTTCATTGGTTGGCTTACTGACTGAGAATGGACCTTTTAATCCTGGCCCAGGAGGGAAAAATTTAGCTTATCGTAATACCTCTTGGAATGATTTCGCCAATGTCATTTTTCTAGAGTCTCCCGCTGGTGTTGGCTACTCTTATAATAACAAGAAAAATTATACCTGGGATGATGATCAAGTGGCCGATAGCAATTATGCTGCCTTGAAATCATTTTTCAAGAAATTTCCTGAATTTTCCAGAAATGAATTTTATATCACCGGCGAAAGTTATGGAGGAATTTATATTCCAACGTTAGTTGTACGTGTTATGAATGATTCTAAAATCAATTTGAAAGCATTTGCTGTAGGCAATGGCCTGAGTGATAGGCGTTTAAATGATAATTCCATGATTTATTTTGCGTATTATCATGGTATCTTTGGCCAGCGTATATGGTCACAATTACAAAAATATTGCTGTTCTCGTGGCTCTTGTAACTTTCATAATCCAACCGATAAACATTGTCAGAAAGTATTGGTTGCTGCTCGACAAGTCATGAATGATGATCTAAATAATTATGATATTTACACCGATTGCGATGGTTGTGCATCATCGTTGAGCGCACAAGCTAGAGCATTACTCAAACGATTATATCCACACAATTATCCTATCCAATTCGATGATGATAACTTTAAAATCACCAGTAACCAATTACCCTCAGATATTGCTTATATGAATAGGAACGATGTCAGGAAGGCATTACATATACCCGATCATTTGCCGCAATGGGGTGAATGTAGTGGTGATGTAAGCGCAAATTATACGATAACGTATAATTCTGCTATCAAGTTATATCCTAAGCTCTTGAAGAAATATCGTGCATTAGTTTACAATGGTGATGTGGATATGGTCTGCAACTTCTTAGGTGATCAATGGGCTGTTCATTCGCTCAATCTTAAAATGATTAAACCTCGTCAGCCTTGGTTTTATAGCGATAGTAATGGTAAACAAATTGGAGGTTATGTTATTCGCTTTGATAAGCTCGATTTTCTAACAGTACGTGGATCAGGTCATCAAGTACCGACTTATAGGCCAAAGCAAGCTTATCAAATGATTTATAATTTTATCTATAACAAACCTTACAGTACTAAAGTAGTACCATGATTCTACATTGAAATTACTCGTATGAAATAGATCAAGAGAACTTTCTTAACGTGTGCGAATGCATATTCTACTTTCGACCTATTTACAGTATATTATTATTGTTAACGTTAATTTAATCGATTAACTTAATAGATGGTAAAAGTGCAATAGCGATTATGACTTACTTAAAATCGAAAGAGTCAAAGTAATCCCTCGATAGATGGACTATCAGGGCAACACCATATAAATGTAATTGTATGATAATGAATTGCACGTCTGTTGATTATGGCATACTAACAGTATGTGGCAATAATCAAAAAGGTACTTGTTCGTTTTTACTCTATCGTATACTACTAGAGCAATTCGATGTAAAGTATATCAATCTTGAAAAGTCGTGAATAAATTCTGTTTTGTAATGAAGCTTGCACTGAAATAATATTAAGACAAAATTGGATTTAGCTACGAGTGTCTTTCGATCTCTTCCCTATCAACATCACCATTAAGGTATTCCGAATAAGATGTATGCAACCTGAGAATACTTCTTGCAAACTACTTGTCCTACTATAATTCGGAAATTAGATGGGGTAGTTGATTAAATGACATTATTTACCCCTTGATGAGCGCATCTATCAGGAGTGTTTCGAGAATTTGTATAACAAAGAATCCATGTTATTTACGGATGTTAGCCTACCTTACTTATGCTGCTATGAACAGAATGTGAGATTTTAGTGCTTGCATGCTGTGGTAGTCTAATTTAGTGGTCCGCTTTAGTGCTACCTCTATTCGCCATTTTATCTAGGTATGACAAGTTTCTTGAATAACGATGACTCCATTAAACTTACCAACCATGAATTGTCAAGATATGATAATTTAGGATATTCTCGTATTTGCCTTCATGAGTAGTCGTCAAAAGTGAATCGAAGGTGGGAAGATAGGATTCAACACCTTTGCTCATGTATATTCAGTATCCATAGATACGACAATATTGCTATCAATTGCTTTATTTCTCGTCCAACGCAATAGTTCTAGCAGGTAATGATCATGAAAGCGGATGCGTCTAGGCATCGAAATCGTTTACAAGTAAAAGCTATCCTCAATTGGAATGATATTATACTTCGTTTTTATGGGATTTATTTTTTATATCATTATTTGAATTTGAATAGTGTTGATTAACGCCAATCTTTTGCTATGAAATCTATCACCTGAATATTTTATCCGCTAGTCTATTCCGGGGAAAAAAAAATAGACAAATAGTCATGAAACCTGCTACGACTAGACATTTCGACAGTCGTCACAAAGTTAAGTTAAAAAATACATAGCTCTAATCTATAATAAAGGAACATTTCAGCTTCATCGTCAGTTTGAAATAAAACTGTAATTCCATACGTATAAGCATTGCTATACCCATTTCCCCTTCTAACATTTGGGTACTCTCAGCTTGAGATCAGTTATATTATAGTCTACTTGAACGCAATTGTTCGACAACAATATCAGTTACCCTTTCAGGAATTAAGGTGAAGAAAAGCCTAACGAGATGGCAGATGCTGCTTGTTCTTCATGGTTAGAAAATCGACCTAGCCAAAGCATTCTATCTGTATCGATCATCGAATTGCTATCGAATAATATCATTCTAACTCTAAATCAAGCTACCTAAGGAGGATTTTAAAGCATATTTCTGTTGAAACATAGTAATTATCCATATTGTATGATTTCCTCCTATATCATTCAAGATCAATTAAGAATTAATTAGATGACAGCAATTTCTATCAGCATACCCACGCAAGAGTGCAGAAATGCATGCTATAGAATATGCTAATGGAGTCGCTGCCTCCATTTCACAGGAATATTGGCGGAAATCCCATAGTCACATGACAATAACATGATTCCATGACTACCGCATGATGAAAAGATTCGACTACCGTTAGCTAATTAACTGGGCAGCTTTATTGACTTCCCAAGTTGAGAAGATACCGAGGTAGCCAAGATGAAGACTTTAATCTGTCTTACTTTAGCAGTTTTGGTGTTTTGCAGTTATGTGGATGCAGCACCGAAAGGCGATTTAATCACTTCATTGCCTGGCGTGCCACATCAGCCCAAATTTAAGCAATATTCTGGCTATTTGGACGCCTTAAATGGAAATAAATTTTTTTACTGGTTTGTTGAATCACGCAAAAAGCCATCAGCCGCTCCTTTGATTTTGTGGTTAACCGGTGGGCCAGGTTGTAGTTCATTGCTTGCATTATTATCTGAGAATGGTCCATATGGTGTGAAAACTGATGGCAAACATTTAACTTATCGTAATACATCATGGAATGATTTCGCCAACGTCATCTACCTGGAATCGCCTGCAGGTGTTGGTTTTTCTTATAATCCGAAAAAAAATTATACCTGGAACGATGATGCTGTCGCTGATAATAATCACGCTGCACTCAAATCTTTCTTTAAAAAATTTCCAGAATTTGCAAAGAATGAATTTTATGTGACCGGCGAAAGCTATGGAGGCATTTATATTCCAACTTTGGCTGTACGATTAATGAACGATTCTAAAATCAACTTTAAAGCTTTCGCTGTAGGCAATGGCTTAAGTGATACACGCTTTAATGATGATACAATGATCTATTTTGCTTATTATCACGGCATTTTTGGCCAGCGTATCTGGTCACAATTGCAGAAATACTGTTGTACTCATGGTAGTTGCAATTTCCATAATCCCAAAAATAGCCATTGCACAACAGCACTAACAGCAGCACAAAAAATCATGGGTAATGATTTAAATAATTATGATATTTATGCTGATTGTGAAGGTTGTGCCCCAGCTAAATTCATGGACTCTCAGGCTAAGATCTTATATCGCTACCTTCATCCTGAATTATTTCCTAGTGTAGGCGATCACAGCTTCGGTAGTGATCAATTACCGGTCCACGTTATCGCTTATTTAAACATCAAAGCTGTACAAAAAGCATTGCATGTCGCTCCCCACTTGCCAAAATGGGGTGGATGCAGTAACATTGTTAGTGCTCATTATACGACCACTTACAACTCAGCCATCAAATTATATCCTAAATTATTGAAGAAATATCGTGCATTAGTCTATAATGGCGATGTTGACATGGTTTGCAATTTCTTAGGTGATCAGATGGCTGTCCATTCATTAAATCGTAAGCAAGTTAAACCTCGTCAACCTTGGTTCTATAGTGATAGTAATGGTAAACAGGTTGGTGGCTATGTTATTCGCTTTGATAAACTTGACTTCCTTACAGTTCGCGGTGCAGGGCATCAAGTGCCAACTTATCGGCCTAAACAAGCTTACCAAATGATTTACAATTTTATCCACAATAAGCCTTACAGTACTAAAGTAGTACCATAAAGTGCTATCTACATTGATTCCTTTTTAGATTAAATGGCTTGAATAATTTAGTTACTTGCTGTTTTACTTAGAAATTTCCGACAGTTACTGGTCTATAGAAAGAATAAAAATATAGCTGTAAATTTCTTGGCTTTGTTGCATATGATGAATGCGTTGTTGTGTCAGATTCCTTAAATGGTAAAATTTTGCAAGAGACTAAATGCCTTTGCTGAAGTTTAATTTTCTCTTAACATTTTTATAACTGACTAATCTGTCAAGATGGTAGATTAGTGCAATAGTTAGTCTGTCGAACGATACTTATATTGTCTAAGCTTGCGGTTGCTTATTGTAGTAATTGTTGAATCTTGATTATGGAGATTTCTATTAGCGATACTTTACCAGACCTAAATTGAATATGTTGCTATATGCAAGATTCGTGTGATCTTTTCGCTGTTAGAAACATTTGATTTTACTGAGTGTGTACTATTCATGCATTATCCAAAAATGGCTCGGTCTTTTTCTCATAATCAACATGTACTGCTGCTTATACAAATACGCAGCAGCTTTTATATGTCTTTAGATAGCTTAAGAGCAGATAAACGATTACTTCTCTTGGTTTTGATTTTCAAAGATATGCTTAACTTAACTGAAGATTCATTTCTAAAAGTGAGTTTCTATCTTGATTGTTGTCATAACTCAATGAAACAGTAGTTTTTTATTGTAATAGGACGGCCTAATACAGGCACACACAGAGATTTTGTTAAACTTCTCTAGGCTCCGACATCATATGCAATTTTAAATAAAAGAACTTAAGGCGGATTATACGAGTAAGTTTGACAACCTTTCTACGTGAGTTGAGTATGGAAAGACGCAACGAAACATTTTTAGTAGTTTCGGTTCTACAACCAATATAATACATGTAATCGCAAACCCTAGTTTAATACGAATATTTAAGGCGCACTATCGCGAAAACTGTGACCATAGTCCTTATAATTAAATTACAATAAATAATGTACAGCAATACCATTATTGCATTTATCATATAAATCGCTGTTGACAATACAACTACCTTTAGTTTCAATTCCCTATAACAACGTGTAAAAACTACGTTCCTTAATACGAACGTATATGTAGGCAATCGCCTTCATTTAAAGAATTCTTTATTTATAAAATGGCAGTATTATAATTAATAATTCTGTATTGGTTAAATATAAAAATAGGAGGAATTTAGCATTTTCGATAATAATTCTAAGTTGAAAGCCCAACGAATTATGTAACAAAGAATTTGTTTCCCACAGTTGTCATTTGTCATTAGAATGATAAATTAGTACTAAAGCCTATTTACCAAGATACTGCTTGTTTACTTGCTCTTCATCTTCATTACAAGTAATACATAATAAATGCATAAAAAATTGATTCAGTTTTTACTGATGAGGGAGATAGGCAAGCCCAAATAAATTCAGATGATGTAATTCTATTCTTGTAATAATTTCAGCTAATTACAGTAGTTATGTATTAGGGAAATACAGTGATAGTCTAGTATATAGTGTAGAACTTTGCGTCTTAATATCGGTTTAACTACAGTTCTATATCATAGCTTGAATCTCATTCATTTTCTTATAATCAAGGCAATAAAAGCAGCTATTATACAAACGATAATCGAAATTCGAATTAAGTTAACTAAAGTAGGATGCCGAGAAGACCATGATGCATTAGAATCTTCTTCCAGCGCGTCTCGATTTTTTCTGCGTTTCCGTCTACGACCAGGTTCTCGTTGTGACTGATCTTGCTTTTCCTATAAGATAGTAAAGTTAACGATGTCAAGTTTGCAAGAACACTTAAATATCCATCTAGACTCAACCTGGTCTAATCTCCTTAATTGCTCCTCCTTCTCTAATATCTGCTGTTCTTTTAGCTACGGATGGTGTTAGGTTCGATTGATTATTATTATTAATATAGCATAATATAAGCTACTTATATTATTATAGAAAGGCAGTTAAGTCAAGTCTTACTTTTTTCTTTTCTAGTTCAATTCTTTTACATTCATCATCGCAATCAAGAAGATAATCGAGAGGGATGCTAGAGCATGTTACAGCCTATTAGCAGGTATTACATTAGTAAGACTACAAAGTAATTTACGAAACACCACCATATTTATAGATCTACGGTTACGCATGATACCTTTTTAAGCCTTTTACATGCACAACGAATAGTTCTTTTCCTGTTGCAAGTTGTCCAGCTGGGGCACTCACCAGGATGACAATCATCTGCGCATCTATGTCCACACGTTAACTGAAAAAAAAATATTATCTATAAAGTAAAAATTTTTGTCCTTTCGCACATAGTTATGCCATTCTAATACCGTTTTCGGACACTGGCCTTTGCATGACAATAGTATCAATTTTTTTTCATCATCAGCTGTGGTTAGTTCACTACAGATCAAATAAACTAAAGTTAATATTTAACTGCTAAGACATAAGAGTATTAGTTTTAATTGGCAATATTCGGAGAGTTTTTGCATACTTACTTGCATTCGATATGTAAAAGAACTAAACGGCAGAAACACCATCTTTTAACTAATAGTGTACAAGTTGGGCATTCACCTGTAAAGTATTAAACCCTTTGTTTATTTAACTTAATAGTAAGATAATATTTTGCATCATATATGCAGTATTAGAAACAAGGTTATCATCATTAATTTTCGTAATCGATACCGGGGTGACAAGGTAATGGACACTCATGGTCACAACCATCTGGTCTTGGTTTGAGGCAGGCTTCTTCACATTGTAAGCACTCTGATCCAGAACTGTACTCATCTTGAGCATTAGTGACTATATGACACTCTAAGCTACACGTATGATTCGTGCATTGTAGGCTTCGCCCGCATAGCCGACCGCACGAATATGGTCTGAGCTGATGGCATGGAAACGATTGGATCTACAACAGATCGGTAATATTCATTCAATACTCCAAAGTTAGATGAATCGCTAATTCAAATTAAGCAAAGATGGCTAGCTTTAAACCCACCTCATGTTCTCCTAAGCATTTCCTATAATTATAATTATCAAAGATAGTCATTAAAATAGCATACCCTTTCAAAGGACGCAATCCTGCATGCAGCTTATAATCGCAACTTACCGATCTATTGGCACAACACAAGGAAGGCAAGGCTTACTTTTGTATTGAGTTACTGGCTTTTCGCCTTTTTTTAGGCGTGTAATCTATCATGGCAGAGGCTTTCAGTATAGGACAAGAAGTAAAGTAAAACTTTATAACGAACTGTACCTGTAACGCTGTCATTTTCTGCACTATGGCAACAGCGGTATGGCAAATTTCAGGGCAATAGTGTTCACAGTCTTTTAATATTAAGTTACATATTTGTCGACATGGAGGACATTCTCCGTAATGGCATAAGTGCGGTTCGCGCTTTTCATGATGACATTTTGGTGGAATACTATCGAATTGATGGCGATTAGAAAGAATACTAGTCTCTATAAGCAAGCACTGCTTTCGGTAACTTTATGGTGAAATGTTGAAATTTAATCAATACATTTTTGTGAAAACATGATGCTAAGTGTAAAAGTATGATCGGGTAGACTTCCTACCGATGGTGAAATATTGAAATTTAATCAATGCATTTTTGTGAAATCATGACATGCTAAGTGTAAAAAGTATAAGGTTAGGTAGACTTCCTACCGGCACAGTTCTTTGCATTTCGGGGGATCGATGTATTTTTCGCGCCCGCAAGGAACAGTGACGGCAGTTGCTTGACAATAACATTTAACATCGACAGTCTGCGGACATGGATAGCACCGTCCACTGTGACATCTGGTCTGACATTTATGGTTACCACAACCCAAGGTTCGGCCACAAGTCTGTTCACAAGGAGGGCAATTACCAGTACAACACTGTTACAAGGTCATTCCATGGCCGAAAAAAAGGAAATGAACGAAATACTTACTACCACTTTCATAATAAAGATAAAGCCAAAGACAAATGAAGATAAATTTATATTTATAAATTGGCAAGAATACGAACCCTTTTATTACATTGGTGCCTGCCGCAATCTCTTAGGATTTGGCATCTTGATTCACATGTAAAATCTAAACGACATTGTAGGCTTTTCTGATGTTTTCCACATCTGCACATTTTAGTGACCATTTGTCGACATTTATAGCAATCTCCATGATGGCATCTGTCAGTACATTTATGTTTACCACATGCTAAGATTTTACCACAGGTATCACCACATGATGGAACATCGTCTGTGCACGGCAGATTAAATTCTAAAAGAATTGAGCGAATATAGTATTAAACAGTTGCAGCGAAGGGTTATTTATTGTAATGATTAAAATCATGATTAATACATACTTGATTTGCCACAAGGACAACTCCGCTCTCCTGAACGTGGACAATTGCCGCATGCATTATCGTGGCATATTCGTTCACAACGATGGAATCCGCAAGAAAGAACCTTATTACAAATCTTATCACACTGCCAATCGGTTTCATCACAAGGTCTATGTGCAACTTCTTTACCACAACGACATGATCTTTCCACTACTTCATCACATTTCAGACACTCGCCTATTCAACAATAATTATTTGAATATTTTACATCCTGTTTATCCACAATTCGTTAAGTAAAGCTAATAATTATTCTAATCAGGTACTGATTAGGATAAGCGATTTATTCTAAGTTACGATTAAGATCACTTTCTACTTTAGCTCACCTGAATGACAGAATCGAGCGCATTTATGCTTATTACATGTTAACATTTTATTGCACGGCCGACCGCAGCTCCATTCTTGACGTCCACATCTTCGAATTGTTGTTCCCCCTTGACCACAGTAACATGTAGACTTTACCATTTGTGGGCATGGAGGACAAGGGCCAGGATGGCAGAGTAATTGGCATCGATGACCGCATTCAGGCTGTAGAAGACGCTCGCATAGGTTACCACAAGAGTGAGGTACGAGCCAGGGATTGAATTTAGGATCAATCTAGTTGAATATAATATTAACTTTACCGATAGACCAAAGTATGTGTAAAGATATAAGTATATCTTATGCTCTATACAGATTTGCAATCGAATCGTATACAAGTTTTTATACCTGTATTCATACTAGTGACATAAATTATTAGAATGAAAGTAATTCAACTTGGGAGATCGACTAATGGCATCTCACTATCATGATTATAAAGCTCTGTGAAATTCCCTCTTTATCCGCATTTTACAATTATGACTAAATACTGGTACGAGCAGATCTAATCCTGCACTTATCATGAGTATTCTTTAGCAATACTTTAGCCACATTTTGCATTTATGCACGGAGGTATGCAACTGATACTACTGTAAGATCAATTAGCGTATTTCCTTCTTCAGCGACTAACATTTTCTTCTAATGTTAGAGTTTGCATTAAAATCTGATTTGATATAGCAATTGGACTCGTGTGCATTACTTTGAATTCTATTGGCATAGCTTATAAAGCAATGTTATTCACGACACTACTTACTGCAGCAATTAATTATTCTTTGGAATTGGAGAATAGAAATAATCGTACTTTTTGTATTTAAGTATCCTCTTTAATGCTATTTTCTGGTCGACAGCATTATTTATAATGTAGTAGTTTAATGCCACTATTACTTAGAAACGGCCAGCATCCTCCAATTGTTTGTAAAGTGTGCATCAAGTGTGGGAACGGAGAATCGGTCTATAATTTGTAATCATCTAATATTAATGAATCACGAATGAGATTGTTATTAAGCACTCTCTAAAGAAGGCGGAACGCTATCAACACTTTAAGAAAACAAGGAGCAGGCTAGGCATTATTTTATCCTCTATTGAACATGTCATTTGGCAAAAAGTTGGGCCAACAACGAATATGAAATAAAATGGAGTATTTAAAGCGTGCGTGGAAAAGTTGTGTTGTTTTAAGTTAAGTATAAAGTAGACAGAGTAATCTACTGTAATTCATTCAATTGGACTGGATTGGTGCAGACTGCAATCGATGGTACTTAAGGGCTGTCTACGCAGAAAATAGCATAGTCCATAGTTGATTAATTCATTAATTGATTGAGTCTATGGTTGTTATGTGATCTCAAAAAGAAGTCCAGAATCATCATGCAAGATAAGCAATAACAGTCATCCTTTTACTCTAATCTAAGAAGGGAGTGGATACTCTCAAGACTGACGAGTGAATTTGTACAGGTAGCAACACTACTATGGCATACATTTGAAAAAAAAGAATTTGTTCATTGCTGCTGATTACAGTAGCCCATTGATGCCATTCCATGGACACTTATGTAATCTTGTATTGCAGACTAGCCTAGCCATTGGATCATTGCAAGCATTCATTGATAATAAATTACTGTATGCTAGCATGTCTAGCAGTCTATCTCACTGTCAACATGTAGAAATAATGGCATGATTTAATGTTGAAGTCATGAGTAGGCCCGATGGGACATCAGCTGGTCTAATGAGACACTAGTTGTCCTCTTGTCATTGAAAGGAATTGGGTGCAATATGGCTGAATGAGACTTACAGTTTTACCGCAATAACAATAATATTTGGTTGGATAATCCTTGGCTGTATATTCGCCACGACAGTTGGGGCATAACCATTTTGTCTCTTGTTGTGGAAATAAGAGTGCTGACAATTGTGGCTTGACATGGACGGAACCTTCTTTGGACCATTTAGCAATGCATGCCAAATGAAAGATGCATTGGCATAATCGACATGTCCAAATGGCGTCTTGATGGCGAACACCACCGATGCAAATCAAGCAAGTCATACTGCCACTACGGCAACAACTTTGAAAATATTGGATCATTTTGTCCATTTCTTGCTGATGATCGCCATAGCGTACAAATAATTGATGAATAATGGTGGTATCGTCCAAGTCTTCTTCTTCAGAGGACGATTCCAACGGTTGATTTTTACTTAATTCATTGATGATAGTAGCCGCATTTTGATTGAATTGATCTTGTTTTCGTCGTAGTTTTTCTTCCGCTTGTTGCATTGGTGCCTCTTGATCGCTTGTTGCTATTGGATTAGAAGAAGTTGGTACTGCTTGCTGCTGATGATGAGGATAAGCACGTTTGGATCGCGATCCCCTCTGGCCTCGACTATACTGATTATCCATTTTAGGATGATCACGTCGTTGCGATTTCTCCATCATTCCTTGATGATGCGAAGAAGGATTAACACGACTGCGACCACGTCCACGCCATGCTGTTGACTGCCTATCAGCCATGTTGTTGCCTTGATCTCGCAAAGATTGACCCTTCAATCCACTCTTCCACGATGACCAATGGTATCTACCCTACGATGACTCAACTTGCACCAACTTAAAACATGAAAAAGGCCCAAGAAAGACCATCCAAATGATTGCACTTTCAAGCCGAGCGACTGTTTGCCAAATTTCTTTCCTCTCTTCTCTTTCTACAACCTTAGCTGACAATACAAGTCTGTATGGGGTAATGGCCCAACTGCCCTCACCGACTGCTTACTGTTCTTTTCTAGCCAACGTGTCTATAGTATTGACTACAATGGCTGAGTGTTTTTGTCTACCGGCTCAACCAATCCACTCGGTGAAGGTAGTGTATCGAACGCATCGCTGTCTCCTAACTAATGACTACAAACTTCGCTTGGGAAGCGCTGAACATCCACTCTGATGATTCCTTCTAGGCTCATCATCTAGTTCATCTACCCACCATGAAGGTAAAAGAAATTTTCTTTTAAACTATGGACAGGATCATAAAAAGTAGGTAGAAGAGGAATTTTCTACATTTCTATAGACAGGACCATAGAGGTAGAGGAGGAGGAATGTTCTACATTTCTATAGACAAGACCATAGAGGTAGAAGAGGAGTTTTCTGGATCTCTATGGACAGGACCATAGAGGTAGAAGAGAAGTTTTCTACATCTCTATCAACGGGACCATAGAGGTAGAAGAGGAGTTTTCTACATCTCTATGGACAAGACCATAGAGGTAGAAGAGGAGTTTTCTACATCTCGATGGATAAGACCATAGAGGTAGAAGAGGAGTTTTCTACATCTCTATGGACAAGACCATAGAGGTAGAAGAGGAGTTTTCTACATCTCTATCAACGGGACCATAGAGATAGAAGAGGAATTTTCTACATTTCTATGGACAAGACCATAGAGGTAGAAGAGGAGTTTTCTACATCTCTATGGATAAGACCGTAGAGGTAGATGAGGAGTTTTCTACATCTCTATGGACAAGACCATAGAGGTAGAAGAGGAGTTTTCTACATCTCTATGGACAAGACCATAGAGGTAGAAGAGGAGTTTTCTACATCTCTATCAACGGGACCATAGAGGTAGAGCAGTTTTCTACATCTCTATCAACGAGACTATACAAGTAGAAGAGGTAGAAGAGGAATTTTCTATATCTGGATGGACAGGACCGTAGAGATAGAAGAGAAATTTTCTACATTTCTATGGACAGGACCATAGAGGTAGAAGAAGAGTTTTCTACATCTCGATGGACAAGAACATAGATGTAGAAGAAGAGTTTTCTATATCTCTATGGACAGGACCATAAAGGTAGAAGAGGAATTTTCTATATTTCTATGGAAAAGACCATAGAGGTAGAAGAGGAGTTTTCTATATCTCTATGAACAGGACCATAGAGGTAGAAGAGGAATTTTCTACGTCTCTATATATGGGAACTTACAAATAGAAGAGGTAGAAGAGGAATTTTCTACATCTCTATATATGGGACCTTACAAATAGAGGAGGTAGAAGAAGAATTTTCTACATCTCTATAAACGGGACTATACAAGAAGAAGAGGTAGAAGAGGAGTTTTCTACATATTCTATCTCTACTGGCAGGACCATAGAGGTAGAAGAGAAATTTTCTATATCTCTATAGACAGGACCATAGAAGCATAAGCGGTAGAAGAGGAATTTTCTATATCTCTATAGACGGGACCATACAAGTATAATAAGTGGAAGAAGAATTTCCTATATCTCTATAGACAGGACTATAGAAGTACTTGTAAGAGGTAGAAGGGGATTTTTCTATACCTCTAAGGACAGGGCCATAGAGGTAAAAGAGGAGTTTTCTATATCTCTATAGACGCGACCATACAAGTATAAGAGCTAAAAGGGGAATTTCTATATCTCAAAAGACATGACCAATACAAGTATAAAAGGTATAAGAGAAATTTTCAATACCTCTATAGGCCGACCATAAAGGAATAAGAGGAATTTTCTATATCTCTACGGATGGGGCCATGAAAGTATAAGAGGTATAAGAAGAATTTTTCGTATGTCTATAGACGGGACCATACAAATAGAAGAGGCAGAGAAGAATTTTCTACATCTCTAGGCGGAATACAAAAGAGGTATAAGAGGAATTTTCTATATCTCTATGGACGGGATCATAAAGGTATAAGAGGAACTTTCTATATCTCCATGGACGGCACCATAGAGGTACAACAAGTATTAGAGAAATTTTCTATATCTCTATGGACAGGACGGGACCATAGAAGTATAACGGGCATTTTCTATATCTATGGACGGGATTAAATCTATATGGAAAATCCCCACAAAGAGGAATAGAAGAGGTACTTTCTATATCTATGGACGGGACTAAATCTATATGGAAAATCCCCACAAAGAGGAATAGAAGAGGTACTTTCTATATCTATGGACGGGACTAAATCTATATGGAAAATCCCCACAAAGAGGAGTAGAAGAGGTACTTTCTATATCTCTATGGACGGGACTGAATCTATAGGGAAAATATCGACGGAGAGGCAATAGGGATAGCTAACGCTTGTACTGCATTGCATGAATTCCCTTTTATTTCTGTCTTCTAAACTTGCAAGATTTCATCCAGATCGTGAATCGTTCAGTCTAGTTGCGTACTGTAGACTCAGTGTATAATCTACAATCACTTCTTCACTACTGGTATGCTGGCCAGTAATGATAATTAGCTCATTAATTTCAGCGCTCCAATTTGACAGTGAAAGACGAAGATGTACTAGCAGGTGGAAAGTGTTAACATCAAATGCAGAAGGTGATTGGAATGGATGTACTGTATACCGTTCGATTTATGCGTACTTTTAGTAGCTGAAATAAGGTCATACACCATTTTATTCATTTTAGAAATTATTCATCTTAAACTATGTTATATTACACTTGTTAAATACACGTCGATGTGCATGTCGGATAGGTCAATACTTGCATCATGTATTCTACACTTATATTCGGATATCGATCCATGTACAAAAATACACCTTTGTAAATTCACATCGATAGCATAATAAGCTAGTACACATTATTGCATCTAGTGCAAAACATATCAGAAATAATATAAAGTATCTTGAATCATTTAAAAAAATAACTAGATAAAATTCAAATTCAATATTTTCTGACTTATTTTAAAATAATATCACAAAGTATTTCAGTATAGTTATAAAACTGAAATATCTGAAATATCAACCATTTCCAATTGTTGTCAGATCTATTCTAGTCAAATAACCATGGATATTCTATAATACCATACTAATAATAATAAGCAACTTTGCAGCCGCAGTAGGGCTAGAATTAATAATTTCCTATTGATACAATTAATCTACAGTCATGAATACAAGGTGATGTCGTACATAAAGTAAGATGATACAGTAGAACTAGGCACGGAAGGAATATAATTGCAGAAAGAATTTCTTCCATGCTAGACTACATATCAATTTTGTTGAGCGAATAAAATATTTATGATGGAGCTGTAGCTTTGCTTTCTATTCGAGTCTTCTACTGTAGTTATTCTATTTCTTTATTATTATTATTATTATTATATAAACAACTTTCGAATGTGATTCACGTCTACCAACGCATACGATATTAAATTTATTCTATCACTGATATTTCAATAGAGCATTTTCCTGAAGAATGGTATCTAAACAATATTAGGTAGATCGCTATAGGTACGATTAAATACAAAATTATATATAGCTTGGTAAGTTTGCCATGGTTTAATGGCAGGCGCCATATGTCCTGCACCACGGATGGTTAAGAAATCGATTTTATCATATCGGACGACATAGCCTCCAACCTGTGGCCCTAAAGTATCATTATAAAACCATGGCCGCCTTTCCTCGATGACACGACGATCTAATGAACTGACAGCCATTTCGTCGCCCAAGAAATTGCATACGATATCCACATCTCCGTTATAGATCAATGCGCGAAACTTTTTAAGTAACTTCGGGAATAAATCGATGGGAGAACGAACATTTCGATTGTAATCTTTATTAATCGCTGCACTGCATACTCGCCAAGGAGGTACATAATGTGGAATATGCAAAGCTTGGCGTACATCATGTCGATTAAGATAGATCGTTTCAGCTTTGGAATCAATACACGGCAAAACTGGTGGTGTCGGATGCGCCGTTGGATGCCCCTTAGGATGGCCAGTCCCTGTTACTTGATCCCAATCATCCAAGATATGTTGAATTCGAAATTGCTTTGCCGATACACCTTGACAATCACCGTAAATATAATAATCATTTAAATGATTACTAACCATTTGCCGAACTTGCATGGAATACTTTTTGCACTGCTGGGATTTCGTCTGATAAAATTGACAACCATCAATGGTACAACAGTATAACTGTAATTGGGCCCACAAATCATCCCCAATAATGCCATGATAGTAAGCAAAGTAAACTGATGAATCTGTATTGAACTTTGCACTTAATACAGCATTACCAATAGCAAAACCTTGCAAGGCAATACTACTATCGTTGAGCAATCGAGCCACTAACGTTGGAATATAAACGCCAGCGTAACTTTCACCGGTAATAAAAAATGGATTTTTAGTAAATGATGGAAATTTCTTGAAAAAGGAATGTAAGGCCGCATGATTGTTTTGGGCGACAACATCGTCATTCCAATGATATTTACCAACATGATTATAGGAAAAGCCGACACCAGCGGGCGATTCCAGATATAACACATTAGCAAACTTATTCCAAGTGGTATTACGATAATAGAGTGTTTTACCATCATCATTCACTGCAAAAGGGCCATTTTCTGTCAATAAGCCATCGATCGAGCTACAGCCAGGACCACCATTTAACCATAATAGCAAGGGATCAGTTTTAGGATTATGTTGTGATTCAACAAACCAATAATGTAATTGATTGCTGGCAAGACCTTGCAAATATCCCGAATGTTGTTGAAAGGGTGGTGAATAAGGTAAACCAGGCAACACTTTGATAAGATCTTGGTTACGAGTTGAGGCTTGGCTCATGGTGATGAGCAGAGCACATATTGGAATCAAGAACGATTTCATCTGTCTCTACTTCTATTCTTGGCAATCTTTCTCCACTAATAGCTCACTAAAATGTCCAATGGAAATCAATTTAGTCTGTACAGTATCGCAGGCGTTGGATTTGCTTCCTGATGGAGAAGAAATGGCGATGATGGGCCTTCAGTTTGTAAAAGGTCACGTGCCATCTGGATGATCGGGCTAGTCTAGCCAGCTCTTGGTTACAGTACAGTGTACTGTGTACTTACAGTACACTGATCGATTGGTGACTGTAGGGAAGCACCTGTACGCTGTCGACGAGTCTGTCCATCTCTCTTTCTGTTATAATATACTAGCTTACAACCCGCTCGCTTAGATAGAGGTCTGAAACGTAAATAGTAAGCAATGAAGTATATATTGCATCCAATTATAATAGTGTCAGAGGATCAGACAGTTTCAACAATACAGACTTTGGTCATATGCTATAAAATAGATACCAAACATGCAGTAAAAGCTCTTTCAACATGATAATTTTATATTCTTTATTTTGTTTGAATTTAATTTATCAACGCGATGATTATTTATTTCAATCTTATATATTTCAGGATTTTCTGTTAGCATTAGGAACATGTTAATGAATAATACAGTATAGTAGTATTAATTTATTTATTATAGACAACGGTATTTTCATATATATACAGTATATATATTTATAATTATTAGCGTAAAATAGTACGCAATGAAGTATATATTGCATCCAGTTATAATAGTGTCAGAGGATCAGATAGTTTCAATAATACAGACTTTGGTCATATACTGTAAAATAGATACCAAACATGCAGTAAAAGCTCTTTCAACATGATAATTTGATAATCTTTATTTTGTTTGAATTTAATTTATTAACACGATGATTATTATTTATTTCAATCTTATATGTTTCAGGATTTTCTGTTAGTATTAGGAACATGTTAACGAATAATACAATATAATAGTATAAATTTATTATTTATAGATAACGATATTTTCATATATATAATGGTTTGTGTGTTACACTGGGAATTCAAGACTAATATTAAGTCATCGAATTCCCGACAATTTTACCGCTCTAATTTGATTCAAAGTTAAATAAACAACTCGCATTTCATATGCTTTAAAATGAACAATATTCATTGATGATTGAAACGCTCAAAGTGAAATTAAAATTAGCGCCTTAGAGAAAAATGAAGCCTTTTTCTACATTGTAATGCAAACCACTCGCTCGCTCTACCGTACTGTATCGCGTACCGTATAAGTAACTGAATTAGTATTTGGGCTTGTATTTGGAATTTGAAAGAAAAAAAATAAGTCAATAATTCAGTCAAAGTGAACAAAAAAAAGACATCAAGTAATAATTGCTCAAGGTTGCAGTGATGTGGTAGAATTGTAGCCAAATTCAAAGTAAATACGTTCAAAATTGAAAGACATCAAACCTTCTTAAGGCGCTTTGCATCGATTCATTTATAAGATGGAGCAATAGTTGGCAGCGTCCAACGCTATTTTCATACACGCTAATCAGCTGCTTTTCGTCCCATTTTATACTAAATGCCTAGCCTTTGCTGGATTTCAAACACATCGCTAGGCAGCGTAATCAACTTTAGCATTTCACATACATACCGTACGCGATAGGGTATCCTCGGCCACCAATTGATAGGTGTGGGTAGTGAGTACATGCATGGATTACTAAAAGAAGATTTCTTTCAAAATAGAACAAAACTAAGACAAAACGTCTTCTTCTTTTGGTAAACCATGATACAGTATATGGAAAGGATTTTTTTTTATCTCTATGGCGAGTACGGACAGGTTATTTTTATTTTATTGAAGATATTTTAACTAATCTCTTGCACACTTGTTGACTCACTATGAGTGAAAAATTCAGTATGGCTCGATATTGACGCTCAGTGCAATGATAGTCTAGCAGAGCTTATATCTGAGCAGCAGCGTTTTCAGTAGCATGGTGCAGTCCATGTATACTAAAACGAAGTCAATATACTGTATGTTCATCTATTTAGCGATTAATAATAATACAACTGCTACGAAGTAGTATTGGGTACTTGATTGACACTAGTTTGCTTAATTAGATGACTGATTTGCATTCTCGACAGGGTTGTTTGTAAATCAGAATATACTCTCCTATTTTCACTTAGAAAAAATCTGTAATAAAGATTACGATTTAGATAACACGACTACCGCAATGCCTGTCTACTTGATGACGGACGTCATAAATTAGCTATTTATGTGATTGATGTGATAAGATGTCCGTTAGTATTTATAGTATGCCGTTCTAGCATGTTATTGCCTAGTTTTCTACTTATAACGGTAATCTTATCTAGAATAAAGTTGAGTTCACTACTGTCACTGTCCACCAGTAACAAAGTATGTCCACACACTAACGCTAAATAAAGAACGTCTCCTACTAACTCGAAAGAGACATGATTTGCATATAGTACGACGTACAATAGTCCCAATGACCGAATACTACTATAGCTATAGCGCTACAAATCAGTGAACAAGGTAATAAAAAAATTATTTCTATATTTATTACTTAAAAGAACTTACACAATTTAACAGTATTGGTTCAACCAGCAAGCTACCTCTACTATCTCTACTAGCTATCTAACTCTGTTCAACTAGACTAGACTGACATACGCTCTAACTGTCGAGCTCAATCGTCAGACACCGGTCTTTTATGTTCTTGTGGAAGATCAGGTGCGAAAACAACAAAAACACCCTTCCAAAAGTATATATATCATAATAAGAGCTATCACTAAGGTTTCCGTATGGAAAATTCATTACCAACATGTATTGTTAGCAGCTAACAGTAAACTAATAAAGTGCTAAGCTCTTATCACAAACATGACTGTCTAACACCTTAAACATTTGATCAACAACAACATTAACAGTATATTACTAAATCAAGCTAATTGTAATCTACACAAGCTATAACAAATTAATATCAAAACGAGCAGTGTATCATAACAACTACTCAAGCTCTAGTAAACTCTTCTAACAGTGTCTAAAAGTAAATCTTCAAAAATGAAATCGTAACAACCACGTATAGTACTGATGATCAAAATACGTCTTTTTCGTAAATGCGTATTTATTAATGATCGTAACGTCTTCCAATTCGTTGAGATTCATTGATATCAAGATTGTGTAACCCTTGATCAAATTTACATCCCATGTTGAATCTAGAAGAGATACTCTATGTATTCTTTATCAACGAATTTTATCGCAAAAGATACACAGAGCGGTGTCTCCAATCTGGACACGTCCGTCTATCATACTCGACGACAACGACATGTAAAAATGGATTGTATCATTTTTATAGCTTTTATTCATTTTCTTTTTCGAAAGGCATACAGCAGCTAGCTGCAGAAGCTCACATCGAAGCTGCCATGAAGTAACATGGAATGAACAAAGTGTTAAAAATGGATTTTGCGATAACAATAACACTACAGTGAACGTCATAGAAGGCGAAAGCAACAAATGCCATAGACATCAGCAAAGCGACGGGAGTTTGCACTAGTGAATTCTAAAACTGCCACATTAGTCAATATTATAACTGGTACTTGCGTGTACATAAGCAAGACTATCAATGACGTTGAAATGGATACGTAAGCTTTAATTAATTATCATGAAATATCAATACACTACAGATAGCGATAGGAAACCTTTAGCATTTTCTTCATCATGACTCTTGAATAAAATCAATCAAGCCAAAAATCATTGAATTGAATGCTAATAACAGGGATAAGTAGAATAGTGTCGATTGATCTTATTGAAAGATCGACAAGCTAGTGTTTATAAACTAATCTTTCAATAGGATGCTAGCCATAAACGGGATTTCCCTCTTAATTGGCATAGAATATCTAGTGAAATAATTTCACCTCAGACGCTATGGGATTTAGAAAATGATTTGATTTCCTTCATTTTCGGTCTAACATATATATGTTTATCATACTCCTTACGCATCGAATATATCTTGCTGTATTCCAATATTAATCTTACAACTGTAGATTGGATTTGATGTCCAGCACAATCGTCGTATAGCAAGACTTGTTCGACTATTGGTTGCTGAACCTAAAGGTAATATACTCTTTGTCAGCTACCATACACAATAATCAATTAATCTGCAGTTATTTGTTATTCTTACCGAATATGAATCGACTTCCACCACTTCTTCTTCTACTGCAGTGCGACACTTATTTTGATTACTTGTAGGTAATTGCCTAACGAAAATCCTGACTTGAATCTGAACATTGGATTGGTACTTATGACCAGCTTTTTCACTATCTATCATGGAGGTAAGATTAGAATGTACTCGTTTAGGAAATGCTATACTACTTTTTGGCTTACTTGCAGTTACTTGCATGTGAAGCCTTGTTACTATCCCATTAGTCACAGACTGACCATTAACGTAGACAACCCCACTGATGTAGCCAACTTTCAAAGGTATCTAAAAGCCATTAATTTAGAAATAAACCGACGAAAATGGAAAGAGTAATACAATGGTATAGAATATCTTGAAGTTCAAACTTTACCTGGAGCAACGGTCCTGAACTATCATTTAATAAATGCACTTTAATTAAAATCGGAATAGACTGTATTTTATTGACTGAGTTCGGAGTAGTTTTAGCAGAACTAAATAATAGCAACTGCAAGCAAAATAGAATCAAAAGACTGTAAATAAAATACTTCATCTTTTTTTAACTTAGCGTAAACGTAGAGAATTATGAGAAGTGAATTATAATCACACACAGTCTTATAAAGACAACAATACTGGTAAGTTAGAACGCTATCAGTCTTGGCAGTAATAGTTAATCATTATAAGTTACAACGATATCAGTCTTGGCAATAATGGTTAATCATTTAGCCTATTGATACTCTACTTTTTTTTCTATATCTAAGCCTTTATGTTGATTCATCATTACTCTTATATTGTCCCTATTAATTCTAACTTGAATCATAAGTAAAGGATTAATTATTTTTATTTCTATGTAACTTGAAAAACAATATATAAGATTTAGTGTTTGTCACGTATACTTCTTTATGTTATTAAATTGAACCTATTTATAGTTTAGACAATAGGTAACATCTGCATATTATTTTGTATTAGCTTGCAATTAGCATTAACTTGCAATTAGTATTAATTTGCAATTACTATTAACTTGCAATTAGTATTAACTTGCAATTAGTATTAACTTGCAATTAGCATTATCTTGCATATACGGCAAAATCTTAGGGTGCTGGTATAACAGATAGTCTTTGGAATCTCCCCAAATGTTTTGAAAATATAATACTCGTGTAATGAAATGACAAGTGTAGAGATCAAGCTACAAAACTTTAACAAACTTTGATTCTACTTTCGTTGCACTCCGGTCGGCTTAACGCTAATACTTTGACACCAAATAAAATTTGGGGAAATAACCGAACAACAATTTATTTCAAAACAAAAATGGAGAGAAGTATAAACCGAATAACCTTACAAATACTTAGCTTTAAGTATTATTAAAATAAATGACAGACTTAAAAACTGTCAACGACCAAAAAACCTTTCAAAAAAAAGAACGTTTTAACTTACGACAACTCGACCCCGAAGGCCTTTTAAATTAAACAAGTTCTTCAAATAAAATCTTCTTCTACTCTCCCTCTAAATTTTCTAATTGCACTATCATTTATAGGCTTCGTAGAGCCGTCTGAGGTATTCATAACTAAACATTTGCTAACCAATCGCTCTTAAGATCAGTTTTAGAAAACTACTTTGTACCATTTACGAAAACAAAAACCATTCAACGTTCAGACACAATTTACCCTACGATTCCCTTACTAAACACTACAAAACTAACAAATTAACTATAAAAATAAAAATACATCAAACTTCATTTCTAACATAATTTGTATCATTAATACACTATAAAAGTCTAAAAATCAACCTTTAAACATAAAGATTTAGTCATAAAAACAACATTCTAACTACCTAACAATCAACACAACCTCTGCCAATTTCCATCTTCTTTTCTATTTTCCTTACTAAATCTCCTAATGTGACTTCAAGTCACGTCATAAAATTGCAAAGTTTCAAATTCATAACAAAAAGTCCAAATCTCAAAAATCAACTCTTACGATATTTTTCATGAACAAAAATCCAAAATTAAAACAGAAAAATTATAATTCAGACATAAATTAAAAATAAACCCGACCGGTTCCAAAACAGGAAAATTATATCGGACACAAACCCGACCGGTCGCAGAATCCGAAAACTATATCGGACACAAATCCGGAAAAATTCGGTTTCTATAAAGATCACAGTAATCGCTTATAAAAAAAATTTATATGACTACTACGACTACTTTCCTGACATTAGTATCGCGTAGTATTCGCGAGTATTGACAGTTGATGTTTTAGCGTCAGATTGTACTGTAACTGTACGATTATAGACTACATTACAGTACTTTATCGTCATGTTATAAATCCCCTTTCTCTAAGGATAGGGTTTTGCTACTAAGTCAAATTCCTTTACAATTTGAATAGACGATCGAACGCCCTTTCTTTAGATTAGGCATTTGCTCTATAGGGCTACTTCTATAGTAATCTATATAATACCTTGTAAAATAATGAAGAAGAAAAGATGGCGACATGATGATTTGGCAAGGTAAAACTTAAAGACACTATCACTTTCTAGGTATTTTCTATAGTAAAATAATACTAATTACATACTAAAAACTACAAAGGACTCTACTTTTAGTCCTTTTACTACACTCGTAAATATGTAAAAGATTGGATATACAGCACATGGTAACGAAAAAGTACATATACCTACTGCTTCGAAAGATAAATAACAATTTACTAACCAGTACAGATGACCATGTAAATCGATTTTCTTTAGCCTTTGATCGTAGTTATTGCAATAAAGACATGACCATTAACTTTTTTACTGTGTTTTTAAGCGTTATCGATAATAATACATTTTATTCGATCTAAATTGTCATCTCTACATCTTAATTAAGCGTATAACGTCAAAAGTAACGATCAACAAATTACAATTCTCTTTAATTACCTTAACTTTTCTTCTTCTAACTGTGAAATAAAGTTTGTGACGTAGATTTGTCGAATAATGCAGTTTTTGACTATTTATTGTGAGCTTTGTCCTGCATATAAGTGTCATAAAATGTCTTACCGGTCAAAAGAGTTTCAATCTTCATATTTGGCATCTAATTCATCTTTCCGCTATAAGTCATTTGATTTATAACATTAAAATGTACCTGGACCTAAGTATTAGTAAAGTAGATTTCAATAAGTAGTTTACCTATCTGAGATATTTCAATTTATTATTAGGAGCTAGAACCAAATTTCGTCCAGCTTATTATCTGCAATTTTTCGTCATAAATTACCGGTATTGCATGATCATTTCGATTAAAACTTACCGATTCATCTAGCATAATTTACTATATTCAAAATTTAAGTAGAATTCTTTTAGCTGTAAGACTACCACAATGCATAGTACTTTATAATTAGATACAACATATGCCATCATAGACTATGTTATAGCAAATGATTATAGAAAATGGCGAAGACCGTAAGTGCAATCGGTATCTCAACATGACAAGCTATATTAGAATAAAGCGAAATAAGATTGTAAAGGTATCTATATTTAAGAGCGTTAAATATCGATATAAAAAAATCTATCAGCTACAGCACCATTTGAAAAATACCATATTTCTGACATTAAGTAATCGACTGCTCAACAATAACGAAGTTGCCTTCTAACAAGTTCCAACTACTAGCTAAACTAAACATGAATTCGTCTTCTTACCGTCTAGCAAACAACATGAACTATTTTTACACGATATTTTGAGCCTAATCTGAAGCTATTTCAGCGCTGCAACTATATATCTTTGATCCCACGCAATTAGTAAGATTTACTACAAGTATTCAGCTAGAAAGCGATTGAAAAATGAACCCAAGCTTTAGTATGAAAGGTTGCGAAAATGTGACATAAGTAGTAAATGTGTATAATATAATCTATCACCATTGATTCCTTCGAAAATTGCAAGAGAATATCAAATCGCTAATATTTTCAACATTACTTTGTCTAAAATTGTCGATACTACAAGTCTTGTTCTCTAAATGTATCCTATCTCTCCACCATATGTATATATACTAATGATCTATGCCTCAAACTTATTTAGTTCTGCGCCGTTGGTTACTCAGTTAGCTAGATTACTTTACTTATTCTATATTGTAATGTTTTACAGGATTCCTTCTCACAATAGCTGCAATAAAGATTACAATACTATTCACTAATTTATTTCTCTTGTTTTTCTTCGATTATGACAAACGTACAACCTTCTAAAACATTAAAACTTAAATTTTTTTTTACTGTGGTTGATCCTGCAAATCTACATAACTTGACGTTAAAAAGAACTACCCTTTTAATAATTTGATTTTTGTACTGACAAATTAGTACTATTATTAATCCATATACAATTTTTACAGTAAGAGTGCTATATTTCGAATGCATAAAGAGTCAACTCCCAAAAAATATAAATTATCCGGATTCGTTCAAGCTTTCCCTCATGTTTAAAGTATTGCATATTTACATTTTGAATCGTCTACCGTTGTTATAATCTATAAAATGCCTTTACAGTTATCTAGCCCTTATTTATATTTTTTCATTTGATAGCTAAGTTTGCATTATTTATTAGATTACTATCATTTAAATAGATAAATCGAAATTAGCACTGGCTTTAAACAATCAATATCTAGATTTACTATATCAATACTACCTATTATTATGTTGAAATAATATTGTTTTGCCTTATATTACTATCGTATTAATGAACTATTATTTAACGTAAAGATAGTCAATAATTGAATCCAATTCTTTCACATCATGAAAAGCATTACGAGATTTATTAACATATAAGGAGAACAGAAGATAATTGTTCCTCCCATTTAATTATCACTATCCTCTCTATTGATAATATTTGAAAGCATTGTAACTTAAACTCAGCTATTTAACAAAGATATTGATTATTTCATTTTTAATCATGTCTATATGAGATTTTTTGCTACTGACATTAATAATTGAATCTGCTAACTTAAAGGAAGTAATAGCAGGCATTAATTACTTATATTCACGTTACATATATTTCATCGAGCTTACATAACATCTTGCAGTCTACTAGATCTTACATTTATGAACGCTAGTCTGTCAGCTATAGTCTTCAGTTTTTCAATTTGAGATCGCCACTTTTGCAATGGAGATGTCCAGAAAATTTACTTTTCTAAAAGTTACGGCGATTATCCTGATATGGTCTTGGTTGATTGTTGTAACAGGTAATACTCATTTGTTCTTTCCATTTCAATCTCTTGTATCAATACCAAGTAGAATAGCTAAGAAATCAAAATAATGTAATTATTTGAAGAAGAAAGATTAAAGTAAAAGAAATTTTTCGCCGGTATTATATTTTGTAACTTTCTGATTAATCTTATTTATTTGCAGCACAAGTATTTACTAACGCAGGTGAAATTGATTTTACAGAAATTTATTCACATTTATGAAGTCAATACAAATAAATTTACATTCAGCTAAACGAGCAACTTAATATTACCTTTAAGACATGCAAATTGTAATTGATGCAGTACCGTAACATTTTACCGGTATATCACAAACTCACAAGTATAACTATTGCTTTAAAATATTTTATGTTCGTTTATGATCGTTATGAAAGTATACAATTGACATCATCTCTGTGTAGATTGACAATGATCCTATACCTGTACAGCAAATTACGTACGTACATCTTTTATATCTAGATTGCTGTCCTCGATCATGTTACTGCAGTAAAATCAGGATATTATGCCATGATCATAACATGAGTCTCATTCCTTCACCTAAGGAAATGTTGGATGTAACTGAACT